TTTTCCCCTTGAGTGCCGTTTTTCAATTCATTCTTTCCCCTTCGTTTCTCTCTTTGTTTAATTGCACATATTCTATTCGTTGACTATTTTGGCGACATGGTTCTGTTACATTTGTAAGATTCAGGTACGACTTGTCTGTGCACCCAGAGGGTTACTCTATGAACTTTTTTTTCTCTCTCTCTTCTTTATCTTTTTATTCTCAATGTTGAATCGCAAAATAAATGGAGGATATTTTTCACCGGGCATTATAAAACGATGATTTCTTTTTGATTATATGATCTGGTAAAAGGGGGAGGGAGATGACATGCAGGGAAGAGTAGTATGATAGGAAGAAAGAAAATTACATGCAATAGTAGATTTATGCGGTGGCGGTTAGTCAATGAGCTCTATATGCGAACTCTGACTATCAGCTCGCCGTGGTATATTTCCAATCATATGTTCTTCGCTTCGAACAAAATTGTCCTTATGGTACTGAATGATGTTCAAGGCCACACCCGAGGTAGGTGACGGGTATCGCTTGATATTGTAGTCCTCGGACTTTTGCGAGGGGTGTTCGCTAGTGCTGTACGCGCCGTTGAATGTTTGCTGGTCATATGTGTTGGTGCTGATACCACTTCCCCAGTCAGGGGCAAACGCTGGGCCCGGTGGCGATTTATTATCACTGCGAGATCGGTTGTACGAAGAGTTCTTCAAGCCGAACGTTGGAAGACGGGGACTGAAATAGGAGAGGCAAATTTAATATTACAATCTCTCGAAAAGGGTAAAGCCAAAAAAAAAAAAAAGTCCCCCACTTACTTTGTAGCAATGGCGATTTCGACAAATGTGATGGCCGATGGACCCACTATTTGAACGTTTGTACGTTAGTAAATATGCAAAACCTTGAGAGGAGGTACCTCTTATCAAAACTTACAGAAATTCCATATGGTTCCAATTAATATGCTAGCACCCAAGTGGGTCATGATGGCATTGCGGAAGATGCCATACATCAACAACAGCAGTGCAAAGCACATTACACAAGCGGCAATAGCCAGCATAATAATAACAATCTATCAATAAATAGATGAGTACATGATGAGTGGTACAAATCAATATCCGGACGGCGGTTACCTTTGATCGACCATTTTTGATGGCGGCTAATCGTGTATTACCACTGTTATTGGAGGTAGAGAATTTTCGGATATGTCGTCCCATAATGTTGACCAGTCTTGTTCCCGAGTAAAGGACGGCGATAGTAAGCACAAAGCAGTAAAGGGACCCTATAAAGCAAGCTACTATTTAATATGGTCGTCCTTTAACTGAACCGCAGTGGGGGAGAGGACTTACAAAACGCATAGAGAGCTCTGGTGAAAGCGTCGGCTGCATAAAAATTATGGTTTTGTGCGTAGATACCGGCTCCTATGGAGCAGATGTTGTTGGTCACAAAAGGTGAACATATAAGAAATATAGCGAGAATGTCGACTTGGCGTGCAGAGGGTAACCATCCGGTTGAGATGGCTTGATGACTTTGTGCCAGTGTGGTGGCAATACCGATGAGGTAGACCGAGAAACCAGCAAATCCGAATTGCCAAGGGATCTCGTACATGAATGATCTGAATATAATGTTGTCACTACCAGCATCGGTGAGTAAGACAAGTGAGTCGACTATTCGGAGGACGGTGAACATCATCAAAAACGCCAGCATAGCTTCGATGGGTTTGGGTCGAACATGTCCGTTGTCTTGTTGTTCCCATAATCGATGACCTTTGAATCCAATGCGATATACAAGTAATCCAACGCCGCCAATAAGCAACAGGGACGACCAAGCGACGTTGACGATGTTGACGATGGTTAATGCGTGTGTCTCTCGACCATTGATCAAGGTAAGTCGCCAATCTATATTGCAAACATCGCCATCGCAGAATCTCCAAAAGGTAGAATTGGAGCTCAATACACTCATGTGGCGAAACCCTGCACTTTTACAAAAGCGAGGTTGAGAAGAAAGAAAGAAGAGGGGAAGTGAAACGACAGCGAACAGAAGGTGGGGACGAAAATAATTGAGAAAAAAAATGGGTAGTGGGCTGGGCGTTTCCAGCATTTGTAAATGAAAATTTTATTGGTTTTTTTTTTTTTTTTTCTCTGCCGCTACCTGTTAATTTCACTCTGTGGTCAAAATAGACTTGGTGCTTTACCGATTGCGAACGGTTGGGAAAGGACATGGCTGTTACTCCGCCTGAAATGACCACGAATCGATTTCACCTGTCACATGCGATCGTTATGTTGTTACGGCCAGGTGAGTTGAATGTCTCGCCTTACGACGCAGTGAAAATTTCGATGTTTCTGAGCAGTCTAGCCCACTTCTGTAGTCTAGTAAATTTTTGATCTCTCTTGTAAGATAAAGTAGCAGCGGACATTTGCTGTCTGAGTGCTGAAAGGAAAAGTGCATTACAAAGCCAAAAGTAGGGATCTCATTTGTGTAACTTTGTAATGAAAATTTTAGCCCTAAAAAACGATTCCTCCAGCAAATTGCGCGGGCTCCATTGTCAACGTACTCCGCGCATGGTTTACACCATTGGCAGCCACCGTAACAAACCCACACTGTGTATCCCAATTCCGGGATGCACAGTTCCTCTGTATGACCTTGCAATATGAGTCAATGGCTCGTGAAAACCTCAGGAAGTAAGAAAGCCAAATCTCCTAGAATGGGGGAGCGTGGTGTTCTGAGTACAGTTTTTTGGCCCTTGATCCGACAGAGCGCAAAATAGCATAGCGTCTATCCAGAGACGATATTACTTTTTATTGGCTTTCAGCTATTTACGGGATATTCACTTTCAATCTCAAGCTGGCTCGATCAGACTGCCCCAGCTAAATTCAACCCAGCCTGTCAAAGAAAACATCTCAAGCCTAAGCAATTGTGGTGATACGAGTCATCTACCATGTTCCATCTTTTCAATAGCAACTTATGTTCGAAAAGACATGGGTTACATTTTCATGAACCTTGCCGCTGAGAGCGACTGTCTGTTGACTCTATTGATAAAAGATGATCCCATGAATTTTTAAAAAAACGTGCCAGAACTCCTCTACTCTCCGCACACCCGCTGAAGGATGACCACTACTTCCGCTCCACCTAGGATTTTATTTTCATTTGGGTTGGCCACCGAATGGAATAGGAATGCATAGACAATATGTAAAAAGGAATATACAAAGGAAACAGCTTCCAAAGGACTACGTTCCATTTAGGACTTCATGTTGGTGTCACTGGGAAACTTCTTGGAAGAATTATGGCTGAAGTTGGCTCCATAGTGGCGTCTCCAGTTATATTCACCCTGGGCAAAAAAAAAATGAGAAAAAAATTTCCCATGTCTATTGTATCGATATCCGTGAGCAACACGTTTAGACTTTCGTAATGACGTACCATTTTTCTCGACTCTGAAAATGAAAGGTCGTTATCAGCGCTCGATCTTCGGCGGCCAAGTGCGTGCGGGGACATATTAGAAGTGTTATTGTCTTGTTCCGTTCCAGAGGAGTTACGACGATTGAACATGGCAGCTGCTCCAGCTGCACCTACAGCTCCAAGTGTGAACAAAGTTCCAGGTCCAGGCATAGTTTTATCTTGTTATTGCTCGAGTTTCGAACGATTGATGAATAAAAAGTCTCTCTTTTCACCTCATGACGCCGTTTTATACCCAAGCATAACGCCCACACCTGTCATGTGATGAGTTCTTTAAGCTCAAGGGTTTCAAAACAATTTCTCACACGCTATGGATTCGCATATACATCACAAAAGCGAGTATATAGAAAATGAAAAATAAGCGTTTGGATTAAGCATATTTCTGCCAGATTATAAGAGAGGTCATTTTATGAGCCGAAGAGGTCGCCCAAAGGCCGCTATGTACAGGTATGGGTGGTGACAGGCATGCTTACAAAGAAAAAGTCATGGAAGAGACGTAATCAAAAAGGAGGTCACGAGCGAACTACCTTGCCTCGTTTAAACCACATAAGTCTATGATCGTCGACGCGGTCAACTCTGCCTCCGCTCCAGCGTTGTATAAGTTGCATAGCCGTGTCATCGTTTACGTCACATAGGCTAGAGCTTTTCTTCACCCAATCCATGCTGGTGTTATAGTAAGATACGCTCATCACTTTGCAGGCAAGCTCTTGCATGGAAGGAACATGCATGTTCAACATTGAAGTAAACGCAGGCCAAGGTGATTGTTGGTATAGCTGGAAAAATTGGTGATAGTGACAATGCAATATACTGTTCATGATGGAAACAGCAAACTTGAGGTCAGGGTGTGAATTGCCAGGCTGAATGAGTTGAATGATGGCTGCAGTTGATTTTGTATAACAGACGTGGTAGAGGATATAGAGCGCAGTGTAGTGAGAGTGGTTTTTGGGTGTCATCTTGAGATGGGAAATACGGTCACTTTCCATCGGCGTTGTGAGATAACCCTGCCCACGAAACGGTATATTGTCTTACCTTTGCATTCAAAGCGGTAGGGTACAATATAACAACCAGACTTTTCAGGCTTTTTAAAAGCTCACCCATGTTACTAGCCAACGCACAATATGTGGACGATAGCTCAAAAACTAATTGATGTCGTTTAACAAGATTGCTTTTTCATGAGCAGTCAAAGTAATATACACACACCTTGTATAGAGAACTCTAGGTCATTATTTGACCATTTCGTTGCGAACACTGCCTCTCGTAATTTTCGAAACAGATCAATCACTTGTTCCAATTCCTGCTGGTACGTTGACCCACTCTCTGCCAATGTCATAGAGCTATAAGTAGCTGTAAGCTTTTCTATCTAAATTATAAGGAATCCGGTCAATTAAGAACCATACTGATCAATGAAAATCGAGCAAACTAGCCTACCCTTTCGTTGATGGTATGCCACATGCTGTGTTGGCCATGCGACGTCAGGAGCACATTGTCCTCTCTGTCGGTTGTACGGCTGATGAGCGGTGCATCCTGAACACCTCCAAGTTTTAATTCATGATGTTCTGCATCCCAGTTCCTTGTGCTTTTCCGCATTCCGCCAGCTACCTCCGACGTGCTTAACGTATTCATTTGTCGAGAAATCCTGTCTATATCTGCATGATAGTGAGGTTCAGCAACAAGGGACGCTTCGAGTACAAAGGGTCCGTGTCAACATACCTGGGCTCTCCCTTCTATAGGATGGTGTTTTCTGTTGCCTTGAGCCGGCGTAGTCTGTTCTGTTTTGACTTCCTCGTGTTGAACCGTCGAACGGCCTGCCTGATCGATCTTCAACGTTTCGTCTGCGATTACCAGCTGACGATGGAGACTGCCACCTTGTTGTTCGGGTCCGTCCTCCAGGCGATGAAGAGCCATCGTTTTCTGTTGTTGCCCAGCGTGAATCGGAGGACATGTTGTCCAACGGTGAGTCGTTAATGTAGAAGTGACTGGCAAAGGGGTTTGGTCTGAAGGAACGAACAAAATCATTGCGACGGAGATTGTAAAAAGTGATTTTTCCCCCTTCCTAATGGGATTTCAAGTGTAGTGTTTCGATGCTACGCTACGAACAACTACCGCTGGATGGCTACAGCTGTTGATATATCATTTAGAAAAGAGGAATAGCCATTTTAAGAGGGGCAGCATTTCTATCTATCTCAGTATCTCTACACATGAAATGCCGGCGACTGAAGTATTTTTTTTTAACATTCTGATAGATCATCTATCGGCTGTAATTTTTTGAAAAAAATAAAAGGGGAGGAGCACGGAACAGCGGATTCGCTTATGAAGTTGTCTTCAACGGCAAGATTTCACGACATGCGTATTTACAATGTATCAAGTTTGTATAGAACAGGCTAAGCCAAATATCTGTACGACGAGCTATCCTCTGATTCACGTTCCATGTACTCTCTGTAGGCAAATAATAGGTTAGTGTTAAAATTTCATACCAGTGGTTCAGACTCTATCCCCCACATACCTGTCAATAAGCGACTCAATGCGCTTTTTAATATCAGTTGCTTTGACTGGGAACCGAAGTTGTTCGAATAGTTCATTGATGAGCATATTGTGACTTAAGGACTTTCGGGTCTTCATAATACGAACGATCGCAGCATCAACCTAAAATGAGACAGCCGGTGTGAATATTATGCGAACACACATGTAGGTACACCTTGGTCCCGTTTTACCTGATATTGACGGTCCTGGAATACGCCTTCACGTGTCCTCGTGTTCTCTTCCACAGTTTCCTTTAACTGAATGGTATTTATCTTAAGGCGGTATAGGGAGGCGGTGAATGTTTCATTGTACGAGAACGTGTCCGACGAGTTGACGTCTCGACCCGGTGGATTCTTCTTCAATACCCTAGAGTTACCACATGCCAATGATTGTAGAGTTCTTGAAAGTTCCTTGTCCTCTATTCACATGCAAATTTCAATTAAAATATTGAGTAACACCCTCCTAAAACGGTACAAACGATGTGCTCTCACCAATATTAGTCAATTCCTTAATTTCGTTGTAGGTTAAATGGTCCCGCTTCTGATCATTAAAGAGGAGTAATACCACAGTTTGGAATAAGCTGACCAATAGTTCCTTCTTGCCCTTTGGAAATGTTGCCTTGACGACACAGTGGCCCAGGTTATTTTGCCACATGAGTCGCCTGCCGTTATGTTTACTCATGTAAAAATTTTTAAACACTTCTTGCGAGTTGGCCATCTTATCATATGGAATGAATAAGTTATTCAACTGTATGAGAAAGAACATAGTTGTAAGTATGACCTACATCCGGTGGAAGATTTATCTCTACAGGAGGGTATGTTGGCCAGAACCCTTGGGTTAAAACGTTGACATAAATTTGCAAGTCCTTAATATCATCGTATGATTTGTGATTCTATAAGGAGTCAACGTGGTTTAAACTAATCAGCTGCCATTTTATCCTACTGAAGTAAGCAAAGCAAGTAAACGCACCTTGAAATTGGACATAAGGTCTCGAGATATATCAATATCCTTGAACATGCCTTCCAACTTGCTAGTGAAACCAGGGCCGCATTCTGTAACCGAAATCAGTCAACGGATGGCAAATTGAAAACCGTATTTGAAATGGTGGTGCATCATTACCTGTTTTCATTTTTGACAGCATACTTTTCTCGGCATCAATTGACGCACTTTTTCCTAGCAGGAGTCTCTTTGCCAGATCTCGCTTATAAAACGCTTCAAAAACATCTTTACCTAGATGAGATGAACAGAAGCTTGAGCAATCATTTTGCGACAGCTTTCTATGTGTGACGAAACTTCACTTACCATGAATAAATCGGAAGAGGATGAGAACCCTATCCAGCAAACTTTCTAATTCCTCGTCTGTAGCCGTCTATGAAACAACAGAGCAATGAACATCTCGGTCATGCACCAACAGGAACATGGGTTGGATGGAGTTATTTACCTTGTTGCCACTTCGTAGTCTACTGTCGACGAATTTCGCAATAAGTTCAGCTGGCTTGTTCTGCCGAGAATTGATAAAGCTTTCAAAAGCTTCTCTCATGCTATTGGCAAACTGAGAATTGTGATCAAAGGTATCGGCAAGGATAGAGTCTATCTTTTGCTTATAGGCCAGCAGGGACTGAACCATGGTTGAGTCTCTGGATTCATCGGTCACGATGGCACCACCCGTTTTCTACACAAAGGGATTTAAGTGTTCGTTAGTATTCCCGTCGTGTCACCTTCAAATGCTATTAAAAAGGGTAACACACCTTTAAACTATCAAAGAAGTATGTTCGAAGTTTATCCAAAGCATGCACTCGAGACAAGAGGCGGTACATGAGCGCCAGAATGTCTTTTCTGTTGTCTTCAAGCAAAGGCTGGAATCCTATAGATTAAGTTGATGAGCTTACAGAACCATCTCCTAGCTCGCAAATAAGCGTATAACAAGGTCATCAATAGAACCGAACCTTTCTCCAAGATAGTATCGACATGCCGCTCCAGCAATTCGGCCTCAACCAATTTGATAAGTTTTGGTTTGCTACTTGGATCGATGTACGCATTGATTCGCTCAACCCCTTCTTCTTTCAGCCTTTGATCAACGTGTTGCAGGTATTCAGCCATATCCAAACTGTGAACGAGTTTTTCTCCTTCTGACCGGTAAAACAATTGCGTCCTCCGCAGAAACGGCTCTTCAAACACCTCATGATATAGTGACAGGTCGATGAATATGCGAATTAACGATTGTAGTAAGGAGGAGTTGATTGTATCGCCAGATCTGGTGGATCGTGGAGGTGAGCAATTGATAGAACAGACGAAGCAATGACGTATGCTTACCTCTCGGTCGTAATCACATCTATAGAACCTTCAACGATTTTGTCTCGTAGTGACGTTTCCTGCAATAATTGGCTTCGAAATAGCTCTAGGCCCATATCCCTATGATCAACGAGTTAATACTTCCATGATTGTCACCACATAACAAAATCATTGAGGTATAAATAACCAGAAATGCAAGACGTACCATAGAGAAAAAATACCGCTAGACTGCAAAACATAAGTCCTATCCAAGTACAAAAAGATACTCCGTATCATAATCTGATAAACAAGAGAAAATGGCTGTTAGCTTTCCATTGCATGCACCGGTTATACTTTTTCTAAAAATCCACTTGCCATTTGATTACAGTAATCTGCCCAAGTCTGGCTGACAGTTTCCAAGAAAAAGACGCCTGTTTTGGAGTTACTAGAAGTGGGTCAGAGCGGTTGAAGAAAACGACTGATAAGCATGCCTGGCACCAGAACTTACCTGCTAAGCTTTTGAAGTTCAACCTGAACATGTTTTTCGCATTCTTCGCGCAGCCGAGTGTATAATCTGTCGGCCATTTTATGGTGACAAAGGTTTTCGCACGACTAAATGATGGGTAAATTTTTCGGCATTTTCAATATTAATGAACCGCCTCAACCTGGCGTTTCTCTGTCAAGTTACTGCCATGACTCACCTTGTAGAGGGTCTCCAAGCTCTCGGGCACTTTCTCATGATTTTGAATGGCATGAACCGCTCGCTTAAGCCTATCCCAGGTCTCGTCTTCATAGTTTGGTGGTAATTGGGGTTTGACTGTACAAAGCATTATCAGTCACGGCTGTTCAGAATCGCGAGTGGTGTGTACGCAGAGAGGACTATTTTCATACCTTTGAAGTTCCTAATGATAAGTTTTTTAGGGGCAGCCTTCGTTCGCAAGTTCCCCGATAGCAGTTTGGAGTTGGAGGTATTCCCGTTCGAAGGCGTAGTGACCGGGGTTACAAACCCTAGCTTGACATTTGCGGGAGAATGGTCAGAGTCGCTGCGCTGAGACATATTTTCCAAGTCGAATGTGGTGGATTGCTTTGTTCTCTTGTTGAGAGGTGAGTCAGATTTTGCAGTTGGTGTGTTTGAAAGAGCCTCGCCACGAGGTGTGTTATAAAATGCGTCAAGAGTTTGTTGGCTGGCGAGGGTATTCGAGGATTTCCGCTTCTTGGATGATGCTATGTGAACAAACGTATGAGTAACACACAGGTGTGAATTGCTATCCTTATGACAGTTACTCACCGTTTGCGTTCGAAGATCTCGAAGTCATGCAAACGACGTTTCTCATATAGCGGCGGTGCCTTGTGGGTTTTGTGGAGCGCTAATGGCCGTCACGGAAACGTGATCACAAATCGGGACGGCAGGTATTCTAGATAGGTCTATTGGCTCACCCGAAAAGCTTGATGGAAGGTTTTACGAATCATTACTTTTGCGATAACTTGAAGTTCATTGCTATTGACTCAAGTGGAATACTTGTTGGTTGTGTAGACTTGTCTTTTGTTCAACTGCGCCCGCAAGTTCATGCAAGCTGAGAGCAAGGGCTTTGATGGCAAGTATCTTTAAACAGTTCATGCGCAGAAAGCTCCACACATATGGTTATTTGCAATGAACAAGAAGGTTTGGATTTTAACAAGCTGGTGACATTGCTGATGGATGATCAAGCCACCATGAAAGAAAGATGCCGCTCCGTAGTTCTTGTGGCAAAGTCAGCAGATAGAGCCCGAAGTATAGGGGGGTGAAATCGTAGACTAGATGTATAGTGACTTGAATAAGCAGTAATAGCAAGGTCAAATTTTGCGCCAGCCGTATGTGCTTTACGTGACACCCTTGCCAGGACTTTTCCAATGTTTTTGACATAGACAATGTAAATGTTCAGCCACAATGAAATGATCAATTTGATGAAAATGTCTGGTTTTACATGGTTTAAAGGATGAGCAATGGCGCTTGATACATATTCTACAGAGAGAAAGTATAGAATGTAAGTATCGTATGGAAGATCATGGTGCAGACTTTAATCTCAAAGTCAACTTTAAACATAGCTCACAATGAACATACTTCTTCAAGTTTAACTTGCAACCATTGTTCGACAAAGCCAACATTGACATCATCTTTGGGGGTTTCCGGCCCTCGTGGCAATTGCAGCTCTCATTGTCCTACTGTTACATTCGTCTGATGTTCAAGGTTTACGACTTCTTAAATATGAAAGAGACGAGTACCAGTACTTCCAAAACAGCCAAGGCGTAATAATTAGGTACATACGCAGTATTTCTTTTAACAAGACTTTTTTTTGATTTTTTATTATTTCATATCCACTGGTCGTTCTTAGTTTTTACTGACCCAGGAAATCTCTCCAGTCAGCAAGTAGATTGACACCTCTTGTGCTAGTCATTCGTTACATTTTAACGGAGCTGAGGTTGAGGCTAGCATTAGTACCTGGCTCGATAACCGACAATCAGCATACAGACTATACATACCTTGTGGAAGCCAATGTCGTTGGCGTACTCACGGAAGCACTGACGGCAGATGTTGAGGTTATACTTGCGGATCAAGCCGGCTTGATGGGCGCAGACTCGGCTGTTAGAAGCAAGGTAATGTTAGCTTACGTGAGTTGATGCAACAGGATCAGATCATTGAGCAGAAGGCGTGAGGTACAAGAACAGTCGTCGAGCAGCAGTGAGCTGAATGTCAGGACGTAAATCCACTTGCAGAATACGTTTGCTTTGTCTCAATGACCATTTAAAAAATCGCCATAGACTCAATATTCGATGTCGATCGAGTCAGAAAAAAAAATTTCAATGCGCATTTCCAGGGGAGACAGAGGATTCTGCCGTCAACTGACGAATAGTCGTTCTTCGTGGCAATCAAGACTATATCGCGTTCAAATGTACTAACCACTGACGAGAGCCCTTTCCATAGCTGCGAGGGCGCGAGAACCAGACAGTTTCGTGAGACATGATGTTTGTATAAATGAAATGGATTAACCAGGTTGGATTATTTTTTTTTCCTCTACCCAAAATATTTGCCAGTCACACTTGCAGGCTGAAAGGAGCATCGCAGCGCTGAGGGGTCAGCTACGGACATGGAGTCAAACGCTTTCACCTGAGCATATTCTGAACGCTGCTCTTCCCCTTTCTTATGCTGTCAACATTGGTTCAATTCTGCTGAAATGCAAGACGCAGATGGATTGATTTCGTATCAATAATGATACAAGATGACAGGCGGCAGGTTCCATTATATATTGATTACCTTACACGGTGATTCGTTGTTAAAAACAGCTTTCATTATCAAAAAAAGAAGCAAATTAGTCCAAGTTGTTACACGTATTACAAAGAACTTTTGGAAATAAGCATGGGATTTTGGGACCCAAGTTTTGTCTCGGAATGTGCGATTAAGACGCTTTTACGGAGAATTGCATCTCCACAATTCTGCCGAGAGTGGTGGATCGAAAACTTAAAATAGGTTTGCTAACAAATAAAAAAAAGCCAAACAAATGCTCTAAGACCCATCTAGAGCCCCCCCCCCCGAGGAGATATCCTAGCAACCGCCCAGTAAAATGGAATGTCTAGTTTACACATTTCAAAGTACGCTCACTTCCTATTTCCCGCTGTTGAATGCATTAACAGAGACAATAGAAAAACCAGGTCCAGTCCCTTGAAACAGCATGGGAGCTAATATTGTGGTAACACCCTGGATGGAATGAAATCGATTCAGGCGGGCTGTTCAATCGGATTGACCGAGTATTTCAAGCGTGGTCTGACAATTGAGTACATCTTCTATTCAATTCTACTGCATGTTATCTAGGACTGATCAGTCTGATGTAAAGATACTCTAACAACCACCTGAAACCCAGGCTGATAACTGGCGTGATGATTGCTCGTCGACCACCAAGAGTGAAAATGTTTGATCCAAAAATACCATTCATGTTTCGCAGCCAAAAAGTCTTCATCATTTTGAATGCGAGGTAATTCCGCATATCACCGATGTGGTGGAGGAGATGTCTTTCCAGGTGTGTTGAAAGGGGTGTTGCCTTTCATTGTACGTTTTTAGTTAGGCAGTAACATGTCTAACCTTGTGCTCCTGTCTTTATGAAAGGCGAACGGACCGCATGATAAAGATAAGGCGAGTTTGCGCTGATGGGGAAGGCCAAAAATGGGTACGAACACACAAAGTGGTACACAGACACCAAAAGTGAATGCACTATCTCCACGGTAAAACTCGCACGCCTAGCTCTACCATAAAAAGCTCACTCTGTGAATGCATGATGGGAAGAGCGGATTGTACACGATGATCTATCATTCTGAAACTTAAAAACGTAGAGGCAAAATATGGTAATGTGACGCTCGTGGACAACTTGATTGCTGTGCGGTTTAGGGAGGGTGTCCCGATTAGCAGGTTCTGTGTACATCGTGCCCATCCATTTGTGTCATAGCCAGTTCCGATTGGCGGCGGCGCTCATGGATATAGGTTCTAACAAATGTGTTGATAGCGATGGGAATACAAATGATTGATGCCTTCAAAAAATTAAATACCTCAACCATGCAGAACTGAATTTCTAATCGACAGCGGGTGGAAAACAGTGGAAGCAGATTTCTGTTCTGAGACACTTTAGCATCATACAACGTCATTCGGTGTTTCTAAAAAATGAGGTTCCCGTGTGTTGGTAAGCCATAACCAAAAGTGCGAAATTAACAAATAAGCAATTTTTTTAAAAAAAGTTAAATCGGATGGGGAAATGGTTAGTTGATGAGCGCAAGCTTATTCATCCAGCTATAAACTCGTTGATCATAGCAAATATTAATAAATGATCCTAAACCTGTTTGCCAAGTACTCAGGCGGTCTAGGAATGGTCAAAGGTTAGCTGAAACTTTTGGGTTCCGGCCACCCTTTTAGTATGAGAATCCAATGTATTTGGTAATAGTAGTCAACTTGGTTACTTTTCAGAAGTAGACCGGATAAAAGTTTGTGATTTCCTTTTTATGTTCAAGTGGCAATATGTATATTCTGACAGAGGTTCATTTAGGGGGGGGGGAGTGGTTAAGCACAGAACAGTGGAATAAGTGAAAGTATGTACAAAAAAGGGCTTTTTACTAATATGTCTTTGAGTAGGAAAGTTGGAGTTGACAATGAGTAGGGAAGTTGGGGTTGAAGGTAGGGTTTGCTTACTGTCCGGCAGGGTTACCCAAAAAGCTACTGAAGGTGCCGCTGGTTTGAATGTAGTTCTTGACGACCGTACAATCACATCCTCGATGAGCCAACAATTGGTTCTTGAGAAATAACACTTCTTCTTTCAGCATAGAGACAGTTTCATGCAAAGCTTTGTTACGGCTGGTAATTTCCTCCGAACGTTGCTCCAGATCTTGCATCCACGCCTTCTTCTTTTGTCGGCACTTTGAAGCTAGTTAAAAAAAAAGAAATATTGGTAAATTAGTTAAGTAATGAATAAGAATTTTCATGCCTGAAAAGTCGGGTGTGTTTATTCCAAACAGACACCAAATTTTTTTTCTGCATGAGAAACAAGTGTTATGCCAAGGAAAGGTAACTTACCAGCTTGACGGTTACGCTCAAGAAACTTTCGTCGTCTTTCTTCACCATCTTCATCATCATCTTGTTCCCACTTGCGCTTTGATGAGAATTCTTGATGTGGCTGTTTGTTTGAAGTAGTACGAGATCGGGTGCGAACTTTCGGGCTGGTTGTACGCACACTACCCTCGCTTAAGTGATCAGAGCCTTCTTCATGCACGCTTTGTCTGGGTGAGGAGTGTGCACTGGATACGGGAGTGGGTGGCATTTGGGAAGAAATATCTACCATAGAGGTTGGCACCATGATCGGTGCGGGTTGTTTAGGTTGGAAACTATATTCAAAGGGATTGGCTTCAGCCATGGAGAAGGCACCGCCCATGGAAGGCGTCAGAGGATTATCATAGTATTCCATTAGAAATCTCGTAGGTGTTGATAGACCAGCTTCTGATGCAAAACAAGTTAGCATGGGAAGGCATAGCAACTGAAATATAAGAGTATTTACCTTCAAAGCTATTGTGAACGGCAAGAGCTGACATTTGGTGGAAAAAAAAAATCAGTCAAAGGGGGGAGAAGTAGAAAAGAAAAATGCAAGAAAAAATAATGTCGATTTTCTTTTTATAAAAGTGCCTTTGTTCAGAATTTTGGGGGAAAGGCAGGAAAATTATCAATTTGTGACTATGAATCGAAAGTTAGCCCTTATTTCGATTGTGGAACCCATTAATTCGGCGTCATAGTCCATATATAGAAGAGCATACCACTACGTAACGGGTCTCGCCCTATGACATTTGAAAGTCAGATGGTATTGTGAAATGGGGGGAGCTTTGTTTATCGGCAATTGGCCATGATGAGCGTCATTGCGCATCTGAGACGCCAAAGATTACCAAATGGGACTCCCCCACCGACCCATCGGTTCCAAACTGCGATTACGATGAATTCAGCACGTGACTGGCTTATCCTCTGTCCCCCCCACTGCTGGAAAGCAAAAATTCAAACTGCCCCCGCCTTTCGATGCCCTGTTGCCGGCCCATTTAAACATGGCAAAGCCGAAGGCAGCAACGTTTCCTAGACTGCCCAGATTTCGCCATGCGCATCAACCTACCAACACACACAGTGCTGTGTCTATTCCCAAGTATCCTCACGAAATTACAGACCATCTACATGAACGCGTCGAAACATCCGACATCATGCTGGGTGTCGTCGCGTATTTAGACATAAGGTTTGTTGACGGCATCTCTGCATTTCCGTCTGTGCATGTTCACTGATCTTTTTTTTTTTCTCGTTGTTCAGGACAGATGACGGCGATGATGTTTCGCAAGACTTTGAGGACGCGTTGATTGCAATGGGTGCTAAGGTAAGATGTTGTCTGTTGCTTTGGCCACCCAAAGTCAGATACTTAAAAAACATGTCCCATTGCCACAGGTACGAAAAACCTTTACAGGTAAGCCGCTTGATTTTTCTATATTAATTTTTTCATTTTTTAATTTGACTCAACGCTGATCTTATGCTCTCGGTCTTGCAGAAAACATCACCCACCTCGTGTTTAAGAATGGCTCAGTATCGACAATGCAAAGAGCCTATGCCAAATCAATCCCTGTTGTCAATCTTTTGTGGATCACAAGGTTAGGATCGTCCAGCTGAATCAATGCACAGTATATCTATACATGGGTAGCATAGAATGTCGCTCACTCTATCCCCTTTCACAGGTCACAAACACTAGGCTGCAAATTGGATGAGAAGCAATTTTCTATAGTACGCCCTGCTAATTTATCTGTGAGTGCAAGGAGAAGGAGAATATCAATGGAGCCGGGCCGTGTTAAGGAGCTTGTTCTGGATCCGAGGCGATTCTCTTCGTCATGGATGGACAGTGAGTAGGATGGGTATACCTCTATTGGCCACTGCATCATTTCCAAACTAAAAACCAATTTGCCATCCTATAGACGATAACAATGATGATATAGAAACTCAACCTGATAGTGTGAACGCTAAAGACATGGCTCGTCTGTCACTGGATGACAGCATCGAGCGACCATCTAGTTTAAAATTATCAAGGCGCCAATCGATTGGCGGCATACGACAGTCGGCCCTGAAATTCACGAAGGATCTGCAACAAGAGGGCATGGCTAGTGTTAACAAAGATGTAACAACGCCTATGCAGGGGCTTCATACTGAACAAGGGGAAGCTGAAACAGATGAATCAAGTCGCCCCGATATGAAAACGTTGATACCGAGCCAGGCATCATCGCATGAAGATCCTCCATCACTAAAGCAAGACACTGGTCAACCATCAACGCCACCCAACATGTTTACTTCCCGTATACCTGTACCACGATCCACCCTTCACACTCAATTAGAGGCCTCATCTTCGGGCCTTTGCTTTGCTGTTAGATCACGCCTTTCATCCAACCGAAAGCCCATAAGATCTCAGAGTGCCTCGTCTGTGATGACGGTACCCTCCATCAAACCCAATATCAAATCTAACTTTTATTTTGGAAGCCCACAAGACAATACAGTATCCAAACCTCCAGTCACTTCATCGTTAAAGCGGAAACGAAGATCGTCGATTGGTCCAAGGCTGAGCCTACAAGGACTAGAACGAACGCCGTTTGTGGAAAGGGATATAATCATACCCATCGCCAAGCAACCAAAGATTGATCGCAAAACGATTGTTTTAACCAGCATGGATAAGCAGACTCGAAGAGCATGTATTGACGCAGTGGAAAAATTAGGCATTTACACCATTGGAGATGAGTATGTACTGCGGTATCGTTCATATTAAACGAGCGCTAGCCAGCTAACGAAGGTTTACTTTTATAGAGTAGATGGTTCCACTACTCATATCATAGGTAAGTTCACCTTTATCATGACAGGCTAAGTTACGTAGCATGAAATAACTCAGCTCTACCCATGCCTATTCTTGTATAGTCGGTTGCAAACGTCGAACTATTTCCGTTGTTTTCGGTATATTGCGTGGTCTTTGGCTTGTTACAGCAGATTGGCTCAAGACTTCAGCGGAGGACGAGACCTATTTGCCTGAACAGCAGTATGAGATTGTTGAATGGTTTCCCAAATGTAAAATGACCCGGCTCTTAGCGCAAGAGAACCCAGGTGTGTTGCCTGGTGCAAAGCTATTGGGTTCCAGGCAAATCTACGTTGGCAAGACCTTGTTTGACAGCAAATTGATTAAAAAATTGGTGGAAGAATGCGGTGCATCGGTAAGGCCACGAGAAAGGATAAGGAAACTAATTAAAGGTAAATTTACTAAGTATACTATTTATTATTTTTAATTCAGGTCTGCGAGCATGTGGAGTCCGCGGCTCTTATTGTTGGCACTGAAGCGGATCAGAAGACTCCAACTGTCATAGAGAATTGGTTGTTTGATTGTATAGAGCAGTTTAAAGGTAACGTTCAAGGGGTTTATCTTCACCTTCTAATTGATCCGTTTACTGAAACAATTCTCTTCCCTCCAAATTCTGTTTTCATCAGACCTTCTGGTGGATCCATATCTGCTTCGCTAGAATCTAAAAATACCCTTCCCATTTGTACGACTAGGCCTCATTTTAAGCACCAGTGCCTTTGCCAAGTGTGGCTTGGTTCCACACTGGATGAAGGTTTCCCACTTTTTCTTTTCTTCAATACTCCATTGACATGTCATTGTACATTCTGATACCCATATTATTGCTACTCCCATATAATACTAAAGCTCAAAACTGTCTTAAGCTGACCAATTCAAAAGCATGCCCCGCTTTCCAGAATTACTATATTAATCTCGGCTCAAGTTCAACGTTACCACAGCCAGCATGGCTGAGCGGCGTGAATGATATTAGCGGTTTTGACAATGCTATCCTTGCTCACCTCAATTCCACATCCTACGCACAATCATTCTGGATGGACCAGCTTGGATGTACGCCCGTCAATACAAACTCCACTCCATACGCCCAGTACTCGACATCAGTGGCATGTGCTCAGCTTATACTAGATCCTGCCGTCTCATTACCTTGTAACTTTCAATACAATATATTACCAAACCCACTATGTACAACTTCCTGTCAGGACTACGCTACGTCTGTGGCCGCCATCGTAAACGATACCAGGATATGTAAAAAAACTTCCAACTTTTCAACAAATGGTGTCAACGCCGTCCTGCAAATGTGTTCCAATACCTCTGCACTAACCGGCACGCCATCTAATGGCTGCGTGGATGCGTCGCAGAATGAGACGTTGAATTGTGGTAAGTAATATGAGGAAAAAATTTGCTTGGTGATGGCCAATACCACAATGTATTTCAGGTACCAGCTGTGATCCATGAGGAGGAGCTAAAAAAAAAAGCTTTCAATTTTTAGGTTTTCAGAACGACACCGAAACGCTGTGTAATTACTGCCAAAATATTTCCAACAACTCATCCAAATCATGCTGTACGGCCGTTGATTGTAGCAAAGTTTTCTCTATTTCAAGTTCGTCACTGTCGCCAGGGTCGACTGCCGGAATTGTAATCGGCTGCCTAGCGTTTATTGTGATATTGGGTGCTCTTTGGTGGTGCTGCCGTCGAAAGTATCGGCGAGCCCCTCAGCAGGGCCTATTCAAACCTTACTACAAATCCACCAACACTGGGGACATTTACGACCGATCCAAGCCAATGTCGTATCGGCAAAAAATGGAAACAGATAGATTGGTGGAATTGTCGCCGGTAGTCGATTCTCCCGAGACAGAAGGGTTCCTTGCAGCCCAGTCTCTTCTAGATGGGTACTGCCAGGTGATTCATGCTTATTATCCACGAAGCGAAGACGAAGTCCTACTCGCCAAAGGTGATATTGCACGTCTGATCTACACGTTTGACGACGGATGGGCTCTTGGTAAGTCCGAAGATGGCGACATACTGACATGGGGGGGGGTTTAAGTAACGCGACATATTAACATAAACCTGTTTTCTGCTCTTAGCCGACAATATTACGACATGCCAGCGGGGACTTTTGCCATTACTATGCGTGGCTAGCATATCAAGTGAGGAAGTAGCTAACGCTTTGGGAATGTCGTTGGACGATCCACAGCACATGACGGACCCGACTGCAACTTCATCGTCTATGCTTATTAGGGAAGGTAGGAACGAAAATAGGAACTCGTATCTGCTTACGGACGATGGCCTTGAGCGACTTCAGAGGTCCTTATCAGTGCGGACTAGCAACCTGCCTGTTGACCTAATAGCGGAATCACCTACGCCTTCACCTTCACCACCACAACGATCCATCTCCATGCGAAATCCACAACTCATAAAACGATATTCGCAAGTGCCACTTCCATATGCAGGCGAGTTGTCTCCTATGTTCGCTTCAGATGACTCGATACAAGCACTAAGGCCGTCCATGCAAGGAGCTCGCTCTCGATACAGCCAAGGATATGACGTTCAAAAGCCGCCTTTGGTTCGAAAATCGAGCGCTTAATCTGCATAATTTTGGGGGTATGACGATACTTTAACTAGTCCAGTGCTTAAATTTTTCGGTTAAACGCCCGTGGCAAGTCTATGTTCACACGGAAATGGACCAGGACTCGACTTAGGGTACCATTAACAACTCCATTGCTTTGTTGCACAGGATTAAAAAAGATGATCCCCCCGCCGACACTTACGTCTTTTTGTTTATACGATCTAATCCACACATTATCTTTGTACACTAGCTTTTTTTTCTTACCCTTCCCCCCAAACAATTGATGTCCAGCAGCACCATTAAATATAGCATGGCGTTAATGTCGATTGGGATTAGCGCATGGACCTTCTGTTTTTCTCTTCATTTTTATTTTTAAATCGTTGTTTGTTCAACGAAATGTAAACCAGTTAGCTGGGACCTAAGAGAAGATGAAAGCGCGGGGTTTCGGGGGAGAGACTCAGCTCACCCCAAAATACATTTTTATTTATCGGAATAGTATACAAAGGAAGGGCCCATATATTGATCTGGAGTGCCTCCATTGTAACTACCCATTCTGTTATCTACAAATTCTTGGTACGAAGGTCTCCGTAGTTGTGGCACACGCATGTTTCTGGACTGATCCTGTTGACGATATTCTTCCATGGGGTCGTAATCCATTAACGTCGGGGTATACACAAAATCTGTAAATTGAAACAAGTCGCCAGCCGTCAAATGAGTAGGCATCTCAAACGGTGGTGGCATGGACTCCGAGTGAATGGCCAGTGGAGTTGCTGTGGATGCTATTTGTGGTGGTGAATACGTATGATTAGGGTTGGAGAGTGGTAATACATTATAGTTGACGACAGCTTCGTGATTGTCGGGATAATTAATGACGGTGGTGGATGGTGCTCTGGGAGGGGGCGTTGAATCATGAGAAGCTCTGGATGTCGCGGTGGTAGCCATGTCGGATTGAGGAGGGGTGGAGGTGGTGTTATGATCACCATTTTGCAGCAGCAATTGTTGTATTTGTTGGATCAAATTCACTACTTGCTTTTGCTGTCTGACCGGTGCGTTCATGAGTATGGTAACGATTTTACGTAAATGATGCTTGGCCGATTGAACAGTGTCCTGTTCGTTTTTAAGTAAAAGCATCGAGTATATCGATGTGACCATCATCAGATTCTCCAGCGTAAAGTGGCACCATCGTTGTTCCAGCATACTAAAGCATTCCAACAGTTCGACAATCGTATCGGCAGCGCGTACACAGTTTTGCTCAGCAATCAGTCCTACGGCCGAATTGGTCTCTCCTGGAGGTTCCATAAATGCACTATACAATTGACAGAGTTGAAAGTTCATCTCGATATTCAACTTGATGCACCCTTGTTCTCGGAACGATGTGCTTTTCCATTGCCTTTTTGACAGATCCCCCTTTTGATATCGAAAGAAATCCGGTAATTGATGAAACCATTCAGTGAGTTTCTTGTCGAGTTGTGTCACTCTGGAAAAATAAGGGTCTTTCTTTTCTAAAGCAATGGCGATTTCTCGATAAATTTGTGTGATTTTGAATCGGTGTTTGGTGAATTGAACCCGAAAGTAGCATTCATCCGTTTCGCTTGGCAATGTGTCTATGGCTTCGACAACATGCGTTTGATCTTCCGGAAAGGAGAATGGCTTATCTGAGTGAGCTGAGCATAAGGTTTCCAAAAAGAAACACAGCCAAAAGAGACGTCTTCGCTTTTCCGCGTGCACACGGTTTTGACCAGGATGTTCCATGTGCATTCGCATGTCTAAGCACATGCGTATGGCCATGCCTAGATACAAGTACGCTTCTGACTCATACTCTGCCTTTTTAGGTCCACCTTTGCCAATACAATAGACATACATGATCAGCAATCCCTGCATGTTGACTTCGGTGGCTTTTGAAAATCGTTCCTTCAAAATATTTTTGGATATTTCAAAAAATTCTTCACCGACCGAGTTGGGGTCCTTTCCGGGAAAAAGCCCATGGTATATGGCGGCGTGTCTTGCTGACCAGGCGAGAATAGCGTTGACCAAAAGAGGGTCAGCTCGATTACTGCTGAATAACTCTTTAAATTCGAGAATGTCGACCATAGGAAAGCATAGAAAGCATTCATGGTGAATGTCGATTAATTGCTCTAGTAAAGCAGGCGTGAAGGACTCATTTGAATCAAGCATTTTGGTCTCGCTATGAGTTGCTGGTTCCCACATACTATAGAGAGGGAATGTTTTGGTCTTGCTCTTCCAGAGCGGATGTGACTTAGCGACCACTGTATGCTCTAGGGATGTTTTGGAACTTTCTGATGATGATCCGGGCGACGCAACTTCATGATCAATTTCATCCATAGAGCCTCGACTGCGCATGCCGGTAAAGAGAATGTCATAAAGATCGCTCATGGATAATATGTCGGTGTCAATCCGTAACCCAGAATGTGTTAAAGAAAGTTTCCAATTTGATTTTGGTGCGGGCAGTCGCATGGCCATCTGGTCGGCCAACGATGGGCGATCTGAAACAACTGGCCTACTTTTGACGATTTTCGAGCTTTCAGGTAGCATATTCGCTGGATGCTCAACGGTGCGTTGTTGTTCTCGTTCAGCATGATCGAGATTTTCATGTTTGATCCTGACCTCATCAACTACAATTTGAGTATTGGACCGTATATCTGTAAGATTCGACTCAATGGATCGTACCCGCTCTTGCAACGACTCCACCGTATCATTCAACCGAATCAGATTGAAAAGGTCAATCTGAGTTTCTTTGCCTCCGTAGCAGCATTGCACTAAAGTAATACAGAACCCCAGAAAAGTTTAAAAAGTAAGTCTCAGCATTCCAGCATCCGACCAGGCACCAAAACTACACAGCTAACAACACCCTCTTACCTCCTGCTGCTTTGCACCTAGTACACACTGGATGAGCGAAATCGCATTTTACTATTGGAATGATATAAAGATTAGTCAGCGGGGCGGGGACTTGAGGATTTGGCTGAAATGAAATCGGTGTGTACCTTTTTTGGTCCTGTGGGACGGGTGTCAACCAGTAGGCAAACAAAATCAGTTGTGATGATACTAGGATTACTGTTGAAATATGATATAGTAAACAATTTGTATTACCTGCATCGTTCACATGCCATTGTCATTCTTATACGTTTCGAGGATGTTGCTGGCGCAGATGAGATTTCCTCGGTGGGTTCGGCTGTCGAAGTAGCTCGAGTTCTTTTTGAAGGTGGCTGGCTACTACCTGCATCTTCATTGGATGCTTCTCCCTGAAGACTTGTCATAGCTGAGGATGTGGAGTCACGGTCGCTTTCCATGGAGGATGACTCTCGATCACAATAAGTGGCAACGCAGGCGGCAACCCAAAAAAAGACTCTGGTTTTTCGGTGGCGAATTGGGAAAATGGCAGTCATGGTTCACATGCCGAGTGGTTTTTTTTATTTCACAATGAGGCAAAACGCCATCACACCAATCAGCGGCCGTGATCGGCAACGAACCTGTCACAGGCCTTGTTTGTTAAGTAAAAGGTTGGAAAAAAAGGTCGGTCGGTTTACATAAAGATAGCTATAATTCATCTCTATTTCCAACACATCATCAAGAGAGGGCCACAAAGATATGTTATCGCTGCACGGTAATACTCCATCTAATTATCTTTAATAATAGAAAAATCAGCCAGCTGGTACAGCAGAGCGAGCGCACAATATGGGCTAGTTCCTCCTTTTTTTTTTTTTTTCCAAGGTTTGGTTCGCTTCACCGGCAATTCCCCAGAATCCAAACGTCCCACAAGTCATAAAAAAGATCCGCTTACGCTCATCGATGGTCAACGTACTGTCCATGTTGCAAACATGATAGAAAATACAATGTATCCCGTGCAATACTGCAACTAAATATGGGTGAGGGCTCCCAGACACCCACGCCAGACATGATGCATACTTTTTGATTCCTGTGAAATGCTAACCTAAGCACGGCAACCACACTTTCTCAAATGCACCACTGTGGCATAAAATGTCGTACAAAACCACTCAAGGTACTTGGTGTGCATATTTCAGGCACTGAACCTCCAGAATCTCACTTTGTATCCGAGCGTTTTATTTTATATACAATGGGAGGGAAAGAAAAAATTACTTTAGCTGAATAATTTCATCTATATATCCTTCGGTTTAACGAAGATAAGATTGCACGATATATCCTGTTAGATGGCTCATGGATTGGTTCATAATTCATCCTCCGAATCATTGGACCATATACTATCGTCGCTCGAGGCTGATGAACAGAGAGTGGGTACATCCTCATCATCTTCGTTCAAATCCTCTATTTGTTGCTCGTCCCATTGTTGTTGTCGTGCGGTGGGATGCGAAGGTATGGGGACGGGATTGTAAAGTGTTGCAGTGGGTTCATCGTCCGAAATAAGGTCATCCAGGCAGGCATCAAACCATGCCAGTTGATCATCATTTTTCTGGAATGGGGCTGAGAGATCGACTGTGCCACTTGTTTGCACAGGCTGCGGTGGCTGCCTCAGCAAATTGGACAATAAGACGAATCTCCGAATCGAGTTATCCGTTCTGGAATACTCATAATGTTCCGCGAGTTTGACCCGAGCTGTCTCGGCCACATTAATGTAGGGTGCTTGGCTACTCATGTTATTTGTTTGTGTCATGGTTGGGTAGGTAAAATTTGCTAATTGCTATCGGGAAGCGCTGAGATGAAGTCTATCACGTTCGATCATGCTGTGAAATTTGGAAGTTATAATAGTAGTTTATCCAACAGAGAGAGGTAGGTTGTAGAGATTTAGTTGACTATGATATGAGCATGTTGGAAAGAAGTAATAGAATGGACTCCATCGGGTTGGAAGCCTACATATTTATAAGAAATGAGTCATGGTCACGAGACAGCCACCCCATCTCCTGTTTGTAAGCCGCAGGCATGTTTCAATCTGAAAGGCTCCCCCCGAAGGCATTTTCCTATCCAACCAATGACGTTGGAATTGACTCCCCATTTGTCACCCTGCATCGCATCTTTTATTAAAAATCATCGCAAAATTTTAACGATGAGTTTCACGCCATTAATACCAGAGTTTGCATCATATAACATCATTTTGCAGCCAGCTAGCAACACCAACCATGAGTTTTGTTGGTTGATGTATACGTTTCTAAACACGTCTGCCCTCAATAATAACCAGCTAGGTAAAACACTGGTTATGAAGGGGTGGCAGGAATGATGCAAAGGAAGGTCATTAATCAGCGTTCATTCCTTTTGTTATCGTTCACTTCCCATATGGTCCACTACACCATGTCATTATTTTCCATCCATGTGAGAGGCTTGTTTAAATTTGGGAGTAGCGGTGAGAATGTGTGTCATTTCATGCCGTGAGCGTTTTCTCCTTTTACGAAACGATGAAGTCAAGGTTGGTAGTAGTCCCACAGAAAGCAATACCCATCCAAATGAATGAAAAAACTGTGCAGCAGTATTGCAGTATGACCCCATGTCAACCAGACTAAAATATTGTAATCTGACGACTTGACGCTGCCCTCTTGCACCTAATGAAAAGATACGAGCCTGTCAATTTTGTGCTAGTCACCATGGCGGCTGAGCTGGAATCTCTCCCCCAAGTTTTACGCCCGTGCAATCATTCAATCGGATCCTCAGCCGCTTTAATTCACTGACAACATGGCAACCACCGGCTCAGAAGCCCATCGCTCAGACATTATTGAGCTTGAGCGGTTGAAGAATCTCGCCGAGAGAGATTCTGTGAAAGCGCTTTTAGATACCGTCATTTCAAAATCACAAAAACTATTGGAACGGGCAGAGGATTCAGAAAAACAAGAAGAATTAAAGACACAAGAGAGACAAAGGCTCGAGGAAGCTCGAAAGAGGCGTGAAGCGGAAATGGCGGCCCAAGGGAAGGTTATGCCCCAGCCTATTGGAAGAGAAAAGGTAATGTATTTGCTGGTTTTCTTGTTGTCAACCTTGGTGTATGCCTGCCACTTATTGTGATGATGTCTCGACAGGCTAAAATCCAGAATGTATACATTACAACAGGCTATGGCTGGGACCAATCGGATATGTCTGTAATGTAAGCTGGGCGTTTATAGGAAACCAATGGAATGGTGGCAAATGAGCGAGACGCCGACCGGTATATCGGAACATTTCCAATTGCTAAGCGTACGCCCACACATTTTATTTCAGGTTATATATCAATATCAAAGACGCAGATACCCTCACGGAAGATCAATACAAGCTGGACGTTCAAACGCAAAGTGTAAATTTTGATGTGGTAAGTGAGTCAATTGAGGATTTACATTCATGTAAAAACACTTGTGAGATTTACAAATGATTCTAGTACAATCATAATGGAGCGAACTACAACTTTAAGATTTCAAAACTTGCCAAAGAAGTCGTTCCCGAAAAGTGTCGGGTAAAGGTACGGATAGCTGGTAATCATGTTGTGATAATGCGGGGACATCACTCACTTCGTTGGCCCACAGCTTAAGAAAGCGCAAATTATCATCTTTTTGCGCAAGAAGGAGCAAGGTAAACAGTGGCCAGAGTTACGCTATAAGAGTACCCGTGATGTATACAATGAGCTCGTTCGAGCTGAGGAAAAAGGTGAATGTGATTGATTTAATGTGAGTTTGCCCAATTAAGCTCTTCCTAACTTGAACCTTGCCGCAGGTGAAGTCCCAAAACAAGCACCCACTAGCCAATTCCCGGAAGATATGCAATCCAAAATGAAGGAAATGTTCGAGAACAGTGACCCTGAAACGAGACGTATGATGGAAGAGACTTATAAACAAGCTCGTGATATGAAGGCGAACGGAGGGAAGTATGACCCTCTTGCTGCCATGGCTGGTATGGGCATGGGTATGCCAGGACTGAGCGATATGTTTGGAGGTCATAATGACCATACTCACGGACCCAATTGCTCTCATCAACATTAAAACGATAGAAATGGTTATAGCGTACTTTTATGATTGTTTAGGAAAAGAATGTGGGGCGTGCAGTGTAGAAATTACATAAAGTCATCGAAATCGTCAAAGTTATCATAAGCAGCTGTATCGGGACGACCAGCAGTCTTTTGGTTACCCTGCAATGTTGGCTTTTCCTTGCCCTTCTTCTTTGGTTTGGCAGCTTCTCGTTGTTGACGTTGCTTCTCATTGGCGAGTGCAGTAAGAGTTGAGGAAATCTTTCGCACTTCCAGATCCTTGATCGGTAAGCACAATTCACGAATAAAGTTTTCCAAGAAGACCTTATATTGTCCAGATTTCTGTCAAATCGATGTGGTTAGTCGCGGATAGTGACCTATTTAGAACACAAATGCTGAATGAGTTACGAACCTGGTGTGCGCTAATTGACTCAACCAATCGCTTTTGGTAGGCTTCGAACTGCTCCTTGGTGACAGGCTTCATCTTCTCGAGAGGTTCAGAGCCATCTATTTTTATACAATAAAAAAATAAAATCAAAATTAGATGGATATTCTGTCAATACTAAAGGACGGTGGATGTGACTTACCATCAACAGCAACGCCGGAGAAGAGGTCAGAGGCATTCTGAATATCAGATTCGATCTGAAGTCTCTTCTCACGTTCCTTGCGCTCGAAGGCCTCCTCGTCAGTTTCGGGTTGTTGTCGGTTGGCCTAGTGAACAATGTGCGTTAGAACTTGTTTCCCAAAAAACCTGTGCTCAGGAACTGCAAGTGGAAAAAAAAAGTGTAGCTTACCAACTCGGAACGCTTAGCTTCCAACTCCTGCTTCTTTCTCTCTTCCTCTGCCTGACGCTCGGCAATCTTTTGTGCAAGAGGGATCTTCTTTTTGGCGGGAGCAGCAACGGGCTGGGGCTTCTCTTCCTCATCGGATTCCTCCCAAGAGTCTTTGATGTCGTCTTCAACGTCTTCGTCGTCCCACTTCTTCTTGACAACAGGAACGATAGGCTCGTCTTCGTCAAAATCGTTCTCCCAATCACTCATTGCTCTAAGATCTATGTGTTTTGGAAATTATAGCGACATTGTTTCACCAAACAGATCATATAAAAAAGCTCGGAAGGCAAATACACCTACGTCATCATTTTGAAAGCGGGAGTTTATTTTAAAGTACAAAAGGCACATGGAAGCAAAATATCTACACAAGTTATCGATGGTGAATAGCGTCTATCCAACATTATTTGAGGGCGTTTTCTTTTCATATAAGGGGCATGGTAAAAGAAGCCAATTGGCGCTGCCGGGCAATTCTTTTTTCAACGTCTGTTTTTTGGGTCTACTGTCGCAGGCGGCTCAGCTGACATCTTTAATGATAGCAACCAACACGCTTATATCATCCGCTTTACCTCCCTAAAATTGATCAGAATATGTCAATATTGTCCGATTACAGTATTTATTTGGAGTCAAGAAACCACAAGGATGAATTTTTACCTGGTAGTACATGCCTTCTTTCATGGCTCGAGTTTGGAATGGTGAGCTTCCGTTGTCATTATCTTCACTTACACGCTTGGCTCGGAGCGCCAGAGCATCCGATATTGCTTGTGGATCGATTTCCGGAAAATCTGGTCCTGTGGTCAAAACGCCTTCCAATTTGGGAGACACCTGTTCACACACAATGTCGAGGATATCATCGTCGAATAGATTGTCGAACAAGCCATCCGATGCCAAGATGATGATATCGCCTTTCTCCACCTTGACTGTGAATTGCTGTGGAAATGATTTGTTAGAAAACGATATCATGTATCATGCCCTGAGAGATGCTGGTAAAGAAAAAAAATATATGCACCTGTGCGTCTTGAGGTGAATCAAATGAGCCTGTTCCTAATTGATAAGGAAAATTGAACGAATGCTGTTGTTCTTCCGTACGGAAAACAAAATTGTTATGCCGGATAATGGACAATCCGCAGTCCCCGAGGTTGGCAATCTTCAGCTCATCGTTGCCTAAGACCACTACACAAGCAGTTGAAGAACCTACTATGCCTTCATGCTTGGCATCCTGTGAGCTTTTGTCATAGCTGCGCTGCAGTATTTCCACCGGATCGATCTTTCGGCTGTAAAGTGACGCAGGGGGTGTGGACGAAAGATCTAGTTGTTCCATTTCGAGGTACGCATAGTGCATGAGTTTCCTCGAGTAAAGTGCTGGGTTGGCCCCTGGAAACACAAAGGGCTGGTTAGCAACATTTTACCGCAGCGTCATCTGAAAAAATAAGGTCTTATTTGCTTGCCTGAATGGTTTCTCCAGCCGCCGACACCGTCAGCCACCCCGAGAGCATTGTAGCGCTTGAAATAGGAGTCTTCCCCCACTTGCACACTGAAGTAATGGACACTTTCCTCTGGTGTTATACAGACCGTGCGGCCCGGCTTGGCAAAGCCAGAGGCTGCATGGTTAAAGATATAAGCTGGCTTATGCGGGACATAAGCGGGGTCAAAATAATCTACAATCGATAAATGGCCAGTGTTGTCGCAAGCAGGGATTCTTGGCTGCAGTGGCTCATAAAGCACAGAGTATTGAGCTGTTTGTTGAGATAATGATAATATTGAGGAGGAAGTGGAAGACGAGAATATTGGCACATTGTCCCTTGCGGGGATTGAGCGCACAGCTGCGGGGTGTGAAGAGGACGAATGGAAGGTTTTGTTATGTTGGGTTGGGTAAATGGCTATAGCTGGACCAGCCTTTGAACGATAGAGCAGGTGTTTATAGTAAGACTGGAGTAGTATGGCCCGCTTCTGTTGTATCATGTTCAACATTGGGTTGAAGTGGAAATTTCAATATTTCATGAGGCGTCTGGAAACAAGTTTTAGCTGAGCGGGGAAAGGTTCCCAAAATTTTTGTTACGAGCTTGAAGCTCGTGCAACGTCTTCATTTCAAGGAACAGTCAACGAGGATTTTCGCTATAGTTCCCTTTTTCCAGCTTCATCTTGTAAATTCTGTAATCGTCTTTTTGAACTCATGTCGCGGCGAACACAAGGGGCCACCACCATGTTGGACGCGCAAAGTTCAAGATTCAGCGTGAATTCCAACCTTATGAACTACTCCATACCATACGATGATGTTGAGGTAAAACAACAAAAAAAAAACTCCCCCATGAGTCATCCTGGCTAGATTACCAACTAAGTCTTTTACAGACCGACATAGAGCCCAATATAAAGCCTGTTCAATCTGAACAGCGAGAAATCCAGAGAGGTAATAGTACGACGCGAATTCGACAGTTAGAGAATCAAATCGAAGCCATGACTTTGCAAAATGTCAAATTACTGCGTACAAACCGTTTATTAAAGATCGATACCGACAATTTAATCAAGCAAACCACCCAGCCACTGCAAGAAAAAATTAGCGAACTGACCCTTGCCAATATTCGACTGCAACGGGCTAATAAATTACTGCAAATGGATGTTGATGAGAAGACCAATGAACTAAATCGTCACCGGGAAGAGGAAGTTATCAAGCTAAAATCTGTTGGTCCTGAGTATGAATATCTCGTGCAAATGATCAATCTGCTACACAGACAGGTGAGAGAAACTTTCTTTGCGTCTTTTGAGGTCTAGAGTTCGGTTGACTGACCCGCAACACTCGTGGTTTATGTAGATCAATGGATCTGCATTGTGTGAGGAGACGTGTTGTTTTACGGCCGCCTCAATTGATCAATCAGCTGTAGTGATGACCTTACCTCCAGAATCGGATGAACAAAAAGTCGAGGCGCAACACATTTGCAGACCCGTCATTCATTCCTATATATCCCAAGGCTCCTATGCTGCCGAACTTCAAAACAAGATTGTGGAGCTCGAAGATACCATTGAGGATATGAATCAAGACAAGGAGGATATAATACGACAATTACAATACCACACCACGGATACAGAAACACTCAAACAAGAATTACGACTGAAAGAGGAGCTGGTGTCCCAGTTAGAGCAAGAGTTTACATCTTTAGAGGAGCTAGTGGCTCACTTACAGCAGGTAAGATCTTAGTGAACACCATCATAGACCGATAGGAGGAGCTTCAAAGCAAAACCTAGGTTCTGTCTATTTTCTTTCCCTCTCAATTCAAACATGCATCTCGATGCCAAACGTGTCTGATAACATTTTGGATTCCCATTTTCTGTGTTTCTAGCAACTGGACACTCCCGATGCAACATCAGTTTCCGCCACCACAACCCCACCCACCACCATCAAGAAGGCGACCATATCGACTGCAGCGCCAGTATCAATCTTGAAACAGAGCAGACATGACTCCAAAATCAATCGCATGGAGGAGGACGACAAGGACGAAGATAGGGACCAGCCAGACCCTAGACGGCGTTCACAACTTCTCATGGCATCGAAACGACTATCATTTAGGATGAATGACACTCAGCTTCTGGAAAAAATGCTTCGAGGTGATCTCAGTGTAGGTGACGAAGGAAGGCATCATCATGTGTTTGATGATGACGATTCTGATGATGATGACCGCAATGGCAACAGCGAGGTCAGCAGCTCTAAGCAGGACATTGAAACCGTGAAGAAACCAGAGGCTATAGTAACCAAGGAATGGCCGTCTCAAACGTTGAAACCCGGGAGCAAGATATCCAAGACGCAAGATGAAAAGTTGAAAGTAGACAGCAAGATCAAAGACAAAGGTGATGACAAAGAAAAAGTTGAGGCGCAAAACGCGCTGAACATCAAGGAACAAGGCGATACCGAATTGCCTTGCCTATACCCAAATCCAGAGAAATCGGCAGCACCTACAATAATCATGGTGGGCGGTCAACAAGCTGTATTTACAGTTATGAGTTTGTTTTTCGGCCTTGCGGCAAGCTTGCAAATCACAGATGACTGGAGTGTGCCCATCACTTTGGCCGTGTTAGCTTCACGCTTCTTGTGGACGGGTTCTGTGCATAGTATGCAATTCAAGATCAAATTTCCTTGACCTACTACCTTTTTTCATCCCTTTACTAGAGCAAAATCACTTTCAAAATTTCTCTCCCCTACCATTGTTATATTCCTTTTCAACACTGTAAATAGATATACTCGATTTTTTTCTCTCGGCTATTCTTACGACATAGCTATGAACCCCTCCACTCCACTTTCGTCCGAACTCCATTGTTCAATCAGTTACAATCCTATCTTATCCCACTACTCTATTCAGATTGCCTTTTTTTTGTTCTATTATTACCATTTTATTTTGTACACGCATACACAGTTTGAGATGGATCGCGGTCGTATTCTTGTTATCTTCCACAACCCCTTAATTTCAAAAATAGTAAACGAAAAAAAAAGAACCACCACGGATCGTATTGCTGCGTTTTGTTCACATTCTAGAACAGATATATTGCTAACCTATCAAGTATCGCAGGATGTCTGATAAGCTGACAATACCCTTCAGCTTGTTATCTTGGTCGACTACGATCAATCGGTACACTCTCCGCTTTCGAATCGTGCTAAAGATGGAGTATAGGGTATCATTCAATGTACACGTGTGAACACCGGGAAAGTCCTGTGGAAGGAAGACGAATAAGGATCTATCATATTTAGAGGGCCCCATTGGGGACATTCTTCCCTCCCCTGTTATTCATCAAAAATGCTTACATCTGGTCTCGCTTCTAATGCCACGCCAACAGGCACATCCAGTTCATTGTATTTGCCAGATTTTGCGATACTCTGTAAAACAGCATAAACATGAGCATTTACTCTAAACCGAAAGCTTATCGCTATCGATACTCACCATCACATCCACTGTTTCATATACATTGAGCACGACATTTTCATCATCTACAATCGGCACAGAGCTGATGTGGTTTTCCACAAACATATTAATGACTTGAATAATAGGCGTGGTTTTTTTCGCTATTGCAATATTTTCGTATGTTCCGATCTTCAATTCATGAAGAGGCTGTCGTAACGCCCGTGTTTCTTGAAACTAGAGTCACAACACAATGGTCCGGTTAGGAAAGTTCCGCTTGTAACTCACAACGACATAACATCATCCTTACATTGACAGCGATGAATTTGAGTATGCGATATTGGGTGAGAACGCTCACAATCAGTTCAGTCTGAGTTTCGGCTTCTCTGTCTAGCAATGGTATACGGTGTGATCTGCTTTCTACCAGCAATTTGGATGCGTCATATAAAGTTGACATAGGATGTATTGAAAGTAATTGAGGTGCTGGTGCTCCTACTCGCTTTTCAACGTCTCGCATATGTTGAATTTGAAAGCTTTCAATGTCGTGTAGGGCGTCTTGTACCGAGGAGTGTGTGTAGTAGTATTGAATTAGGTTAATGAAATCAGAAACGGTGAGCATTCCTGCAAACTTTTGATCTTGGCTGGACCATAGTGGCGCAGAGACAATACCTGGAAGTGATGGAATAGAATTAGTCAATGTCGTGCTCATGTTTTATACATTGGCTTAGGCATTTACCGTTCTGCATTAATGCCGCTAATGCTTTCTTGACCAAGAGTTGGGTATCCAGCACAATTAACCGATAGCTGACAGGGAGAACGTCATAGGTGGTGTGCTGTTTGAGAAATCCACGAACTAGATCCTGCAAGTTGTCGTTGGAATCCATGAGGGACCGGCAATAGTGAGTGGTTTGAAGCAAAGCCGAGGGTATCGGAGGTGGCTTTTTCAGCGGAGCGCTGGAATAAATTCGTCATGCTTGGGCTCTTGAAGCGCGTCACAATCAATTCTTTCTTTCTCTCCTCAATATGCTCAGTGTCAGTCGTACGTTCCTTACCCAGGCTAAGAGATCCTTCCACTCTTCCTCAGCTGCTTTTCTCAAGGTAGGAGATTGTATTCCTAACGTGGAAGTGCAAGGTTCTTCCCCTGCCGAGACTTACAAGGCTGGCGAGCTCCTTGGTGACAAGAAGCGTGCTATCCTCTTTGGCGTTCCCGGTGCCTTCACACCTGGATGTACCAAGAGCCATCTACCCGGCTACATTAAGCAAGCAGACGACCTCAAAGCCAAAGGTGTTGATTTCATCGCATGCGTCTCCGTCAACGACGCTTTCGTTATGAACGCCTGGGGTGAGTCGGTTGGCAACAAAGGTGAAGTCAAGCTCTTGGCTGATCCTGCCGGTAGCCTCGCCAAAGCTCTCGATTTGAACTTTGATGCAACTGGTGTCCTTGGCAACCACCGCTACAAGCGTTTTGCTGCTGTTGTTGAAAACGGTGTTGTTAAGAAGCTTTTTGTTGAGCCCGACAATACCGGCCTCAACGTCAGCCTTGTCGAAAATGTCATCAAACAACTTTAAGTGATGATCCTAAGGACGTATGCAATTCTTAGTAGTCGACATAGCCTGCAGCTTCTATATGTGAACCTTTAACTCTGCAATCAATCCACCAAAACTGCCAAAATTTTCTTTATGTTCAAGCATATTTGCAAGGCGATATAAATACAATAGTCTTCTCATTATGAATCACATTAGCTGGTATGCTTCATCAAAACCGAAATGGGATATAATCGTTGGCCTATGGGAATACATTTGTTAAACAAGAGAAAACAACTGTTTACAAAATGGCTTTTTTGTGTTTTTGGTTTGGCTGCCTATCTTGTAGTGAATATTGACGCCTTTTATTATGGGACGATAGGTAGGAAATCTCCACTAATTCATTCAATCCGCTCAATTCAACTGCATTAAGATGAAGCTTGAGGATCTGATGCTAATACAGTACGGTACATTTTTTCATCATTTCCAAGCTTCACAAATGAGGTTCCGAACAAACTTTGAAAGTCTGGTCTATACACGTGACGGACGGAGATTTAAAAAACGAGATCATCTCATTTCCAAGCTGAAACTTTTTTAACATCAATTAAGTCTAAGACTTTCTCTCTTCCTTCTTCCTCCCCTCTCTTTTCCTCGGCAACCATGGTCACTGCTATGTTGTCTGCAAGAACATCACTAGTTTCTAGTTCTCGCATGTTACGAAGACGTCTTGCCACGTCCGTAAACCCAGTACCTGAGAAAGATTGCCGTACAATCACTCCGCCATATACCAAGTTGACAGACAACCTTACAAAGGTTAAGCGAATTCTGGACGGCAGACCCCTTACCTTGGCCGAGAAGATTTTATACTCTCATCTTACCAACCCTGAAGAAACTATCCCCGTTCGCGGAGAGACTTACCTCAAGTTGTCGCCAGGTTTGTAATGCAGCTTAGTATGGCGTGATCGTTGGTCTGCTATTAACGGTTGTGGTGTATAGATCGTGTTGCTATGCAGGACGCTTCAGCTCAAATGGCTGTTCTTCAGTTTATGCTCTCCGGCATGAAGACAACTGCTGTTCCATCATCCATTCACTGCGATCACTTGATTGAAGCCTTTGCTGGTGCCGATAAAGACGTTGACACCGCCATCACCAACAACAAGGAGATCTTTGATTTCCTCGAAAGTGCCGCTAAGAAGTATGGTATCGCCTTTTGGAGACCCGGAAGTGGTAAGGATGAGGCTTCCACTGTATAATCTTGATGAACTGTATGTTGACAGTCTACTAGGTATCATTCACCAGATCGTCCTTGAGAACTATGCAGCCCCCGGTAAATTGATGTTGGGTACTGATTCACATACTCCTAATGCCGGTGGTTTGGGTATGCTTGCCATTGGTGTTGGTGGTGCTGACGCTGTCGACGCTATGGCCAATATTCCTTGGGAGTTGAAGGCTCCTAATGTCATTGGTATTAAGATGACTGGCAAGCTCAACCCTTGGACTAGCCCTAAGGACGTCATTCTCAAGCTTGCTGGTGATTTGACTGTCAGAGTAAGTACTAGCTGTCACTTAGGGATCTTATATTTTGGCGTATTCACAAACCGTTTCTTTCCATAGGGTGGTACCGGTCACATCATTGAATATTTTGGCGAAGGTACACAAACATTGTCTTGCACGGGTATGGCCACTATCTGTAACATGGGTGCTGAGGTAATGCTTTGCGATAACAATGATATCTTTTAAAAAGCACGCGATGGTTAACTAACTAAGATGCATAACGAATTTAATAGGTTGGTGCTACCACATCTGTCTTCCCTTACACTGAAAAGATGCGTGGCTACCTTGGTGCCACTGGTCGCCGTGCTGTTGCTGAGGCAGCTGACGCCCACAAAGACTTTTTGCGTGCTGACGAAGGCGCTCACTATGATAAGGTCATTGAATTGAACCTTTCGGAAATCGAGCCCCACATTAACGGACCCTTCACACCTGATTTGAGCACACCTCTTAGCAAGTTTAAGGATCTTGTCAAGGAGAAGGGATGGAAGGATGAGCTGTCTGCTGGATTGATTGGATCCTGCACAAACTCTTCCTATGAGGATATGTCACGATCTGCCTCCATCGCTAGACAAGCTGCTGCCGCTGGCATCAGCACCAAGAGCAATTTCTTGGTCACTCCTGGTTCTGAGCAGATCCGCGCTACTATCGAACGAGACGGTCAGGTCAAGGAATTTGAGAACGCTGGTGCTCAAGTTTTGGCCAACGCTTGTGGACCTTGCATTGGTCAATGGAAGCGTACGGACATTGACAAGTCCAAGCCCGAAGAAAATGCTATTTTGACATCCTTCAACCGTAACTTCCGTAGCCGAAATGACGGTAACCCCAAGACCATGAATTTCTTAGCTGCTCCTGAGATCGTCACCGCTATGACTTTCTCTGGCAAGTTGTCTTTCAACCCCATGACGGATAGTCTTCAGGACAAGAATGGACAAGATTTCCGCTTTGAACCCCCGCATGGTGATGACTTGCCTGGCCAAGGATTCGACGCTGGAAGAGCCACCTACGAACCTCCATCCCCTACGCCCACATCCGACGAAAATGTTGAGATTAAGGTTGATCCCAAGTCCAACCGTCTTCAAGTTTTGGATCCATTTGATGCATGGAACGGAGATGAGATGAAGAATTTGCGAGTTTTGGTCAAGGTGGAAGGCAAATGCACTACTGATCACATTTCTGCTGCTGGACCTTGGCTCAAGTACAAGGGTCATCTTCAAAACATCGCTGAAAACACATTGATCGGCGCTCTTAACGCCGATAATGGCAAGGTCAATGTTGTGACCGATATTACCACTGGCAAAGAAGGCAGCATTCCCGAGGTGGCAAAGAGCTACAAGTCCCAAAATCAGCCATGGCTTGTCATTGCCGATGTAAGTACATCTCATAGATTTTATGCGGTTGACGCCCCGCCGAATTTATGAGATATTTATATTAATCTTCATTGCAACTAGCACAATTATGGTGAGGGTTCAGCACGCGAGCACGCTGCTTTGCAGGTCCGTTATCTTGGATGCCCGCTTATTATTGCTCGATCGTTTGCTCGTATCCATGAAACCAACTTGAAGAAGCAAGGTGTCCTTCCATTAACATTCGCCAACGAAAACGACTATGAGAAACTCTCTGGTGGTGATGTCGTTGAGACGATCGGTGTTAAGGGGATCGCTCCTGGAAAAGCTGTGACACTGGTTGTCAAGAAGCAAGGAGGAGAGCAATTTGAAATTGAAGCTAAGCACACTATGAGCACCGATCAGATTGAATGGTTCCAAAAGGGTAGCGCTTTGAACTTGATCAAGGAAAAGGTCAATCAACTCTAGATGGCCATGTTCATAGATAACTAGAATTTTCATGCCAACCCCCAGCCAAAAAAAAGGTTTTAAGAAAATACCATTAAAAATTGCGAACAAAAGTACCACCATGATATGCGGTCAAACCTCATAAGCCACCACATTTGTCTGACCAACCTCTTCTGGCCATTTTTTTCAACCTTCACTATTGAGCTGCAGCCTTTCCACCCGGTCTTTCCCTTTAAATTATTGCTTGGATGACATCACCTCCAGCATCAGCTGTTGCGAAAGCACCATCTCCTGCTCCACCAGCGGACATTTCTGCAAATGACCCTGCTCAGATTTCGCCTCAGTGGGAATCCAATGGTGAAAAAGCTATCGAGGATGGTCCATTGTTTCGCGCAACCATAAGTCAGTTGGAGAGCAAAACGGCATCCCTCAAAGCTACGGTGAAACGAATTCTCAAAGCCGCCATCGCATCTCTAGAAGCTCAGCGAGCAAGTTTGGAGGCCGACGAAGCTTTAGTCAAGGTGCTTCGAGACACCCCAGCGCTGGAACCTCTTACCACTACCTACTTAAATCGAGCTTCTCCTTATATTCATTCACAACGTAATAGCCTTCATAATTCCATGCAAGCGCTCTTGATAGATCCGTTAAAGAAGCTTTACGAGTCCGATGTCAAGGGAGCCGAGGCCAAACGAAGGCAGTTCGAGGAAGAAAGCAAAGAATACTATGCACATCTATCTAAATATCTTAGTCTCAAGTCAGAGAAACAGAAAGCTCGCCGGCAGACTGAATACGAAAGTAGACATCTCTCTAAGCGTAAGCAATTCGGGCTGACAAGATTCGATTACCATGCGTTTATGCAAGATTTACACGGCGGACGGAAAGAAAACGAAGTTCTACGCTATCTTACTAATTATTATGAAAAGCAATACAGCTTTTATCAAACGGTGGCATCGGAATTGGGACTTAATCGAAATGAGCTGATCGAGCTACACGCAGCCATTGACGCATCTTCCAAGGAGGACAATCAATTAATTAAGGAGCGAAAAGAAAGAAGGAGTCTCCTTGAACATAAATTAAGTACTACCGACCAACCCTCACTGGAACGAGTCCCCTCCGAGCCAATGTTATCTATTGGTGTGCGAAGATCAATGGACGACAGTGATGAATCCTCACGACCCTCCGAGAATTTTTCTATAAGCGCTGGCCTGGCTGACGCAGACAAGTTTAAAGGCATAAGAGATCTAGAGCAGCATGATCGGTCTGTTCCTACAGAGACCGGCCGACGAAAGGAAGGATTTCTATTCTCCACGTCTCGACCATCGAAAAGCAACACATTTGATGTGGCATCGGTGAATTGGCACAAGTAAGTCGTACCATCACGTGAAACTTTGGTTGGATACTTGGCGAGTATTGACTGGTTATGGAAAATCATTACTCTCAGATATTGGTGTGTATTAAGTAGCGGACAATTACATGAGTACAGTAACTGGAAAAGACAGCTTGAGGCGCACAATGAACCAATCAATCTACGATTTGCTACTGTTCGAGAGGCTCGCAATGTTGATCGGAGATTCTGCTTTGAAATTATTACTCCTCAGTCTCGTAGAACCTACCAAGCAACATCTCAAGAAGACATGAACAGCTGGATAGCATGTATAAGTAATGCCATAGAAAGCCTGCTGAATGGAATGAACAGTACACTTCATTTGCAAGACCCTTCCAACGATCCTACCCAATTTGATTCGAACTCTCCATCAGCAAAGCAAAAACCGTTGGGTCGTTCTTTAAGCGGAGCTATTAAGAACGGGTTTGCCACCAATACCCGAGAAAAATACATGCGACGAATTAATGCTGCATCCCAGTCTACGGCTGAAGTCTTTGATGCCATAGGTGGTATACTGAGTCCAACAGAACGTAACCGACGATCATTTCACACCGCTTTTGGATTTAGCAATCTTGGCAGTGGTGGTAGCCATACAGCATCAGGCCCTTCCGCTGTCTTCGGCACTGGGACTTCCCTTGTGGACCAAACAGAGAATCATGATAGCTCAAGGTTATTGGCTTACCTCCGGGAAAATTCGTCTAATCTCAACTGCGCAGACTGCGGAACAAAGAATCCGGAATGGTGCTCTATCAATTTGGGAATTCTGCTATGCATTGGTAAGTATTTGTCACAGTGGGTTACCTGCATGCAAACAATCATAGGGTCTAACTTGATTTTTTTTTCCCTCTCCTCTATCGGCAGAATGTTCCGGCATTCATCGAAGTCTTGGCACACATGTGTCCAAAGTTCGCTCACTCACACTTGACCGAACCTCCTATACACCTGATATCGTGGAGTTGCTACAGGCCATTGGAAACGACAGATCCAATCGGATCTGGGAAGCCCTCCTATCGGACGACGCCACTGATAAACCTCGTAAACCATCTAGCAACGATTCAAGAGAAGTGAAGCAAAAGTTTATCACAGCAAAATATATGGATAAAGCGTTTGTCAATAAGACCATCCTCAACGCAAACGATGCTACGGAACTCCTTTTCTCCGGCGTAGACGAAGATAATACAATGGCTGTTGTTCAAGCTATTTCACTTGGAGCGAACATCAATGCTAAACGAACTGGTGGATCTCGGGCATGGTCACAAAGAACTTCCATTTCATCGTTTGGCTCGGATAGTCATGACGGAAAGAGTGACGCCGGTAGGCAGCATCCTGTCTCATTGGAGCAGAGCTTAATGTCTGTCAAACTTGGACCAGACGATCGAAGCCTTCCTGTGACCATACCGATAGCCAACACCAGCACTACACTTAATATGGCCTTCTCGGCAAGTGATAATGATCCATATGAAAATATGAACCCCAGTATCCCACACTACGCTCTGCACTTGGCCCTTCAACACCCTCATTCCATTAAAGAAAGCTTTGATGCAGGAATCGCTCAACCTACGCCACGAGAATTTTCTTTCCCTATTGCCGAGTTGTTACTACAGAACGGTGCTGACCCTGCCCTCCTCGACACCGAGACTGGCCATACTCTAGCAGAGCTGATTTCATATGGTGAATCTGTATCAGATGATGCCATATTGTACATCAGCGGCAAGAGCCAAGCAAGAGGACAATCTTCCATTCTACGCACCACCACACCGGCGTCATTATCTGGTCCAGGCAACAGCTTAACCAGTGCCCCAGCAAGTTCATCCAACCTCAGATTAAATATTCAGATACCATCCGTTTCCATCACACCTGATAGCCAGTCGTCTTTCGGTGCGATCTCACCACCTAGGTCACCTGCATCTTCCACATGAAAAAGAAAGTTGCTCTAGCCAAATAGTTATACCACCCCATGTCTTAATTTGCCCTCCTTCAATAGCTAATTTTCATTATGTTTTGTCGCTTATTTAACCTATCTAACCATGTTCTTGTGTACACTGCATTGTGTCTCTGGTCCGAGACATTTTTTATTTACTGTATGAAGACAAATTATTTTTCTCTTTTCTAATTCTACCCCCACGAGTACTTATTTTACCCCGAATTGAATAATGTTTAAACAAACGTAAGGCAACCAGTGCCTTGCGTTCTGTGACTTTTTATTTGGTTTTACAAGAAGTAGTAGTGTTCAAGATGCCGCCGATACACCTGAATACAAGCTATACTTTGATATAGTGGGATCGAGAATAGAAAGTTATTCCTTTGCACAATGGTTTTTGGATAAAGGAATCAAAAAACCGTAGGAAGGAAAGAAAAAAATTAAATTATGGCGGGAGGGAGAAGGACATTGTCAGACTGGCTGGGATACAGCAAGAACTGAACTGATCGTATGAGATTGTAAATGTGAAGGAGTAGAGTGGTGTTGGATTGTTATGCAGTTGAGCTGATTAATATAAACGAGAAGATTAACGAGGGTGAGCAATAAAAGTACGACATTGGGACGAATTGTTGAAAATCGTTTGTTGGAGTAATCTGGCTTTATAATATGCCAGAATCCTTCAATGCGTTTTGTAAAATGGTTTCCTTGATTGCCGCAAACACAAGTCGTATATTGGATGTATCGGTTGCTTGGGTTAAGCTACAGCAGAAACAGCAATGGGTCAACATTCATCCACTTGTCCAGTACATGTTGAGTATATACTTACTGCGGGTAGATGTTGAGTTTGGCTCGATTGACTTGGCTGAACCGCCACAAGATATACTTTGCAGCCTTGTTAACGTCCGAGCCGCCTGAATAATCGGGAAAGTAACGTTCCAGTGGTATCTTGGCCAATTTGGATTTGAAAACGTCCACTTTGTTCAAGAACAAAATGATGGACGTTCGGACAAACCACCGACTATTTATGACTGATTCAAAGAGGACGAGACTCTCTTGCATACGGTTCTACAAAAGTTCAAAGCGTATATGGTTAGACATCTTATTGCATTTTACCGATTGTTGAAGTAGTTTACCTGGCCAGACTCCTCCAACAAGACTTGATCATATTCACTTAATGCGACACAAAAAATTATTGATGTGACTGATTCAAAGCAGTGAATCCATTTCTTGCGTTCTGATCGCTGACCTCCGACGTCAAACATACTAGGTAACATTTGATGTCCATTAAAACGAAGTGTATGCCTTGGTGAATAAAGTAAAATCAACTTACTGAATGTTCAACTGTCCCATGTTGAATCTGGTTTCCGTTATACCAGTTGTCTTTTGTCGAGCTCTCAAGACATCTGATACGTTTGGTATATAGTCTGCTTGGCCGATTCGTGTCACCTCCCCAAAAAAGCTGTAAGAAATGTGATAATTAGAGCGTGCAACATTAAGGATTCCGTCAATGTTTATAAATTAAAAAAAAAGCTTACTATGGAGCCGAGTCCATCAAGTAAAAGTCACTGCCTCCTCGGTCGAGCAGCCTAGGCACAACTGAATCTGCCCATATACTGTTGATCGCGGCAACAACTTCTGGGTTAAGTGACGATGTGAGTTCAGTAGGAACTGTGTATTCTAGAACCCTGTTTCCGAGCTCCTGCATAATGAAGTTGTATAAGAATGACGCTCATGAAGAGTGTTCATAGTAAGGAGATGAGTTCATACCACATTCTTGGGGTTTTCAAACTCCAAGCCAAATTTCATGACCCCGTATACCAAGGCCTGCGCTGATTCTATCAGATTTTTGTATACAGTGATGCGCCAAGGGTACAATTCCTCGTTGGAATAACCATTTTGGTGAATGATTTTCATTTGTTTTACGATAGTTGATTTTCCAGATTCGCCACTTCCTGCAATATGAGTAAATATTACGGCATAAATATGTACTGTGCTGTCAATTGCATTTTACAATCATCGATAGCTTGCATAGGTTAGCTCTACTTGCCTAACAATAATATCTTGCATTCTCGTTTCATTCGTCGGCTGTCCTCCTCGATTTTTTTATCGATGTTATTGCTTCGTTGACGATCTTCCTTCTCATCTGCGGATAGGCAAAGCCCCATGTTTGCCAAAGGAATTCAGGTAAAATGTCAAAAAAGTTGGTTGAAGTGATGCAGAAATTGTCTTTCTTGTACAAGTTGAAAGGATGTACTGGAAGATTTTCGATCGAATTGTCAATGATCCTTTCTTCCTTGACTGTTGCTATTTTGCGTTATTAATTATAACCGTAGACTGAATCAAAAAAACCAGCACTAAGAGTAGTGTTGCTACCAAAGGAGTAGGGCTGAAAGAGACCGACAGGTAATATCGAACAGTTTTTGTCCGGTGTGATGATTAAAATTGAAAAAAGAACGGTTGACGGTGTTGCCCAGTGCCGTGGACGAGGTCTGAATATGGAATCGCAAGTAATCACCGAAAATTGCTTGCGTCATCAATTTCGGCTGTTATGTTCAGGTTGGCATTTGTTTTGAAGTCACTCTCTCGCATTCCCCCCTCTACGAAAATGTCCCTCGCCAACACTTTCTACAACACTCTTGTCAAGAAGAACTCAGTGTTCGTTGCCACCATCTTTGCTTCTGCATTCGCTTTCGAGGTTGCTTTCGACACCACTTCCACCAGAGTTTGGGATAGCCTTAACAAGGGAGTAAGTACTCAATTGGTTATTTTTTTATTCCGTCTTGGAGTAATATATTTTTTCCAACACGTTTGGAGGCGCAAGCGAGAATCAAACCAATCGAATTAAGTCAAGCCGAAGCAACTTTGTATGATGTTACAATGCGATTCTATAGACGATCAACATACCTCATCCGTTCACCTTTTACTGCACCATCCTTTCACCATTCTGCTCATTGTTATTGTTTTACACGAATCAACACTTACTAACTCGTCTCTTTTCGCATCAACAGAAGCAATGGAAGGACATCAAGGACAAGTATGTCCAATAGAGAGTTTTTAGTGCACTCTTTTAGATACACAACCTCCTCAAAAAATGACCTTTATTCGCGAATATACAACTTCCAAGCCCTCAGTCCGATATCTCAGCATTTAAAGATGTGGACAAAATGCACATAATAAATTTAGAGAGTGACAATATTCCATATTGCGGGTTTTTATAGCAACTATGCCATTTTGGATGATAATTGCTTGATCATAGGGAAGTAATAGGCGAAAAATATCTTTATACAATAAGCTGAATCTAGGTATTGCGCAACATGTTTATGTGCACGTCAACTTATTTCGGACCATCAAGAAGCAAAGACTTTGTCGAGGATCTTGGCTGTGATGTCTTTGTAGCAAGCTGCGAACGGGCTGTCGGGTTTACTGACAACCACCGGCTTGCCTTGGTCAGAGAGGTCACAAATGTCAGCATGAAGTGGAATATCGCCTAAGAAAGGGATACCCATGTCTTGTGCTTTTCTCATGGCCCCACCATCTCCGAAAATATGACTTTCGTGGTTGCAATTTGGACAAATAAAGAGCGCCATATTCTGTACAATGCCTAGGATCTATAAAGGATACCGTTATATTAGGTTATCGAATTCGTGTACACTCGCATATGAATGATCCGATATGTTAATAGTACTTACTGGAACATCCACTTTTTTAAACATGTTGGTACCCTTGACCACATCAATAAGGGCAATATCTTGAGGTGTCGAAACAATTACAGCCCCTAAGAAAAAATGAGTCAGCCAAGGTTTGTATGTTACAGTTCTTCAAACACTTCAAGTAGCTTACCGTCTAAGATCACTTGTTGCGTTATTGTTAATTGGACATCGCCAGTGCCGGGTGGCATGTCAATGACCAACAAGTCAAGTCCATCCCATTCAACCTGATGAAGTAGCTGTTGCAAAGCCTTCATGACCATAAGTCCTCGCCAAACTACCGGTGCCTCCTTGTCCACAAGGAATCCCATGGACATGCATTTAACACCATAGTTGGTGAGTGGAATAAGATTATCGCCGTGTTCAGTCAATTCAGGTTCTCCCTTCAAATTCATCAAAGTTGGTATTGACGGTCCAAAAATATCTGCATCCAAAATACCAACTTTCTTTTTCATACTAGCAGCAGCAAGTGCGATATTCACTGAATCGACCTGCCATTAGATTACACGTTTGACCTCCTCATTTGACAGGCTGTTTCTTACCGGCAGTGGTAGATTTCCCAACACCTCCTTTGCCAGACGCCACGGCTATGATATGCTTTATACCCGGTAACGATCGCTTTTGTGGGAGCCCTCTTTGAGCTCTTGGTATGGTTGGTGCATTTCCTTTCGCATCGATAGCTGCAATTTTTCGCGGTTTCCCAGGAAGACCCTGTTAAAGTTGGAACAAGACGAGTGAGTAAAGGTCAGCGTTGAGGTACTTTTGAGGGCAAGAGCGTCTGTCGACCTACCAATGGGTTTTCATGGTACATGGCGCGAGTAGAAGAAAACAGGCGCGCACTTCTGCCGACATTGAGGCTTTTTAAAACGGCCACAGATCGCAACATTGCACAGAGAGATAAACAGTAAATGTCACAGCGAGCCATCGCCATGCTTTGGAAATAATGCCAGTGGTTGGCATTCGAAAAAGTTGTGACTGCCTAATTAGCCCAGCTTTGGATCACCTTCTCTTTCATTTGAATCCTGCTCTTGCAGACAACAGCGATTAAACATCAGTGTGTTCAATTGGAGGATTGAGATTATCATACATTGAAATAATTGGCCTTGATTACAATGTAAGTGCCGTACCAGCAAAATTCGTCGTATTAGTGAGATGAGGTTGGATGCTAATGACGCCATTTTACCGAGTGCAAAACGATAGATTGATAGCATACACATAAATAGATTTGTAGTAGCAAAAACTCTCCATAAAATTGACGGTCGTCTGTTTGCTCTAGTGAAGCTGATCTGTATCTTTGCCAAGGCATGTGGATTGAGAGCTGTGGCGGGCAAAATTCAGATGTGACTGCTAACTCAGGCACATACTGCAGATGTGGAAATGAGACAAGCCAACCAAGCTACTGCAACTCCACTACCCTTTATTCATCGGTGAAGGTTAATCGTGATAGCTACCTTCACGCCATGGACGTTGATGTTCAAGGACCCGATCTAGCAGTCGGTTCCGCCTCGTTATACAGCCTTCTCCCTGCAACTTATCGTCCCATTGTCCTCTTTTGCATTGGCTTATGGGGCTGGGCTTTCAATCTATTCATTTTGCAAAGATGTCACATCGACACGGCATCTTTACTTGGAATAAGTCATAACGACAAGTCAAGAAATATATATACTCCACTCTTTAACATCGCTACTCTTCTTACCACCATCGTCGCCATCAACTTATGGGCCTTCTGGAAGTTTGTGTTGGGTGCGGCCACCTCAACCAACGTTACTCGCAGCTGGCTGCCCTTGATGTGTTACGTACTATGTTCTCTTATTGTATTTTGGCCTGGCCATGTATTTTATTACAAGGAGCGCCACAGATTCTCAAGGTGATTAGCTGTTTTCTGACAGGAATGAGGTTTTAAGTAACATGGATTAGACTAATCCCTATTTTATTTTTTTTACCGCATTGGATAAGATCGATGCTCCGACTATTTTCATTTAATGTACTTGCAACAGTCTATTTCTCAGACGTTGTCTTGGCTGATATCATGACCAGCTTTGCCAATGTATTCGGTGATCTGTGGGCAACGGGGTGCGCTCTCATCGTCAACAAGGGCATAGTGGATTATCTCGTTGTAGAGCATCAAAGTGGATGTTATCGAGACATTATGGGCCCTGTGATGACCAGGTACGTATTAGCACGATATTATTATATAAGTCTTTGAAAAAAAACCATACTAACACCATCTTGCACTAGTCTTCCTTATATCATTCGATTTAAACAATGCATCTTCGAATACCTAGAATCAGACCGCAAGACTCAGCGACACCTACTTAATGCTTGTAAATATGCATCTGCATTCCCGGTAATAATGTTATCAGCAACGCAAAAAATTGCTGCCAAAAGGATTGACGAATTTGGAGACCTTCCGGATACTTGGTGGATAGGCGATACAGGCTTATTTCGTTTATGGTCAGTATCAAAGTATTTTAAACTTTACATGCGGCAGTGATAAGTGGCTCACTATTTCTTGCCATCTAGGATGTTCTTTGTCTTCATCAATTCGACGTACTCCTTCATTTGGGATGTATCCATGGATTGGAATCTCGTGTCCTTGACCTTTACCGCCAATGACTCTGTCGGCCAAGCCAATGGAATCGCCAGCCATTCACCACGCCGATCAACGACACCAATTCCAACTTCATTATTTAGAGAAATCAAGGTGTTCATATCATCCTTATTTTCTCCCACAGTCCATCAACCACCCTTACTCCGGTTTCGACGGCACCTTCATTTTTCACATCGAATTTTGTATGTCGGTGCTATGCTGATTGACTTTGTACTCCGTACAACCTGGAGTCTGAAACTAAGCTCTCATTTGTCTATCAAGCAACTTGAAGGCAGCATTATCATCATGGAATTTCTTGAAATCTTCAGAAGATGGATTTGGGTATTTTTCAGACTTGAAAGCGAATGGGTGAAGCGTTCACAGGTCATACTTCCACGCATCAATGAAGATATTGAAGAGTTTGAGCTGATGATGCCAAAGGACGGAAACCACGACTGATCCATCGGAATTGCAAAAAAATGTTAGCCATAGATTTTTTTTTTCATCACGGGAAATAAAAAAAAAAATATCATAGATCTCCATTCAAATAACTTACACATTCTCGTCCACAATGGTTCATCCAACAAACAAAATGACATATGGCGAACGTGCTGCCAAGCACCCCAATGCTTGCGCTAAAAGACTTCTCAGCCTTATGGAAAAAAAGAAGACCAATCTTTCATTGGCTCTTGATGTCACCACGAAAAAGGAATTGCTAGACATCGCTGACAAAGTTGGACCTTACCTCTGCCTTCTCAAGGTCAGTAGAATATGCTGATTAACGCACAATTGTATCTTATTATCTTTTTTACACAATCGCTGATGCGCTTGTTCCAGACTCATATTGACATTGTGGATGACTTTGATCAAGATTTGATCGAGCAGCTGTTGGTATTGGCGAAGAAGCATGATTTTATGATCTTCGAGGACCGAAAGTTTGCAGACATTGGCAACACCGTCAAACATCAATATGGCAACGGAATCTATCGCATCGCCTCTTGGTCTGATATCACGAATGCCCATGGTGTTCCTGGAGAAGGAATCATTACTGGGTTGAAGGAAGTCGGTCTTCCATTGGGTCGTGGTCTACTTCTTCTCGCAGAGATGTCAAGCAAGGGTGCTTTGACCTATGGTGAATACACCACTCAGACTATCGAAATGGCCCGAAGGAACCAAGATTTCGTCATGGGATTCATCACTCAGCGTTGCATTAATGAGCACCCCGACGAAGACTTCATCGCCATGTCTCCTGGTATTGGTCTTGATGTTACTGGAGATGGACTTGGCCAACAATATCGCACACCTCGACAAGTCATCGTTGAAAGTGGATGTGATTTGATTATCGTTGGTCGCGGTATCTACGGTAAGGGTCGTGATGTCCAAGCAGAAGGTCGCCGTTACCAGGAAGCTGGCTGGTCTGCTTATCAGGAGAGAATCAGCCAATAAGTGCTGCTACGTCGAAAAATACATTTCTTTCATTTACATTAAATGCATTAAAAACCCCATTACATATCCACTACATTTTTTTTTTGCCAACGATTATGCCTATGTTCTGAGCTACCTCAGCAGCGCAATATATTTAATAATGTCTAACACTGTCTACGTACCCTTGAATGGACCAGGGATTCAGACTATTTACACAATTCTTTAGACGAGCTAACAAAATACGGGACTTTCTAAGCAGATTTAAGGAGCGATCAAGACACGAATGGTGTTGGTGTTGCCGAGACCACCCTTCCAGCCTTGGACGATGACAATGGGCTCGTTGGAGCGCAACAAACCATTCTTCTTACCCTGCTCAATACCGTGTCGGATACGAGCTTCAACATCGATTTGCCAGTTGGCATCCTTATCGCCTCTGTAGACGAATGGGAAGATACCACGGTGAAGATGTGATTGACGGGCAGTTTGCTCATTGCGGGTGACGAGGATGATGGGCATGGATGGGCGGTATTTGGAGACATATCGGGCAGTGCTACCAGAGGTAGAGAGGACAATGATAGCGCCAGCGTTTTGTTCCATGGCAGCAGCGACAGCAGCAGAGCCAATGGTCTCGGTGGTCTCAGTAGGACGGACAGCAAGGCCACGGATCTCGTTGAACAAGACGGGATATGATACAACAGACTCAGCAAGAACGCATGTAGCGGCCATGGTGGTAACAGCCTCAATGGGGTAGTTACCCTTGGCAGTTTCACCTGAAAGCATGACCAAATCAGCACCGTCAAGAACAGCATTGGCAACATCAGACACTTCAGCACGAGTAGGGCGGGGGTTGTAGGTCATGGACTCGAGCATTTGAGTGGCACAAGCAACAGGCTTTCCAGCAAGGTTGCACTTGGCAATCATCATCTTTTGGGCAATGAAGACGCGTTCGCAAGGAATTTCGATACCCATATCACCACGAGCAATCATGATACCATCAGTTTCGGCGAGAATCTCGTCGAAGTTAAGACAACCTTGATGGTTTTCGATCTTGCAGATAATCTTGATGTTTTGGCCATCTTCACCGAGGACCTTGCGGATATCCTTGACATCTTGAGCAGTACGGATGAAAGAGGCAAAGATCATATCAACGCCATTTTGGACACCAAATCGCAAGTCAGCCTTATCCTTCTCCGACAAAGCAGGCAAATCAACGGGAGTCTTGGGAAGATTGACACCCTTCTTGGAGCAGAGCTTGCCGTTGTTGATGGCACGAGCCTTGACATAGGTGTCAGCAGTCTCGAGGACCTCGAATGACAAAACACCGTCGTCAACATAGATGAGCTTGCCAACTTCAGTGACCTTGGGCAAGTTCTTGTAGTCGACATACATGTACTGTTCGTCAGAAGCTTCGGCATACTTGTCATCGGTAGTGATGATGAGTTCATGACCGGCTGAGATAGGAAGCTGCAATGCAAAACGTTAGCAGTTGTTGAGTTAAAATTTGGGGGGGCCACAATCGAAGTCTTTCATCTGAACACAGTCCCAAATGGTTTCATCTAGATAACCTGAGCGGGAAATATCTCCCCCAAGATTTCCCGCTGAACTGGCCGGCAGATCCAAAAAAAAATCCCTTGCCCCAACAAATATAGAAAGCAAACAAAAAATGGTGATAGTCTGCATACCTCAATGCCATCCTTCATCAAACCGGTTCTAATTTCAGGTCCCTTAGTATCAAGAGCAATACCAACGGGGAACTCTGGGCGCTCTATTAAAGTTGGGAAGCGGAGTCAGTGGAGTTTTCACCGTAAATTTCTTATCGATAATATAATTTTTTAAAAAAACTTACTAGCAGCAGCAGCGCGGCAGTTGTCAATAACGGACTGATGGTACTGTAAAACAGTAAAGAAAATGACAACACGTCAGCAAGATGGTCACCTTGCATTACACTCTCATAGATCTAAAGAACTTACCTCGTATGAGCCATGGGAGAAGTTAAGACGGCAGATATTCATACCAGCCTCCATCAGCTCAGTGAGCTTTTCAACACTGTTGGTCTTGGGTCCGATGGTACAGATGATAGAGGTCTTGCGAACGTCCTTGGGCTCAATGTCCACATCCATTTGGGAAACCCACTGGAGGGTGTTAGAAATAGTGCTGTTGTTGGTCATTTTTCTATGGAAACAAGTGTAAACTAAAGAGTGTGAAATCACCCGCGCAAGTTGCATAAATTTCCAAATTGTTGCCAGTCACATTTCCATGATCAAAAACATCATTCGATTTGATGTCGTCAGCTTCAAACCAGTATGCGCTCCCGTAATTGAGTGTCAATATTTTGAAATATTTTACGTTTTTAATGAGCCCACATTGATAGCTTGTAGTGTACTATACCCGGATACAAATCTGTCTCATTTCTCTAGCCGAAACTATCATTCAATTTTTGATACCAAGTTACCTTCAACTCACTTGCCAATCAATAATGCGTTCACCATATTTGGATCACCGAGAAAAAGAAACTTGAAAATTGGGCATTCTTCTTTGTCCCATGACCCTCCGAAAAATTTATCCGTAGGAATCAACCGCCGTCATACGCAGCCCTAAATGACCTGAACCGCAGCACAGCTTTCTTCCTTGGATCATGATCTGGATCAATCGACCACCATTTATCGGTATCAACGACACAACGCTGTACGAATATCAATGTTTTGGTGAAGTGGCCAAAGAATGATCAGCCTCAATGTTCCATAGACGGACACGATATCATCGATCTCCTCCACGTCCTCTCAAAATGGAAAGTGTTTGCCGGTGTAAAATGTAACGCCAGCAGCAATGGCATATCGGACATGGTCACGAGGCATGTAAACGAAGAAACAATTTGGTTTTCTAGCGTTGTGGCACTCAGGTAAGTACCTTGAAAGGTAGCGAATACATCTCCCATGTGCTCTGTTGTAGGTTCGTAGCACAATTTTGCTATATTTGCCAAACGCACATTGCCTTCCATAACGGAATACATGTGCTCAGCGTTTTTCATGCTTCAGAGTCGAACGTTCCTTTCAGCATATTACGTGATTTCTTACTCCACGCTAATTGACTTTGGCTCTAATCTCCAATTATAGGGTGTATACGTCCTGGTACTGAGCATTTGTTGTCTGCTGGCTTCCTTCGCAATGGCTCCGTTTTATCCAATAGGATTTCTTCCTCCAGCCCGGCTGCAATCTCGAAAATGAAATTGACCGTTCCCGGCCGGGTCTGTGGAGTTGGATGCCAAAAAATCTTCAAACCACATGCGACTGGCTTTGATTTATTATCCTGATAGTAACCCAGCAAATCATGTTGTGGGAACCACATGCCCTTTATCGTGAAAACGTCTGTATCAGTAACACCCATCCATGTCGATTGAAAGGAGCGTGTTTGTTTGCAATTCTTCATATAAGAGGTGGGATGCAGAAGAGATCTCCACTAGGTGTGATGTTGTGGGTGACCAGGAAACGGAAAGCACGGATGTAACCGCATCATTCACTTGATGACCCCCCATTTGGTCAGTCAGTCGAACTTAAACCTGTATGGGTAAAGGTATAGGTAAAAGGGGAAATACAGGCTTGCAAACACGGTTCGATACTAGTTCTGTCAGATAAAACTCCACCGCAGTTATCCAAAACTTCTATGCTTCTGAACGTTCAATGCTTCGGTTAATTTCATGAGGAGGGTCTTTTCTATGGAACGTTTTCTTGTGCATAAATCATCGCATTATGTCATGTGGATAGTCAACTCAGCCACGATTCTACAAGGTATGCCAGAGGTGTACCAACTAGCGTGTTTGTCCCAGCTAACGTGTATGGACCCATCACTATGCCCATTGGTCTGCGAGATAAGGCTGCTTGCTTACAGGCCTGGATGATTGGAATAAAATGATGAGTGCACATTTTCTAAATAGATAAATGGAGAGGCAGGGTATCTTATGAGGGTATAACTCTGATGAGAGTACATTTTCTTTTCTGTTCGGGTATCATAAAGATAATAAAATGATTATCCATATTTGAGTACGTGGATTGCGGGGGGCCATTTTCCAACTAACAACAATTTTATCACACAAGATCGCATGATTTGAGTGCCTTGCAACAAAGCTGCGCAAAAAGCCTCATTTGTGATTAAACTCTTTTCCCGTTCGCATATAAAGAAAACTCCATCTTGACTCATTTTTCGTCCCTCAACCCTTCTTGGTTGATTTTTTTTTATCTCTCTCGCTTGTCTTCCATTTCAACTTCTACGTTATTCTTCCATTTTTCTATTATCTTTTGATTGGCTATATTGAAACTATAGGTGCGGCATCCATCTTTTTTAAATAATGACCATCCCTTTTGCCAACTACTCCATTGGTGCTTTTATACAGCAAGTATTCGGGTCTTCAGCTCCTCAGCCGTCAGACCAGCAAGCTCTCTATCCTCGAATTGTAAACTTACCTTCCAACACTATGGGCCCTTCCACTCTTGACCACTCTGCATACCCTGAAGATATGGATGACCAGCGCTTGGATTATTCAAGTATCACCTCACCTCATATCGAAATCACTCCAGCTCATCATGCAGGGTATATGAACTTTATGCCTGCACATGGCCATTCCGACTCCGAACCTTTGGCTACATCGCGTGCTTATCTGAGCAGCTTCTATCTTTCTGAAAACTCCTACCCTGATTCCTACAGCTCTATCAGTGAGGCCAGTTTTACCGAGACACCACACAATGCTGCTTATAATGACAATGGGAGTTATTTGCACGCCGCTATGCAGCAACATTACCAAGACATGTCAGAAACAGGTAATGGACTCATTTCCAGACAACCCAACTATATATTTGCACGTTGCTAATCAACCCCCGCCTTTTTCCAGTGGATGGAAATTTTTGCCAGCAAGAAGCTTTCTTTGGCGATGACTTCAACTTTGCCGACGTTCTTGGTGGAAAAGATGACGTACCATCACCCTTTAACGCACACTTGATCCCTCCAAGTGATTTCCAACCCGAGCCTCAGGTTAAATCAAGTCGCTCTCTATTGTCAGCGTTGTTTCCAGCCACATCAGGTGGTACAATGGCCAATACTAGCCCAATGTCGGAGTGTTCCTCGCATCTTTCAGCCTCGTCACCGCAATTCAGTGATTTTACTGCTTCCACATTTAGTAGCCCGGCTCAGCCATCCCTTTCGCCTGCCACAATATCAACATCCCTCGAACGCAGTGGATATTCCTTGACCCGCGCTGGTTCGTCCGGAAAGATCCGCAAACCATCGCCCGACCTCTACTCATACGCTGACCAATATGGCAAACGTCGATACAAATGCAAAGACTGTGATTATACCTCTGCTCGGCCGAACAATTTACGCGAACATCAAGGACGCCATAACCCTAACCGGCCCAAGCCTTGGCAGTGTCGCATATGTGATCGTGCCTTTCCTAGAAAGAATGACTGCAAAAGACACTTTGTTAAGGTCCACATGAAGATGAATGAAGAAGATAACCCTGTACAATATGCTTTCCTTCAGGAACAACTTCGTCAATCTATAGAGCCTCGTTTCCAACCGCGTTCTCGTCCTCAAGGCTAACATCTGTTACCTACGGCGATGCCATCGATATCCCCTCTCTACCATTGGTCCAATCGCATACGCTAACCCTATGATACCAATGGTTACTACTTGTATAATTCTGTCTGTTGATAACTCGTTTCCATTTGATTTTTCCCTCTTTTACTTTTTTCTTGTAAATACTTAGATAGGGGTCCTTTTTGCTTTTTTCCCCCCCAGATGACCGAATGCGGTTCATATGTACTGTATCTATTAGCTCTCTTATTTTACTGGGCCAGTCTATGGCGCTACAATTATGAGACGAATAAATCCTATGAAATCCAGCCGAAAACTTCCTTGATTGCATCAGAGTCAATGATAACAGCCAAAGAAGGTTCTACAAGGAAAGCATCAATAAGCAAGATCACGCACGCCAAATTGGAAATTTCCAGCCATTTCCAGCCACACTCCACTGGCTGAGTTTCTTTTTATCAATCCTCCCCATTGATTGCGTGGACCTTTTTGTATTATTCACTTCGATCTCTTTATACACCATGTGGACGCAAGCCTTTAAACTTGGAGTCCCAATGAACAAGCTGGACGACGGCGATAAGCTACTACTCCCTGCATCGGCGCTAGAAAGTTTATTGTCCCAATCGTCTGCTAATGCCTTTGAATATGGCAACATGACTAATGCATCCAATGACATAAGCCAAACCTCAGGCCTGCCGTCTCCGATCACATTTGAGATCCGCAATGTCAAGGCAAGAAATCTCACTTATGGAGGAGTAAAGGAATTCTCGGCGGAAGAAGGATTGGTGCATATGCCGCTGTGGATGCAACGATCGCTGAATCTGGAGACAGGGGATACCATTGCTTTACGGTTGAAGGAACTTCCAAAGGGCCAATGGGCAAGGCTACGGCCCATTTCAGCTGACTACAAAGAGATTATGGATTATCGAGCCGCCCTCGAATCGTACTTGAGAGCAAATTACAACACTTTGACAGCCGGCGAAATACTCAACATCAAGTACGGTAGTAACCGTTACGAATTCTTGGTCGACGACCTCAAGCCGGAGAAAGCTGTATGCGTTACAGATACAGATATAGAGATTGATATTGAGCCCCTTGAACAAGGCACTACTTTGGCTCATGACAGAAATCCCCAGACATCCAGTATTTTGGCATCGTCACAGGCTACCGACCAACCTCTTAATCTCGGACAATCAATTGACGGACAAGCTGCGGCGGATCAATACGTGTATTTCCACCTCAAATTGGACGGTGTGAATTCAGACTTGGAGTTAGTTTTATTAACAACACAGGGCAATACTGGTAAGTAGCGATGTAGTATGGTCGGCTATGGAGTCAATGTATTTCTAATTGTTTTCTTTTGGCATACTCCACAGACATAGTCGCGGACACTGAAAAGAAACCTGTGCTTTCTTTTCACGAATGGTCAGATTTGACGTCAAAGGAAGAAAAATCCATTACAATCCGGGCAAGTGAATTACAGGCAAAAGACACGCTGTACATAGGTGTTCATGGAGCAGATCCTGATGCGGATTCGAAATTCAAGCTCAGTCTACGACCGGCATTACATACAAGTAGCAATCAAATGGAAGTAGACAAAAATACAGAAGACAGTGTTGAATGCGAGAATTGCGGGTCTTGGGTACCCCAAAGGACGTTGCCACTCCACGAACGGTTTTGTTTTAGGAATAATGTTCGATGTCCCTGGGGGTGTGGAGCCGTGTTCAAGAAAGGCAGCGAAGAACTGGATAACCATTGGCACTGCGACAAGTGCGATTACTGCGGCGTAGTTGCGGATAAACCTAAGCACCAAGCCTACTTCCATCAAGAACGAGAGTGTGTATGTGGCGAATTCAAGTGTGACTCCATTATTGATTTATCCAAACATCGAAGAACGGAATGTTACCAAAAGTTGATCATTTGTCGGTTTTGCCATGTAAGTATTGCGCTAAAAACCTCCCATTTATTTTTGAGCATTTGGCACTAACCACTTGTTTTTATTCAGAACCTTGTTCCGCAGGAAGGTGCACCGAGTACCGCTCACGACAAGCTTTTAGGGCTTCACGGGCACGAAAGCTACTGTGGCTCACGAACGATCGAATGCCAAAAATGCCATAAGCAGATACCCATCAAAGATATCCAAGTCCATGCTAAGGTTCATCAAATAGAAAGACAGGCAAGAACGCTACCACCGCACTGTAGCAATGTAAACTGTGTGCGTCCTGCTGCGAACAATGTATTGAAGCTATGCCAAAATTGTTTCGGTCCATTCTGGGTCTCCTCCAACGACCCCGGAAATATCAAATTAATCCAAAGGGTGGCACGCAAGTATCACTCGCAGCTCACATCTGGTTGTGGAAGGATGTCGTGCAAGAATAAGGTATGTTTGTCTACGATTTAACCGATAAGTTGGTAACGATCTAATCGAGCGCATCCACAGTTTTGTGCCACGGCAACCGGGGAAACAAAAGACCCAACTGAGGCTGCGCAAATCCTCATACCACTGATTCAGTCTTTGCAACAACAGCTCAGCTCCAAGACTTCTCAACCTATCCTTTACTTGTGTGTTGACGACAGCACCGCTCATATTCGTTCATTGGGTGAAACTTTGTACAACATGGTCAAACAGCGATATGATCTGAATTGGTGCATCAAAGCTGTGCAGACTGAGAAAGATGACCTACACAAGGCGAAAGCTTGGGTTGAAAACAATGCTCCTTTACCTAGATAGTGGATAGTCGCTCATAGACATGTATGTAGAATTTAATAAGGATAATGTATAAAATCAATTTCAACATACCAATAGGATGAACAAACAAAAATTCCCATTTGTTATGTAACAGAAATGTGTTCAACAATTATGGATATCTTCCAGTAGCATAGATTCTAAGAGAGACATGACATTTGATGGGCTAAAGGCGTGAACATGCTGCTTACAACAGGCTATTCCTCAGCTCGTGCAATGACAGCGGCTCGATCGCCTTTCATCCCAAAATTGGAGATTTGAAAATACCCATTTCATTGAAGAAGTTCAAAGTCAGCGTGATTGCAGCCGTTTCGTTGTGAAGTCAATACCAGACCCTTCCCTTCTCCACTCTTCAACAGCCTGAATGCGACCAAGGAGCTATTCATTGTTGCACGAACGGCAGCAAGCTCAGGATTTGGACGAGGCTTTTGAGCTCGACGGGCCAGGCGAATTGGAGCCTTATGATTCCCATGAACTCGATACTTTTTTGCATCACTCTACTTCGCCTCAATCAGACGACGATGAAAGATCAGGCGATGAACAAGATTTGTTGCCCGGTGCTCATCATCGTGATCCATCCACTGTCTCGCTCTTTTCACTCGACTCCATACCCATGATCCCTCTGTCGCTAAGTCAAGCTCGAGGACCTGATCTGCAAAAAAAAGTCTCGTTAGTCAATGGTCTCGCTCTTGTTATTGGCTCTATGATTGGAAGTGGTCTCTTCAGTTCTCCAGGTAGGAGAATCATTTTCATATGACAAATTCTCGGCAAATCAACTTGTTTGTGCTAATGCATCTATTGTTCCCGGTAGGCCCTGTCCTTGAATCAGTAGGGGCCCCAGGCACCTCCCTGGTCGTATGGCTTGTATCTGGCATTATTGCCATGGTTGGTGCTCTTTGCTACGCAGAGTTAGGCTCTATGCTTCCGATGAATGGTGGAGAGACAGTTTATTTGAACAGAGCATTTGGAAGCCTGGTATCGTTTGTGTTCGAGTTTGTCAACATTTTCGTTCAAAAGGTGCGTTCATCTTCACCTTGTTCATGGCACTTGATGGACACATATCTGATGCTATTGTTTTGACTGCATTTAATCCAGCCTGGAAGCGTGGCCATCGTTAGTGTCATCTTTGGCGAATACGTCTCCCGAATCGTCTTTCACACTTACTTCTTTTCTACGCCACACGACTCGGACGCTGCAGCTGAACTTGCCGACTCCGTCATTCCTCCGTATTTACCAAAGTTAATCGCTATGCTATGCGTTGTACTAGTGTCTGTCATCAATGCCCTGTCCGTCAAAGCGGGAATACGAGCCCAGGATATTCTCACTGTACTCAAAGTTCTTGCTGCAACTGTCATTGCTATTGTTGGGCTGGTTATTTTGGCAAGAGATGGTAGTCGAGGAAGTCACAGTTTTGACGGTGACTTATTTGCTGGGTACAATGAAGTGTCCTTTGGTCAATATACACTAGCACTTTACTCAGGTAATTACAGGAGAAAAATGGCGGAGCATTACATATTGCATTCTTACCTCTCTGCATCTTTAGGTCTTTGGGCTTACGATGGCTGGAATAACCTCAATTATGTTAGCGGAGAAATGAAAGACCCAAATAGAGATCTTCCTAGGGTCATCTTCATTGGTATACCAACAGTCATTATGTTCTATTTATTCTCAAATATTGCTTATTTGGCCGTGCTACCCTCTAACGTCGTTGCGCATACCAACACCGTCGCTATGGACTTTGGAAAGAAGTTGTTTGGGACCGCAGGAGGAATTTTATTTGCCTTATGTGTTGCTCTTTCCTGCTTCGGGGTAAGCATTTTATGATGATCATCAGTCTCTGGCGAAGGATGTTTCGTTTTTCCCTAACGTCATACTAACAATTTGACAGACGGCCAACGCTACCGTCTTTACTAGCTCAAGAATTGTCTTTGTGTCGGCAAAACAGGGCCATATACCAGCATTCTTCGGTAAAGTCAGCTCAAAACGACAGACACCTCAGACAGCTATCGTTCTCTTGGCTATTTTGTCCATGATCATGATCATTCCCGGCTCTTTCAAAACGCTCGTCAATTTCTATTCTGTTTGCGCCTGGCTGTTCTATTTTTTGGCCGTACTTGCCCTGATTGTATTGCGTTTCAAGGAACCAGAACTCAAGCGTCCCTACAAGGTGTGGCTCTCGACTCCAGTCTTGTTCTGTATAGTAGCTCTGTTTCTATTCGTGATGCCGTTTGTGGAGGCGCCGATGGAAAGTTTTGCTGCATTAGGCTTCACTGCTCTTGCTATACCATTCTGGCTTGTTCGCGTCAAATATGGGGAGCAAGTTGGACAATTTTGGGATGGTAAGCTATATTCGCTGAATTGCGTATCCATTATGGAGGTATGTTGACGTTTGGGCTTTTACAGGACTTGTTTCGAAATTAAACTGCCAGAAGCGATGTGGTTGCCTCCCATGGCACCGTATTATTTTCTGGAAGCGTGGAGGCGAGGGTTACGAGAGGCAGCATATGATGGCCGAGGTTGACGACGTCTGAAAGAGACTGTATTTCCTCAAACCACTGTATCATATTGTATAAATAGATACGAACCTATTAACGTTCGTGATATCAGCAGAAAGCGCACCTGCTGAACGTAGAGAAGACTTTTTTTTCCCAAGTTGTTATAAGATTAGCCATATTAATCATTACTTCCATCCAATATTTTTTAAACAGTATTATGCGTGCGTATCCAATCCTTGTGTAAAATGGTTCATCTGAATAGACTGACGGTAACCCATTGGTTTTTTAGCTCTGTCAGTTTTCACCATCGCGTCGTGACTGGCATTTCCCTAATTTTGGTGTGGTGTCACGACATCGCGACTTCAAACGAAGAAACTGAACGCGACTGACCTTGCTTTAGACAACTCAACATGGAGCTCGACGATTTCGACGCAGTCTTTGGTGACAGCTCCAATTCTTTTGACCCTGACGATTCTGAGCCTCTTTTCCTTAATTCGCTCAACAAAAATTTGATCAATGTTTCCACCGAGTCCTCATTGGCAAAAAAAAGAAAGCTTCAACCGGATGTCGAAGAATCAGTTGAGAAGGAGAACAAGAGAAGCCATTTGGACACTTTATTTGCCAATGCTACTCCATTGAACGAAATGCACAGCAAACAACCCGATATGGCCAAAGGCAATGCAGATACCGGCTCAGGTACGGTGGACTATAGCCAACCTCCTGCGACTGGTGCGTACATAACAGCTACGACCTCTAGTGGCCAGAAGTTGTATTTTCCAAAGAAAGTACGAATGGCGAAGAAAGTGCCTCAAAGCATGCTTATTCGAGAACATATGGCGAAGTCTACTCTTTTGGCAAAACCTATCTGGAAGATGCTGGAAGAACTGGAACTTGACGCAGTCGACAAACTTCGGGCATTCGAGCAGGAAGAGAGGGAACATGACGAAAAACTGTTCAATGAGGCAATGCAATCGCCCCCAAAAAAGCGTAGAAAGGATAAATCAGCACGACGGTTCAACTCTGTGGATTCTCATAAATTGTGGGTTGACAAATACCGACCGTCGTCATTTGTAGACCTTCTTGGCGACCAGGTAACGCTCAAAATATGTACTGGTAGATGCCAAACATTTCCACTGACACTTTAAATCAGCGAGTGAATCGTGACGTCCTTCGATGGGTGAAGCAATGGGACTACTGCGTGTTTGGAAAGGAGCCGCCAGTGGATTGGCTGAAAGAAAAGATGATGAAGCAAAATGCCGCCAACGCAATGAGCGCAAACGATAAAGGTTTCAACAATTTTGGAAATAATCGTTTTGATCAGCCACAGGTAATTTACACTTTCACGACATTCCCCTCAATCGAATGTCGAAACGTCTCTGACAAGCGATCATACATATATAGGATCAATTGAAGCGGCCTGAAAAGAAAATCATACTCTTATCCGGACCTCCAGGCTATGGTAAAACCACACTTGCACATGTGATTGCCAAGCAGGCTGGATACAATATTATAGAAGTCAACGCAAGGTAAGAATGCGATGGTATGCTCAATATTGGTTCATGGTACGAAAAGCTGATGACACTTCCATACAGTGACGACCGAACTGGTGAAGTGGTTAAATCCAAAATTAAGGCAGCACTCGAGATGCAAGCCATCATTCAGAGTTCAGAGTCGTCTGCCGACAAATCATTTTCTCAGAAACCAAATCTTTTGATTATAGACGAAATTGATGGTGCAAGTTCAGGTGGTGGTAGCGAGGTGAGTTAAGAAACAGAGAGATTTTACTAGCGCAACACGGTACTGAAAATCATTCCTACGTTCAAAGAGTTTCATAAAGGTACTTGTCAATATAGTTACAGCAGAAACCAATGCGAACAATAAGAATCAGCAAAGAGGTATAAAGCTTCCACATTTCAAATTCTTAACAAAAACAAGTCTTACTAAACCAGTACTGATAGGTTCAAAGAAACCTTCGCTGCAAAAAGCCCTCTTACGACCAATCATCTGCATTTGCAACGATCCGTATGTGCCTTTTTTTCTGACCAACAGCCTTCAAAACATGTTCTAATACTACGTACACCTTCAGATATGCTGCCGTTCTACGACCTCTACGACAAATAGCACACAATGTCACATTTCGCAAAGTACCAACACTTACAATTGCCAAAAGATTGCATACCATTTGCGAACTTGAAGGCCTTACAACTGATATGCGCTCACTCAATGCACTCTGCGAGATCACAGACGGTGATATCCGTAGTTGCCTCAATACCCTACAGTTCATTCGCGGAAAAAGTACAAACTTCACCAAAGATATGATCGAACATACACCATTAGGCAAAAAGGATGTTGGAAAGACATTGAACTCTGTATGGAATGATATATTCAATGCAAGGAATGCCAAAAAGAACCGCGCTTTTGGAGCAACTGCCCTGGATGAGAATGAGAACGCCTATGTTAGTCGGATAGCAGAAGGTGCTATCACTAACGGTGAATACGAAAGGCTCATGCAAGGTAAGTTACAATTCTCAAGAGTTTTGTTTTCATGAGCTTTCTTGCTAATCATGGATGTGGTTTATTCAGGATGCTTCGAGAGTTATCCCAAAATGAAATTTCACGATGTAGCGGGTGCAAAGATCGTTGCGGCATTCGACTGGTTATACTTTTATGACCTTATAAACCACCGAAGCAACAATCAGCATCAAAATGGCCTATATGGGTATTTGCCGTATCCCCTTGTCAATTTCCATCGGTACTTTGCTGGGACTGTCGCTCAGGAGCACAAAGTCGAATACCCCAAAGTGGATTATGAGGTATGTTGTCTTCGTTAGTCGCTATGCTTTGGCACCTGCACAATGTTAAGCGTCGTTTTCATTTAGAACTTTTTGGCCAAGAAATCATTTACAAACCTGTCAAACATGCTTATATCTGGCATGAGTGTTCATCAGCGTCGAAATACGACGAAAGAAAACATAACCACTGAACTCCTCCACCAGCTGTTACGCATCATTTCACCACAGTTACGACCAGTAAGTATCATAGGCGAAAAGACGATTTCAAAGATCTACAAAAAAAAGCAAATTGGCGAGTCCAGATATGATAATGTACTCATTGAACATCTTGCTTATAGGTTAACCATCAGCTCATAAAACCAGCCGAGAAAGCAATCCTTGGTCGACTAGTTGATATCATGATTGATTTCGGTCTCACTTTCGTACAAGAAAAAGTAGATGAGGGCCGATTCGTTTACCGTTTGGAACCGTAAGTTACCTACTATATTTCGTGCCATGAAATGTACCAATCAAATCATTAATCCCCTTTCATTAGACCTATAGAGCAATTGGTCCAATTTTCTGCTCAGAGCAGTACTTCTAAATTGGCTGGCCAATACTCGGTTCGCCAAATGATCTCACATGAAATCGAAAAGGAATTGCTGAGGCGACACGAAGGAACTGCTGATCAAGAAGCATCAGAAATTAATCAGAAATCTAAAACCAAAGCCAAAGCCAAACCGGAAGAAGTCAGGTACTTGACAGTTTGTATACTGATGAACACGACAATTACGTACTGACCGTATCCAATGTGTTAGACCAAAACCGTTGGAAGTCGTTTCGGAGAAAATTGCCACAGATTTCTTTGGCCGAGCCGTTGTTTCCAAACAATGTGATACCGATATGGATACCACCACAGGTATGGTTGGCCTGCAAGGGTATTGATACCAGTAAAGCGGGATGACAATTAACCAAAAATTTTCTACACTCCAGACATTACCGCATACCAAAAGCCAAAGGTCTGGTACCGATTTCATGAAGGCTTTTCGAATGCTGTACGGCAGCCTCTTCAAATCAAGCATTTTCTTTAACTCGTGAGAGCACATATCATAACGTAATAAATTTACAAGACGCATTCTTTTTTTGGATTTGTAATTTGTTTATTTACGAGCAGCACTTGATTCTCCAAATTGGCGTGTACATGGTCGCCCACTTTGAAGTTCCTGCGTAATGAACCTAGATCTTGCTCGTGCCTTGATAGTGACCTCCAGTTAGATGGGTCTTACTGAAATTCCCGATCACTTATGCCTGATTTACCTTTTTCAAACAAACTTGCATATGATGGACCAATTTCTTCTAACAGATGTGATGTCAAAACAGCTCTTCCGTACTTTTCAAAAGCTCGTTTAGCACATTCTCGTACGATACGGCAGCCAGACCAAGCAGCAAGTAGCGATATCTCTTTTGACTCCAATGTACCCGAGTGTCTATCATCGTAGTCAGCCACCAGATGAGTAAACAGTGTTTGATAGTCTGATGTAAATCACGAAATGAGCACATCACTTACTTCCAAACCCCGTCTTCGTAGCCTTTTCCCCAAGCCAAGAAGGTAGCAATGACACCTGACAAGATATCACCTTGGCCACCCATTCGCTTCAATCCACCTTCAGCATCGCATATAAGCACTGTGAAATTCAGCATGATGAGATGCAAAGCAAGTATGCGATAAGCTTCCTGATCTAAATGCACCTACCTTCCTTTCCATTCGAAATTAAGTCGTTAGAACCCTTCTGCACAATGGTCACACCACCAAAGGCGTTGCTTAGCTTTTGAGCCATGGTATCACGTTCATTATCGTCAAATTTAAGTTTCTGTCGAGCAATTGGTAAAATTATTATCCACTTTTCTTATCGCATCGTGCCACACAATACATTACCATTGCCTCGCAAAGCCGCTTAAATTCCACCACATTCGGTGTCAATACTGCCTTTTGATAATTTTGCACTGTTTCTGGATGATTTTGTACCAGAAACAACCCATCCTGTTTATAAAAAAGTTAGCTTGAAGGACCATCTTTCCCATTACAGTGCACTTTGTAAAACTCACAGCGTCAATGACAATTGCCATGTTCTTCTCTTTGGCTTTCTCAATTATGCTTTTTGCAGATTCTAGCATAACTGAATCTCGAGACAGTCCGGGGCCAACCACCAAAACATGCAATCTACTGAATACGCCAGCAACATTATCGACTATATCCTTTGGCGAGAGATTGCTCTCTTTGATGTGTCTACAATAGATGTACTTCAGCATTCAAAGGCAATGCGAGTATTCCAAGCGCCTTTTTTACTTACTGCGATGTTCTCAAATAGGGATGGACAATTAAATCTTTAGATTGTGTCAGTGGAAGTCGTACATTGCTGCATTTGTATTGGAGCTATCTTTACCTGGGGAATAACCCTAAAGCATGGTATTAGCTTACATGACAATGCTTTCATTGAAACATTTTAGCCACCTTTACCTTTATGACAGTACCAGCTCCAGGCTCACAGAAGATATGGCACAAGTCTGCACCCTAACATGCCACAATAGTTAGACATACGATAATGAAGCGCAGCTGGTATGACAACGAAAGAAAGTAGTATTACCAGCTTCATACACGAAATACCGCTGAAATAAGGAGCACCAGTATAGCTATTGGACGACCATAAGTATGATGGCAATCACCAGCATTCCAGAATGCGTATTTGTGACACTTACTCTTCGGAACCTCCAACAATACCAATACGACCTGTTGGACACCGAATATATTTCAGCTCTGGTCAACAAAGCAAAGCACACGTAGAAACAACATACCAGCTTGGCCCTTGTGCATTTCCGCTGACAGCGGTGGGATAATTTGCTTAATTTTACCGAGATCGGGAATCTTGGGAGGCATAGTTTGGAGTGTTTGAGAGGTGTTCGCCGCCGCTTTAAAACCCCATATGGATTTTTAGGGAAAAATGTATGTCCCTGCTCCCCGAGGCCAACGTCATTCCATCGCAATTTCTACAGTAACTGGCGTTCTCAATATCATTCGCATTTTACCATTAACCTACCAGCTATAGGTTACGTACAATGTCGCCACTAGTGTTCACAGATAAGCTGCCTTCATATACAATGAGGTCTTGACTTGATGGAGTGTATCGCGTGCTTTCGACCAACAACACTCTACTGTTCCCTGTTCGCAACTCAAAGCGAATTGAAGTGGTTTCATAATATGAAATAGCCTTTCTCTCTCATTTTCAATTAATTAATTTGTGCTGAGATATTGCTGGTAATATGTTAATGCCGTTTCGCCGTTGGCAAGTACCTTACATTGTATCATTCGTGTGGATTAGACTAACTGGTAATATATTTATAGATGGTCCAAATTAATTATTTCAGTAATGGGAAGTCAGTAAAATCTAATATGTTGCAACTATGGCCTTAACAAAAGACAAGGTACTATGCGGATGAAAGTGACAAAGAAATATGTTCGTTCCACCACAATTGATAAAGTGGAAAGTATATGTCAGGCTCTGAACTGGGGTCAACATCCCATGGCTTGGTAAGGATATAGTGAATGTTCTTGACGTTCCCTAAGCGCCACATAGGAGAGTGTGACGTTCGCAACGTCTTCAGTGCGTTATACGAGTAAGCCAAGGGTATCCATCGGTCCTTGAATATTTCATTGAGAAAATCCTGATCGGGAAAACTGTATATGTTTAAGTCTTTAGCATGAAATAGCTTATCAAGCATGCTCTGGAATATCTCTTGGTCGGGAGAAAGGACGATCAGTCCGCTATTGAAATAATCCCTCTTATCTAAACTTGGGGGATTAGAAGTTCCTGCTTTAGGGTCGCACCCTGTATATGCACAATTGGCTGGCGTCCTGTGAGTAGAAATGACGTCAAACAGTCAATGTATTTCGTCAATTCATTAACATCCGATAAAAGACCCCCCCATATGCCAAACAGCATCCCAAGATAAAAAAAATCGCTCATGTCTAAGCCACTCACCAGTTTGACGGGTAATGAGATATCTTTTGAGGATTGCACGTACACGCATGACAAGCAGCTACAACGTTGGTTGTCAACGGCATTGTCATCAATTCGTCCATATTTTGTAAAGGCAGCATGTCGGCATCCATCAGAACAAGTCGGTCATAGTCGGTCTGCTCCCAAACGCGCAACTTGGTCCAAGTTTCAGCAAAGCGTTCAAACTTGTACTCCACAGCAGTCAGTGGTTTAATAGCCTCAATTGCTACCATGGTGCAGCCATAGCTAGAAAGCCGTGCTACCACTTTGTTAGGCACCGTTTCTGGTGTGTACAGCACCACTAGTGGATATTTTGATGCATGCTTTTTCAGAGCATGAGCAAGTACCGCAATTCCATCAACGTACTTGTTAGCAGTTGTCAGTATGACTGCCCATGCCGCTTTTTGAATCTTTCCAGTCATGTAAAGAGAAAAAGATGAAAGAAGTTGAGCCTGAGAGACCCCGACGTGACTCTTTATGAAATTGGATTTATCCGTGACGCTCGGAAGCCCATGTCATTTGTTGCTGGTTATGAAATGGGAAATTCAATGATGAAAATGAGTGATTTATAATCGAATTGCTACCGATTAAAAAAATTATCAATTCCGTTAATGGATAAAAAACGTCGATGCAGAGATAGCCTGGCTTTGCTTCAGCCTTTTCCGGCTCAATGTGGCTTCACATCGCATCGTAAGCCGAAACAACTTTATTTTAAAGCTCGATAGTGTTGAATCCAGCATTGTTACACACTGTTCATGTCTGAGGGTTTAGCCGCTGGAACTCTATCGTTAATGCTAGCCATGCTTGCTTATTATCTCTCCACAGCAGACTGTTCAGCTTGGAAGTAGTACACAGCTGGTAGATCAAATGACCTAGTGTGGCATATTTTACTCTATGAGGATGTTTACGGCTACACATTTTTGATATTGTAAAATATATATACCCTGCAGTGACGGGCATCGAACATATCGATTCGATCATCTGAGTACGATGAAGAAATTTAAGGGATTCAATCGTACTTTTATCGATGCTTGTTGATGGTGATTTCGCATTGATATATTGATCGAACGATGGCCATAACATCAACGATTATCGCCGTCATATTAAGATGAAAATGGAAATGGTAGACCAAGAAGCCGGCTAAATGGGTTTTCTTTTCAATCCGAACAAAGCTTCTGTAGTACTATTCGATTACCAAGTTCTCGTCACTCTTTCTGCTCTGATATTTAGGTCAGAGATCAGAGCATATCAGATCCGATTAGAAGTTAGCTATTGTACACGTGATTTGTTGAGGAGCAATGCGGACTTGAGAGCCCGCTGGCAATTAACCGGTCTGCCTGACAACTCTCATCAACACCAACAAAGTCACCAGAATGTTGAAACTGAACATTCTGCTTGCGAGGTATTGATCCTAAACATGCTTTTCCAAAGGAGCATAGATCTGGACACGAGATGTTAATTACCTCATCACTACTAGTTTATTTGCGACATGTTGTTTTGCAGCTCGTCTTGAAGGCTCAATCGAAAAGAATGCATTGCTACAAGGTTGGTGAACGATTTCTCCCGGCCACATTACAAGAGATGATATTTAATACATGACACAGATCTCGCCGACCTCGAATCTACTGCGTCTGTTCAGTTGAACGGCGGAGAATACTCCACCTTTGTTCAAAAGGACGGGAGATTTATTTTGTAAGTTGGACCGAAGTTGCATAAGGTTCAAAAGTTGATGAGGTTCTGACAACGCGATTAGCCCGGAAGTCCCGTCAGGAAACTATTTTCTGGAGATACAATCCGTAAATTACATATTCCCAAAGGTAAGGTTCTGTATGCATGACTTACAATGGCATAACTATGTCTCTAACTTTCATTTACAGCTTCGTGTTGATGTTGGAGACGACTCCGTGAAGGGAGCATTCTCATCTTTGGGAAGTGATTGGTCTACAACGGGATATGATGTTACATACCCTTTTGTTCTCAAAGCCAAGGCTCCAGCGGAGTACTTCTTTGTACGTATTACATTTGAGCCATGATGCTGCCATTCGCATATACCTGGTATTGACTTGCTGTTATTTATAGAAACGTGAAGGCTTTAACGTTATGAACATGTTCAAAAACCCTATGATGATCATGATGGGTGTGAGTGCCCTTATGATGTTCGTGATGCCAAAAATGATGGCAAATATACGTGAGTGCCGTTCATCGTTTGTATCCGGATTTGTTTTATTATATTAAGAAATTTCTTCTCTAGGCCCTGAAGACATGGAAGACTTCAACAAGGCTCAAGCAGACGCTCAGAAGATGATGTCGGATGTTCCTAGTTTTGGTAAATTTTTACAAGCACCAGCACAATCTCAGAACAAGCGAAGAAAGTAATGAGAGAACGCGAGTAGATAACGTTAATTTCGTTTAATATAAACTTGTAAATTTTTTTATAAAAGATGGGTCATTGTGCTGTTTGTTTATGTCTAGGATGCTGAAGCGTATCAAGTTTACAAGGAAGAGAAACGGAGTGAATAATTATGGTTTTGTATCCCAGGGTTTTGAAGTGGCTTTTGTGAAGTACACAACATACTATATATTTTTTTTGGTATGACACCATATTTTCAAATCATAATGCCATTTAATCCTTAGAAATGATCAGTATTAGTGGGATCTTGTCTAGCTAGCACATTGATGAGCCTGACGATTTTGACTTTAGCCATATATTGCTATAGACTGGACCTTCAAAAACACAGAAACCAGAACACACAGAAGCTAGAAAAGCACATTATGAGAATAAAAGGTGTGAAGAAAGATAAATGACTCTGCAATATTATGTCCTTCATAGATAGGTTGTTAATATCTCTTACATGCGAGAGATTTAAGCATGATGGAGATATTCCAAGGCATGCAAGAGGAGTCATTATAATATAGGTGTGAGACCAGTAATCCAATCAAACCAACCAGATCATTCAGTAATCTCACGGAATTCCAAATCAAAAAACTCTAATACTTAATTTTTTAAAACCTATTTCTAAGGCACACCTTTCTTTCCTTGAAGCGCTTCTTTCCCTTTTGTAAACTGTAGTCATCCATATACCCTTATCTTACAATTAGTCAAAATGGTTCGCTATAGTCCGTTAGGGACTTTGTCCATGTTGAAACATTCCCCACGAATGACTATGATGGCTATCTTTTCCGCTCTGGCAGTTTTGTCAGTAGTGACCCTGGTAGCTTTGCGACCATCGCATTTTGCACATCCACTACACTTTTTCTCATCTGGTCCACCTCCGCCTCCACTCGATAGTCATATATGCCCAGCTACAGGGCCCAACAACCACTATGAGCAACTGTATGGCCATGAATTCTTGCAGCGATCTATAGCTCATGAAGGATCGAACAAGCGTTTGCGTGAGAAGATAGCTATGGCACAACGAGGAGAAGACATACGTATGGCCGTCCTAGGAGGATCAGTTTCCGCAGGTCATACCTTGGATGATTGGACGAGGGTCTACTATCATCGATTCTTGGATTGGTGGAAGGAACAATTCCCGGAAGGTCATCACAGCATCTTCTCAGGCGCCATAGGAGCAACCGACTCTGGATATTTTGCTTACTGCTTTGATAAGCATATACCAAAGGATGTTGACATTATCTTTTTGGAATTCTCTCTCAATGATGCCAGGTAATGTTACGTGTAAATAGGGCGGTGTGGGTAGACTAGGGCACCCTTTCCCCGATTGCCCGTTATAGCATGGTGTGCCACCTAAAAGATCTACCAATGTCCAGACCGAGTCAGCAAACACAGATCGACTAATTTTCGTCTCCTTCTCATATGTAGTACTTTACCTTGTGAAATGAACGACAAGAAAGGTAGTATAGTTCAAGCAAAGATGATGGAATCGCTGGTTCGCAACCTACTTCGCTTGCCTAGAAAGGTATTTCTAAATGGTGTATAGTATATGTATGCAGAAAGGCCATAGTCTCACACGCTTTCGTTCTGTTCGCAGCCAGCAGTCATCATGACTTCAGTTTTCAGCTACAACGTGAATGAGTACTTGGATGGACAGGAATCGCATCTGCCAATTTCCAACTACTATGATCTACCCCATATTTCCATGAAGAATGCCCTCTATGACCATCTCAACCGATATCCAGACGATCTTCGATTTAAGCTCTACAACGATGGTCATCATTTATCTAACTGGGGCCACCAATTGCTCAGCGATCTTGTTTCTCACTATGTTGAAAGACAAATGTGCGCTATGTCCGACAAAGTCCAGCCAGTCATTTTGGATAATTATTCATACAAAGAGAGCATTCCAAAGTTCGATATGTTCACTCACCGATGGGAGCAAGACAAGTTTAGAGAGCTTGAACCGTATTGCGAAACGTTTGCGGATCAATCCTACAAGCCTAGGGACATGGACGGTTGGACGTTCTGGGATTGGCAGAAAGAGAAGTTCTACATTGTGGCGGATGTGCCTGGCTCTCAGGTTACCTTCGAAGTCCGAGCGAGCCAAGGCGTAGTTTATCTTTACCTATTCCGTAGCGCTGACTATAACTTGGGCAATATCTGGTGCTGGATTGGAGACGAGAAGGATAAAGGACGTGAACTCCAAGGCTACTGGGATAAATGGTATAGTGTCGGTGTAATGACTCCTGTTGCTGAAGGCCTCAGCCAAGGTAAACATTTGCTGCACTGTGAGCTCATGAACAAGACCAGCAATCCTGAAGGCGGCACCAACTTCCGCATTCTTGCTGTTGCCAGCGGTTAAAAGCTGATAGTTCAACGCGCATGCAGTAGTGTATACAATCGATTCCAACTCAGCCTAGATACGTGGCTCGTTAAGAAAGAACCACAGAATATTTGACTTATACTTTCTCAAATGCTCAAACTATTTATTGGTAATATGAGAGCTGAGGGCTTTTCCATACATCTCTATCATTTATTTCTTCACTGGTTCACACCTATCTTTTATCAAAGATTTATGTATCAACACACCTCCAATAAAAAGTTAATTCTCCACTTACTTTGAGACGTCTTTGCGATGGTAACTGTCATACTCTCTTCCTGATAGTAAATATGTCTTACAATAAAATGTTCTACTCAAAAAATGTTCGACAACGGTCAGGTAGTTATGTAAACCCGAACCTAACAATTTATCCGTCTCCGTTGCGCTATGTGACGCAATTCGAAGTCAGATCCCCAATGTGGTGTGGTCTTCACTGCTAGAGTTTTGTTTTACTTCGGCTATAAAAACGAGTGTACTTCACTCCCACCCCCAGACTCATACAACTTTTTACAAACAAATGGCTCCACTTCAAATTATTGGCTCTGGTTGGGGACGCACTGGAACTTCTGCTATGCGCGATGCTTTGATGCAGCTTGGGTATGTACGAAAGCATTAACCTCCTACAAGTACTGAACTATGCACTCATGTATAATTTCGTAGCTACGATGTTCACCATATGATTGTCGTTCTTACCGACCCTACTGCCGATTCTGATGTTTTTGTTGAAGCATGGGAGGGCAAGGAAGTCGACTGGACTCGCGCATATGATAAGTTCAATGCCGCTGTTGACTGGCCATCATCCACCTTTTACAAGCAACTTATGGAGGTATATCCTGACGCCAAGGTCATTCACACAACTAGAGACCCAGAGAAGTGGTATAAGAGCCTCATGGGCACCATAATGCCAGCAGCCGATATGGAAGCCAATCCTAACACGCCTCCTGCTATGGCCAAGCGCCAAGAATTTGCTAGAAAGGTCTTGTGGGACGGTGAGCTAAAGGGAGCAAAAGACAAGGAAACATTGGTTCAAATGTTCAAAGAACATGACGAGGAAGTCAAGAAGTATGTTCCTGCAGATAGGCTCCTGTGGTTTGAGACTGGCGTTGATGGTTGGGACAAACTGTGCGACTTCCTCGGAAAGGAGGTACCAAGCACCCCTTGGCCACACGTCAACTCATCTGAAGACTTCAAGGCTAATATGCAGAGAATGCGTGAAGGTGGTACTTTCACCGATTTTTCACCTGCTAGACAGAAATGAGTATAAGACTCTTCCGATAACTTGAATAAATACCCCTCGGGAGTTCTGCTAATGCGTCGTTATAAATTAAATGTTTTGATTTTTGTGTAATTCATCATACTCCTGTTTGTAACCGACCAGCAACTTCGCCTTAGCGCTTTTGTTCACCAGCCAACTCAAAAAATTCCCAAATTGGTCGACAAATCCCAAATTCAACGCTTTGAATTACCATGAGATCACACGCGGGACTTTTGAATCGGCCTTCAGTGAATTCTGCAAATCATGTAGATAGCCATGCTGACCATTATTACTCCATCTTCTAACATGCCAATCCGATGCAGCTCTAGCCTTTCTTGATCTTTCATGTAAGTACTGCTCTTTCGCATGCAAAGTATCAGAGCCACTGTCGTAGTGAGTATGGACGATGAAATCGTAGGGTACATGACCAGAATTTGACTTAAACTAGCTTTGGCTTGACATCGGACTCTCTCCGTCCCCTAAAAGTGGCGCCTCTTTAGCGGATGAAACATGACTACGGCGTCTTCTGTTCTATTATCGTCTCTTGTACAGAATGAACCAACTGAGCATTTATAAAAGAAACAAAATAAAGATAAAAATTTGAAAATACAAGTCTTTAAAGTAGATACCTTGCAAAAGCATCCTCGATCATTATATTTGTTGGCAGTATAAGTGTCGATTGCCACCACAGTCATAGAGGTAAACGGCAGGAAATTTGCAGACTACTCAGAATTTTTCGAAGGCTACAAAGCGCGTTATGCTCAGCGTCAACAATTTAACTTGCCCATGAAAATAAAATTTGCGACATCTTCCAACAATACTTAAATCGAGCACCTTACAGAATGCAGAACAATGAACATGATCAGATCCAAGTCGAAGTCTCTGCAGGGCGAGCCTTGGTGTGGGATCTGGAAGGTAGTGAAGAAAGTATGCCTGAATTGTCAACGGTTTGAATCATTACTTACCTCTTGTCCTTGCCATATCTCTAAATGTCAAGATCTAAAAACGCTTCGTACCAAACATAGAATCATAGGCGCTATGGTAGGATCCTTGGAGGCACAACCACTGCAAAATATATTTTACGGTATGCCACTGGCTTTGTTACCAGAGGAAGTCAGCTTATTACAAAAGCAGGGTAAGTAACAGCGCACCGCTTATTACATTCCAAAAATTACTACAGTGTACAACGTTCTTAATGTCTATAATTTGGGGAATATAATATTTGATTATTTTTAGGTTTGATCTATATTACAAATACAGGTGATGGTGCGGGTTGGAATTACCCGCAAAATGCAAAAGAGCGTGATCGATGTACTGTTTTCGAATATCTTTGGACAAAAGGATACTATGTGACATGTGGAACAAAGTTTGGGGGCGACTTCCTTGTTTACCCCGGCGACCCGGCAAGATACCATAGTCATTATGTCGTAACCGTCGTGCAAGAGAGTGACACTTTTGACCCAAGGTCTCTAGTAGCTACAGGAAGGCTAGGTAGCAATGTTAAAAAGACACAAGTCAAAGCTTGCGTAAGCAATGGGTCGGTGCAACTCTGGTCCGTTCAGTGGGCGGCGATATAACATATGCTCAGTCATGTCCGATCAAGCGCGCGCTCGGTAACAACTACGCGACAGCCATTGTTTAACCTGGGATATCCAAAAAACCAAAACTGGCCAATCGTTCCCAACAAAGCAAGCGGAAAAATAAATCCCCGTGTTGGCTGGGATCACGTTATCCTATTACAGTGCGCAATCGCAAATCTTCCAAGCAATGTCGATCACCGCCGCAGCTTCGGTTACTCGCTTTCAAATTTTTTTTTGTCAAAGAGGGAAATATTTCGCCCACGCCTTCTTTTCCTTTCTTTTTCTTTGATCATTTCTTTTACCCACTTGTATACCTTTCATCACTCTGCTATCCGTTGACAGAAAACAAGATGGGTATCTTCAAACGACGACCTCCACCGCCTTTGCCGACTGAAGAGACAGCTCTTCCACAAGATAAAGCAAATCCCCTTTCAAAGATCACCTTCCAATGGGTCAACTCAATCATGACAACTGGGTTCAAGCGTCCTTTAGAAAAGGAAGATTTATATACGCTGCCGGACTGGCGACTCTCACGGAACCTAACGGCAACGTTTCAGGAGCATTGGAAACGTCAATTGAAGCGAAAGACACCAAACTTGTTCTATGCCCTCAACCAAACCTTCGGTCTTAAATTCTGGTATGGTGGTTTATGTCGATTGACCGCCGATACTCTACAGATCACTTCACCACGTAAGTTGAAATCTCATCTTGACGGACAATAAAGATGATCTGATTGGCAGTGAATTAGAACTGACAGTGAATTAACATGACAAATAATTTGGTAGTCGTTATTCAGCAAATTCTCCAATTCTGTCAAGAGAGCTATGGCAGCTCCAACCCTCCTCCCATCGGTACTGGTATAATGTGGTGCATAATTCTCTATGTCATGCAAGTTGCATCTACCATTTTTATGCAACAGTACTTCCAGCTCTCTGCAATTACCGGTCTTATGTGTAGAACAGTTCTAATCTCAAGCATCTACCAAAAGAGCATGGTTCTAAGTGGCAAAGCTCGCATGGTAAGTATTGTCAGCTGCTAGTAATAGGATCATACTCTTATTGAATATCCTGCCTTCCCTAACACTATACATTGATGCAGAACTTTACTATGGGCAAGATCACCAACCTCATGTCAACCGACACTACCCGTATTGATTTCATTTGTGGATATTTCCATATTATCTGGGCAGCGCCAGTAGAAATTTTGATTGGATTGGGATTACTCATCCGCAACTTGGGTGTATCAGGTTTGGCTGGTTTCGCTATCATGGTACGAAAAATGTCACGAATGCATCTCCATAGTGGACCAATGCTTACCTATTATCATCCAACAGATCATTATGGCACCTCTTCAAACCAAGGTTATGCGGATGCTTTCCAAGTTGCGGCGGAAAGCTGTGTTGATTACGGATAGTCGCGTTAAGCTGACTCAGGAAATGTTGAACGGCATCAAGGTCATCAAGTTCTATGGATGGGAGGACAGTTTCAGTGACCAACTTCATAACTTGCGTTCAAAGGAATTGACTTATATTCGTAGTCTGATGGTGTTGCGTTCTGTCATTATGGGCGTTGCCGTAAGTGAAACTGTCAGCCATTCTGTTCGTTTTAAATTTAATTGCACTGACTGAAACAAAATTGCATTTCTTAGATGACAATCCCAGTCATAGCCTCTATTCTATCGTTCATTACCTATAGCTTGACTGGTCACATTTTGGAGCCATCCTTGATTTTCTCGTCTTTAACCATCTTCAATCTCGTCCGCATGCCACTCATGTTCCTTCCTATGGTCATTGGTGCCTTCGTGGATGGACAAGTTTCTTTGAACCGTATTCAGGAAATGTTCCTCGCTGACGAGCTTGAAAAGCTTCCTGAAGTTAATTACGATGCCAAGGATGCTATTTTAATCGAAGACGGTGATTTTGTCTGGCAAAGCGCTGCGCCTTCGCACCTCACTGCTGAAAAGGAAGGAAAAGGCGGCAAAGGACAAAGTAAAGCGAAGTCATCCGGTTTAAAGAACAAGTTTAAAAATTTAAGAAAGAACGACAAAACTGCTGACGACAAGGACGACAACTCAGAAAGTACGACTGTTGGTGTTCAAGATGAAAAAGCTCAACCTAAAGACAGCAGCGAGTACGAGCCAGAACCTTTCTTGCGAAATATCAATGTTTGCATCCCACGTGGTTCTTTGGTTGCCGTTGTCGGTGCCGTTGGATCTGGAAAATCTTCTTTACTCAACGCCTTGGTAGGAGAAATGAAACAGACGAAAGGAGATGTCGTTTTTGGTGGTGATGTTGGGTATTGCCCGCAAACTGCATGGATTCAAAACAATACGGTTAAGAACAACATTCTTTTTGGTCTTCCATTGGATGAAGCAAGATATCAGCAAGTTATCAAGGACTGTGCCTTAGAACCAGACCTTCAAATATTGCCAGGTAAAGTATACTTTTCATTGTGTATGTACTTGGACATTGTCATTGAAAGCTAACAACTGATATTGCTCAGATGGCGATGCTACTGAAATCGGTGAAAGAGGAATCAATTTGTCCGGTGGACAAAAGCAAAGAATCAATTTGGCACGAGCAACCTATTACAATGCGGATATTTTGCTGCTTGACGACCCTCTGAGCGCTGTAGATGCTCACGTTGGCAAGCATCTTTTCGAAAAGTGTATTTGCACTGCCTTGGCCGGAAAAACTCGCGTTTTGGTCACTCATCAATTGCACGTACTTCCCAAAGTCGATTACATTTTGGTTATGAAGGAGGGTGAAATTGCCGAAGAAGGTACCTTCACTCAGCTTTTGGAAAACAAAAATGAATTTTCAGTGCTCATGGAAGAATACGGAGGTGTGGATCACGCTGAAGAAGAGGATGTCGATGAGGTTACCACATCAGCTATCAAATCGGAAGGAAAGAAGGTCACTGAGGAAACTGGACCAGGAGTACCGAGCAAAGCATTGATGACCACCGAAGAACGCAACACAGGCGCCGTCCAAGCCCATATTTACAAATATTGGATTGATAACGCAGGTGGATGGCTGACTGTCTTTGTCATTGTCTTTTTCCTCTGCCTAATGCCAACAAGTAATATTGGGTAGGTGTATTAAGGCTTATTACATTTGCGATCAATATACAGAATGTAGCTAACTTCGTTTTACCAGAACCAACCAATGGCTATCATATTGGTCTTCGTATGATGCTCCCCAAGGTATCAATCAAAGCCCACCAACTGATTACCGCACAGGATACTTTGTAAGCATATTATATCAGGATTGTCCGGTGTTTCTTTACCATTTTACTAACTACCACTCAGATGGGTGTATATGCTGCCTTGGGTGTCGCCCAAGCTATTTGCAATTTCATGGTGTCCTTCTGCTTTTCTATTGCTGGTGTTGCAGCTGCCAAATCTTTACACGGCCATGCTGTCCATTCAATTTTCCGTGCACCCATGGCTTTCTTCGATACCACTCCCATTGGTCGTATCATGAATCGCTTCAGGTTTGTAGTAAACAACACTTTTTTATACAACAAAACATCGGCCTAATGACTTGTACTCATTTGCAGTAAAGACATTGATGCTATCGATAACTTGCTTGCTGATTCTATGCGACAGTTTTTTGGTACTTTGATCCAAGCTGTTGGAACCTTTGTATTGATCTCCGTATACTTCCCAGTATTCCTTGCACCTTTGTTTGTCCTACTGGTCCTTTACTATTTCGCAGCTATCTATTACCGCAGCACATCGAGAGAATTGAAGCGACTTGATTCTATCTTAAGATCCACTATATATGCTCACTTTGGCGAATCACTCAGCGGCCTTGCAACTATCCGAGCATATAGAGAACAGAGTAGATTTATCAAGAATAACCAAGATTACACGGATTTAGAGAACAGGGCATACTATCTCAGTATCACAATTCAGCGCTGGCTGGCTGTACGACTTGAGACTATTGCCAACACCATGATTTTGTTCGTCACGATCTTCTCAGTAGTGTACCGCATGACCTTGAATCCTTCGACTATGGGTTTTGTCCTTAGTTACTCGCTTTCCTTGACTGGTACTTTCAACTGGACTGTCCGTCAATGGGCAGAAATGGAAAATAACTTCAACTCTGTGGAGCGATTGTGGTTCTATACCAAGGAGATTGATCAAGAAGCGCCTGCAAAGTTGACTGATTCGAAGCCGCCGTCTGCCTGGCCTACCAAAGGAGACATTTCAATGCGAAATGTGGTGTTTAGATATCGAAAGGGCCTTCCTGCCGTCCTCCATAACTTGAGTCTAGATATCAAGGGAGGCGAAAAAATCGGTGTTGTTGGAAGAACAGGTATGTCTTATTGCTGAGAGCGAGCAAGTGAATTTTTGAAAACGCTTTGACCTAACCAATCTTCAACTGTACAAAGGATCTGGAAAATCCACTATCATGATTGCACTTTTCAGACTGGTTGAACTAGCCGAAGGACAAATCTTCATCGACGATGTTGACATCTCGAAAATGGGCCTATATGACCTTCGCACCAGACTTGCCATCATTCCCCAAGGTACTACACATTACCTTTTTATCGTCGCCAGCTTACTTGTTTACTGACTGCGTCTTACCTTTTACAGACCCTGTATTGTTTCATGGAACCATTCGTTTGAACTTGGATCCCTTCCAAAAGCATACCGATCAAGAGTTGTGGAGTGCATTAGAACGTTCCGATTTGAAGCATTACATCTCTACATGCCCTGGTGGTTTAGATGCGGATGTCTCAGAAGGTGGCGAAAACTTGTCAGTTGGACAGCGCCAATTGCTTTGTCTGGCCCGTGCCATGCTTACTAAGGCTCGCATTATTGTTATGGATGAAGGTGAGGAAATTGCCGAGAATTCTAGACCCTAGAAGAATACGTCGTAACCCCTATTTTTCTAATTTAGCTACCGCCTCCGTCGATGTCAAGACTGACGCGTTTTTGCAAAAAGCACTTCGTATTGACTTCAAGAATTGTACCCTGCTCACAATCGCCCATCGCCTGAACACCATCATTGATTACGACAGAGTTTTAGTTCTTGATAACGGTGTGATCAAGGAGTTGGACTCACCCCACAATTTGCTATCCGACCCCAACTCTGCATTTTCATCCATGATTGACGAAACCGGTCCATCGAACGCTGTTCTATTGCGTAGATTGGCAAAGGATGCTCAAGAAGGCAGATTTAATATTGAAGACCTTGACCAATTGGTTGCTCAAGAGCAAGAAGAAGATATTGAAGAAGGCTTCACTGTGAACGACAATGCCAAGCTAAAGAGGAAGAATTAGATACCCAAAGGTTGATTATCCCTGTACTCTTAGGCTTAACTAAATTCTAATACTCACATTAGAGTGCAGTATATCATTAGTAGTAATTGAGTAATATATTTTTTCAAGCAATGCATTGTTGACTGCATCACGTTGGATATCATTAACAAATCGACCGGAAAAGAATGTGGGTGCAATGAAAGTAGTGAGGTTTATTTGAGTTAAGTCTAGTGTTTGAATGCAATAGTGCGTCGCTACACTATATCCTGCCCAACACACCCTTCATGAGTACCGTAATATCTGTTACATAGCCAACCGATTAGAAAGCGATATTTACGATGCACCCAATGGCCTTGATACTCACAATAAATGGTCAGCTGAAGTTCGTTTGACAACAGAATTGGAGCAACTGCGCGACTCTTTTCCTCCGCATCTTTCTGTAATTCAACAATGAAAGTTAATAAAGTCACTGATACCTATTCTATGATGTAACTATGCCTATCATCCACTTACTGGTATGCTGGTTATCATCATACATCCAATATTCTACGCCTTCATGCTATATTTCGTTGCAAATTAATAATGTGTAAAAGCAAATGTGGTACACTGCTCAGCGTGAAAGTAGCTTTACCAAATACCCTTTACTCAAAGGCGGCTGATGAGCTATAGCTGTTGAAATAAAATTAGTTTCTCAAGCGAACTGAAAGCATAATCATCTTTTTGATACGTACCATCTGCTTTGGCCACCATTCTCTTGTGATCGATCCCGGTGCTATCATGATAGTCAACAAATGCTTGGTTACCAACCCGCGACTTTCCTAAAAATGTAGCGCAGAGTAGTGGCTGTTTAACTGGCTATTCACATTCTACTGTTCATTATCTACATCACCATACCTAATGTATATACCGATAGCTTTGTACTTTTGAGTTTGTGGACTCTCTGAAGTAACTCCAAACCTGCCAAGGAAGCAATGCATCCTCCCAAAGAGTGCCTGGTGGGATTTTGTTTCAGGTTAGAATGATAGATAAGTTGCAGCTCTGTAGTTCGAACCACTTACCCTATTACATGTACTCTATAATCTGGATATAGTTCAACCTGGTCTGATATAGTGGTAATCATTGTTTGATTTATCTCGGAAAATCCTTGGAAACAACCTGTATATTGAAGTCATGAGAAAGAGTAACTCATCAACATTGGTGTCTCAGACTCATACCACTGTTAACAAATCCACCGGGTGCTGGAAGATAAGGAACAAGTCTGCCATCTAGAGTCTACAAGATTATCAATACGAATCACTCCTCCTAAACACACTTATCTTTTACTATAACACCTACCAAAATCTTGTTGGTTCTTGATGTAGCTCCTCTTATTTGAACAAATACAGTCTTGCGCCTTTCGAAATCATGATTCGTTAGTCTGTAATGCTAAAAGGCCTTTACTTTATAAGTTTACACAGGTAACGTACGCTTTACTTCGAATGATCTGACCCACAATATCATGTGGAGCCGTTTTGAAATAGTTGAGTACTTCGCCATCTGGTAAAATTTGCAAGCATTCTTCACAGTCCCAGTTGTTCAAGCTATCACGGCAGTTAACCGTGTGACATAACTGTGCGTGAAATCGCAAATCATTTATCTCTGGGCTGTCTGGTTGAAACTCCCGTATCTCAGAAGCGGCTGGCAAATGTTGCTCTTCCCCTATTCCACCTTCAAAAGTAAGAATAGCGTCGGCTAAAGCAACTGTTAGATCTTCTTCAAATTGTGAAGCGCGCTTGTTGAGGGCTGTAGAAGTTGAATTGCTGAATACGACAGCTATTAAACAGGTGAATACGATCAGTCGTGCATAACCCATTTTCGGGATAAATTTATTGCTTGTAACGATGAAAAAGGGTAAAGAACAGGAGCCTAATTTATATCGCTGACCCAGCCATGTTTCGATCATCAGCGCCGTTTGTACATTTTACGGATTACAGATATTGTGAGAATGGGTGTCCTCAAACTAACAATTTGCTGTAAAAATTGAAGGAATGCAGGGCTCCTGGGGAAAAGAAAAAAAGATAGAAAAATATAGGGGTCAAACCAAGAAGGAATGTATAGATATGCAATAGCTAATACCTTGATATCCACAGGCCTGGTAAGCATCTACACCATTAAAAGTCTCGACCATTTTTTTATATCTGTCTGCTTGTTGCACACCATGATATACTAGAACTGAACGTAGAACAACACAAATACATTGGCTAGAGGTTGTCGCTAAACAGACTGATGCGACCGAAGGTTAAACTATGTGGTGTACCATTCCTTTGATCTGTCAATTGAAAAACAAGCGAGGGCTTACGCTGCCTTATATTGACTTGTCTTCAGTTGTCGATCGCGGTATTAAGGAACGGTAAGATATACATCTTGAGTATATTCCCCGGTTTGCACAATTGTTAATCAGAACATACGGCTACGTAAGCATCATGAGGAATTCTTACACCATCAAGCTCCACCTTTCGTTTCATTCAAATTTGTTGAATCCATATATTTGGAGCTTTAATACGGGCCAAATTGTAACCGTTTCGCTCTCACGAAAACTGCTACATATCCTCCAGTTTTTTAATGTCTAGTTCCTTCTTGGAGTCCCAATTTTTGTATCATATATATGCCTTCATGATTTGAAGTTATCATTTTCTTTGCTATTCAAAGGGTTTCAACTTGTTTTCTAATTAGGCACCACCCACAGATTTCAGGACCAATCTGTGAGCATAATACCAAGCTGGAAACCCCGCCTCCTTCAATTTCTAGGAATCTTTGATTCTGCTGACTACCGGCTTTTTCGCCACCTTACCTGAAGATCTAATAGCCAAGGACATAATGCTGGCACGACATTACTCCAAACTTGTTAATTCAAGAGTCATTCACAAACCTCTACGTTACCTTACTACAGTTAGCAGCCAAAAAACTGTTCCCCTCGAAGCAAACGACACTGAGGTTCACGTTGACAGCACCTCGGTCAAGATTCAGTGGCCAAAAGCAAGCAATGTGACTCAAGCAGCCCCTCATACTTCTACATATAGCCACCTTTGGCTAAGAGATAACTGCCAATGCCCTGAATGCCTTCACCCGACCAACCGTCAGAAACTGCACTCTTCAGCTGACGTTCCCTTGGATATTGTTCCCGAACAAACTACGCTTACAAACGAAGGCCTTGAAATTACTTGGAATAAGTCACTCAGACACCACGCGGATTCGCAGATACACAAGAGCTTTTACCCTACTTCGTTTTTATCACAGTACAGCAGCCCAAGTCTTCGTCAACAATTCCGATTCAACAACATGAAATTTGTCACATGGGATCGGGAGTTAATGGACGCTGAAAACAAATTTATTTCATATGAGGAGTACAACACAGAACCAGGATTATACAAAACACTCAAACAACTCTTCGATTACGGTATAGTCTTTTTGAAAGATGTACCAACGCATGATAGCAAGGTCACTGAAGTAGCCGAAAAAATTGGCAACGTTAGAGAATCGTTTTATGGCAGAGATTTTGATGTCAAGAGTGTCGCAAAGTCTAAAAATATTGCCTACACATCCCTATATCTCGGTTTCCATATGGATTTATTGTAAGTTTTTTTTTCTATCTTTAAAGCGATCTTCACTTCCACTAACTTTTGAGAAGGTACTACGAAGCCCCTCCTGGTCTTCAGCTCTTGCACAGTTTGAAAAACTCAGTAACGGGTGGATCAAGCATTTTTGTAGATTCATTCAAGGCAGTAGAGATCATGAAAACGGAGCATTTCGATGATTATACCGCTCTTAAGGAAATTCCAGTGACATTTCACTATGTGAACGATGGGCATCATATGTATTACCGGCGCCCAACCATAGTTGATGATAAAGCGCAAGAAGGCGGTTCCTGGGGTATGCATGTCAACTATGCTCCCCCATTTCAAGGTCCATTGGATATTGATGATCCATTGGAAGCAGCCCGATTTTACAAAGCATTCCAAACTTTTGCTGATATTATCGAGGACAGAAACCTTCGGTTTGAGTTGACGTTGCAACCTGGTCAACTAGGTAGATATGCTTTTCATATATGATTGGTAACGCATCGTGCTTTTTAGTAACACATTGCCATATCAGTGATCTTTGCAAACCGACGAGTATTACATGGACGCACGGCCTTTGATCCCACCAGTGGTGATAGACACTTGAAGGGAACATACGTAGAGCTTGATTTATTTAAAGACAAGTTACGTGTATTGGCCGAAAAGTATCACAACTCCATTTAGACAGACACACCGGGTGATTCAACTTGGTAAATTAGATGATATAAAAGTTTTATCTATTAAAAGTATAAAGATGTCGTTAGGGCTTGACAAATTTGCACTGGGTAAATATCCTATCGGCATTCATTTCTAGTTTTCGATTAGTGGTTTCTCTATAAATGTACTCGTTGGATATCGTCTGGAAACCTTCTGCTTCGAAACGGCTCTGAACATCCTCCAGCGAAAAGAAATAGCTCATCGTACCTAAAATAGTGGTTAAATCGTTGATACGCATCGTTGCATCATCCAAGTATCTGTCAAAGCTTACCATCCTGCCGAACGTAAAAGTTTTCATCCAATTTTTTATCAGACGCTGAACTGAACTTAATCTGAGCTTCGTCATATAACCCATAATCTCTAAACAACACCGAACCGCCATGCTTAAGGACCTTATAACATATAAACTCATCAGTAGTCGATATGGGCACATAACAACTATACCCGTTGACTAACCTTGAAAATATTTTGAATGGCAAAACTCATTTTCTCTGGCGGTATAGCTGAAAGGACAAAGATCGCAGATACCTGTATGATTGTATCAGCGTATGTAATAAAGAAGGTAGAGTTCTTCAAGTCACACTCACCAAATCTGCTGTCTCTGACGGAATAGTATTGCACAGATCATCAGCTGTAAGGTCGCAGACAAACGCTTTGCATCTAGATTCGACATATTGCTCGTTTGCCTAACACAAGGAGTACATAAATATATGCTTTCAAATACTTTTTTTCCACTGGATTTTAGCTTACTTTAACCATTTCTATAGCCCTGGATGAGAAATCGCAGGCGTATATAAAGAGGTTGGGATTTTTGGCAATGGTTGGAAAAACAAAATTTCCAACACCACATCCAACTTCTAGACATATCTGTAGCCCAAGAAGAAATCCAATTAAATAAAGCGTAAATTGCTCAGACACAAGGAAACCGTATTCTGACCTTTTTTTCGTCTGAATCACCCTTGTGTGCTAATTCTTCAAACTCGCGATCTAACCAATATCTATCTGTTGACAGTAATTAGTGAGCTAAATAGTCTCCGAGGCGACCATGACTTTCTCGAGCACATTTTTTGAAGCTTCATTCCAACCGAGATGTCTCTTTCGCTCAAAAAATACCTTTGAAAAACTTTGTGGTGTTGCGTTTGTAGAAGATATCCCAATTTCTCGATGCGTCTTTCTTGTATTTGTTGATCCAAAACGGAGGCACAATCTTCTGGTCATTTTGAATGGCTTCCTTAGCTCTCTGGGCATGAGACTCCAGTCGTTCGGAAGCCATTTCTATGCGCGCTTTGTCCCGTCCACCTGATTGTTCGTCTGCTGCCATTTGATTTAAAGAAACGTATTGTACGTTCGGCGGGAACAAAAAAAAATGCCAGCAAAGTACATTTGGCCTTCTCAACTTCGGCAGTCACGGCGAAAAGAAACCCTGTATTATTGGCGAAAGGTGCAAGACATACAGGGAACAATCAAATTTCTTTTCTGGATCAATAATACTTAACTCATATGTAGATGACAGGTAATATATAATAGCATGTTTGAAACGCTATGTAGTGTTTCCGAGTGTGAGAGTTCGCTGAGAAGCTATTGAGTCAGAAATGCGATTCTTAACACCAGATGAAGGCCCATGTCAAAGCACAGCGTGACGGGAATCTACTGTTTCAACATTTATTAGCAGAAATACAAGGTTGTCAGTGTCGATAACCTTGCAAGAATCCGGCAGCAGGCAGTAGCAAATTCAAGCTGATATATCAATACCAGAGCGTCAAAATTTTGCAAGTCACATCGAACTCTCAATCAAGTTGCAGCACAGCAAATCACACAATAACTGTAATCTGCAACCATGGACTTTCTTCAAAGTGCTTTGAAGGACGAAATTGAAAAGAAGCGCAAGACTCTACAAGCAGCCAAAGCTAATGATACCGTCGCAAAGAACAAAAAATATATCAGTCGTGCGGAATTGGAACGATTGAGAGAGAAGGAATACCTCGAAGAGCAAGAACGAGAGAGAAAAAAGAAAGAGGTAGGCAAGATTATGCGCACACTTACTGCATGCAACACAAGCTCAACGATTATGCATGATTACAGGAGCAATCGGCACTAAAGCAGAAGAGTAGAGCGGTATGTATGAGCTACTGTTAGGCATCTGATTCAATCTTAACAATACTAACTAACTTTTAAATGCTGCAACAGAGAGAAATTGCTGATCAGGAACGGAAAACAGCTTCTGCATCAGAGAGTGATGGCCAGGATGATGATGTATGTATCTTTTTTGAATCATACGGGCGCATTCGTTACGCTAATATCGTTGATGTAATAGGACGAGACGGCGGATACGTTCAACGTTTCCCAGGAGGAAGTTCAACGTCGATTACGTGCAAAGGGACAGCCCATTCGGCTCTTTGCTGAAACGGATAAGCAAAGGAAAGCTCGTCTACGAACATTGGAACTCATGGAAGAGAGATCTGAAGGTCAACGAAACGACTTTATGCGCACATTGGACCAAATGGACGAAGGAATGAACTTGGAAGCTTTGAAACGCAAAGCTGAAGGCGAAGACCTAGTGGAAAAAGCTGCCAAAAAATCCCGAGACGACACTGCTATTGTACCTGTTAACATGGATTGGCTGCGAACAGAGCCAGAAAAATTGCATCCCCTTATATACTCGTATTTAAAGGTATGTTCCTTTTCATTAAATTTCAGACGCCAGTTTCGATGCGAAAAAATGCTTATATGTTACTTCAGAGAATGCTTAGGGAATGGGAAGAGGCTCTGGATGAGCGCCCTGAAGAAGTTAAGCGTAGCGGACAGGGTAAGCGAGCAGCAGCTATGCAAAAGCAGACTGCGGACTACTTGCGGCCATTGTTCAAACAGCTGAAATCAAGAGTAAGGAACCGATTTTTTTTCACGTCAACTGTGATAGACATATCTAAGACTAAACCTGATTCAATAGGCTATGGAACCTGATATCCTTGCAAGAGTCACTGAAATCACGCATCACATGCAGAATAGACGCTATAGGGACGCCCAAGACTCTTACCTTCAGCTTTCTATTGGTAATTCGCCGTGGCCCATTGGTGTCACTATGGTTGGGTAGGTTATATTACTCATGTTGACAAGCTTGCATGATGTGGTAATTGACATTCATCATTTGCTCTGTAGTATTCACGAACGTTCAGCGCGAGAGAAGATTTTCGCAGCTCAGGTGGCACATGTACTCAACGACGAAACAACTCGTAAATGGATTCAATCCCTCAAACGGTTGATGACTTTTGCTCAAACCAAGTATCCTCCCGACAGCATGTCACAATTGACATAGTCTAAAGGCACTACTCACGGATTTACCACATCTATCAATTCCAGAAAGATATCTTATAAGGCGATTATTTCCAAACGGTTATATCATACATAGTTACTGGGTTGTTTGTATTATATCAAAGCTGATCTTCTTAAAGAAGCACTGAGAAGAACAGCGTTCTAACTTCAAATCGTTACATAAAAAGTTGGCTTGAGACTTCCGAACTTAGCACTTATATCTAGATCGGCTTCTACCATACCCAAATCTACTTTTGATCATACTTCTTTTTGAATATCCATGAATTTCCCATGATTCCTTGTCCTTGTGCAGCCGCTAAGCGATAGTATTTTGCCGCTTGATACACATCTCTTTTCACCCCTTGTCCATGGTAATAGCAATGTGCTAAATCATTTTGAGCATCTGGATCACCCTGTAAAGCGCCAAGAATCAGTAGCATGAAAACTAAACGATTGTAGCACCTATTAACTCACCAGCTCAGCAGCAATTTTGAAATAGTAACAAGCTGTCTTCTTGTCCTTCTGTACTCCCCATCCATGTCGGAATGAGACCCCCAGCTCATAGATAGCCATAACTAGCTCTCCTTTTGCCGCAGACATGCTGACAGTGGATAAATTATTTAGATCATCGACTGCATGTTCTGCAGCTTTCTGAAGATATTGAAAAGCCAGCTGTGTATTTGCCCGACATCCCTTGATGCTGGAAATTAATTTCTACCCTCAATATTCGTACACTTGAAAAAGGTTACTTACCCATCCATGTCGTAAGGATATACCATAGAGAAACATACCCATGGGAGAATCCCTATCTGCCGCCGCTCGAAAATGCTGTGTGGCTTTTTCAAGCTGACCCCCCTCATGGTACCTAATTCCCTTTTGCACATGAGCCTCAGCTTCAGAAACCTGCATAACCTGCTTATTATTTTGCGCTTTAGGACGTTTTGGATCTTGTCGATTGGTCGGTGTAGACTTCGAAGAAGGAGGTATTGAAGTGGCGATCATATGTGCATTTGGTATCCCTTGGTTTGCCCTTTCCCTTGGTACCATCTGTACGGGCTGCTTTTCTGCCCATTTCTTTTCCATCGAACTTCGCCCATAGTTTGGCGCAGAATTGGAGGTTTGGCTAGATATCGAACGTACCAATATCGCTGGAGAAACTGAAAGATTATTTAAAGCAATGGCTCTGGTAGGTGAAGGACTTATGGGGTCCATTTCTATAGGAGTTGGAATGGATGGCGATGACGGTGATGGTAGTGATGGTGAAGGCGAAAACAACGACTTGCTATCTAGCCAATTTGGCGAGAGCATGCTGGTTTCTATTGAAAAATCGTAAGATGGTGTAGACGGCGACCCCTTTTCAGTTGAAGGGTTGTCGTATTTGTGGAGGCTGCGAGCTGTTGTGTCTATACTTTGCATCAGGCATCAAAAATCATGGGTCATAAATGGACTGCGAACACAGGAAAATAGCCAACTCACCTATTTTGAAGTCTACATCAATGTGATATCCTGATGTCTTGTTAATCATACGATCCGTTGTTGGTAGTTTTTGAGGTAAAGGCGAAACATCCAAACTCTTTGGTGATGCGCTTCCAACGTATGCTGGACGAGCATAAAGTCTTGTTGCACGCACTGGAACATCGGAATATGTATCGTCAATATCCATATTGTGTAAGTTGCCGACTTTTTCACGTCTTCCTACAATGTAATGTAATAAAGATGTAAGCTAAAGCAATTGGGACTGTTTCATTGACGACGTTAAAAAAAGGTCTGTTTTTATTACAGCTTTCTGATTTACAAGGAGTAGAGTTAGGTTGAGAGTGCACCACCCCTGAGGAATAGGGATAACGTGTGATAATGAGATTACCCCTGCGCGATACTAAATTGCTGTTGCTTACTCGTCTTCTTCGTCAGACAACACCTGTCTTCGCTTGACTTTCCTTGATGATATTCGGTCCTCTTCGTCAGGTGTAACATCACCTTCATCATCATCGAAATCCTCGTCCTCTTCCTCTTCTTCCTCCTCGTCTTCGTCTTCATCATCACGTCGCTTTTGACGATATCGGTCCATTCCTGATTTCTTAAGTTTTGAAAGGCGTTCTTCTCTCTGCCTTTCTTTTTCTTCCTCTTCCTCTTCTACAATGTCGTCATCCACCACAAAGTCTTCGTCATATTCGTCGCGACCGCCATATCTTTCTGTCTCCTCTTCATCGTAATCATAGCGTAGTGGCCGGTCATACGCGTACCGATCTTCAGCACGGCGTCTAGAGCTTTCTAGCTTGCGCTGTGCTCGTAATCGTTCTTGCTCCCGCTATCATACTCATTTAGTACAAACGTCTTGTTGCATTATCAGCAAGACAACCTGAAATGACCCTTACCATCTCTGCTTCATGCTTAACACGTTCCGGATCTTGCTCCGTCATGAACATCTTTGTTCGAGTTTTTCGTACGTGTTTATCGGCAATTTGTGCAGTTAAGTTTCGATGGGTGTCGCTCTTCAAGTCACTGGGGCGGAAAGACATGTTGTTGGTGAATTTGAGATGACTCTCCAGAATACCACTTGACGTCTGATGCGCTAATAAATAATGATGCTCTTCGCTTGACATAGCTTTTACGTTAACGTCGAAATATTCGGATCCAAGTACTAGCGACATACTTCCATCCTCCCATTCAACTAGTCTAGCATTCGACTCAGTTGACTGATGAATTGCAAGTATTGTTAGATCAGATTTGATGTTGGCGCTGACAGCTAGTGTGAGACTTCTTACCAAATTGCCCCGTTCATCTACAATTTTTCGCCATCGTATGGTGCTCTCCACCTGCCGTCGAATGAGTTCCTGGGATGTCATATCACCAACAGCGTTTGAAATCGAAGCATCATATGTTTCAGGGCTGAATGAAGTTGGTTCAATATTCAAAAACTTTGGTAGCTTCGCTAAATGGAACTATAATTGACCGTCAATGTGTTATCGTTCTGACCCTGTACAAATGATATAGTGAACTTGGAAGCATACCTTGCCATCTTTGCTGACAGGTAGAGGCAACTCTGGCATTGTCAATTCCACTTCTATGCGCTGCCTTTTCAAAAATTTAGCATCGTCGTCTTGATTTTCAGCGTCTTCTTGACTGTATCCTTGCTGTCTTTCTTCGTCTTCATTGTCTGATTCTGACTGCTTTGGACGCGACAATAATCGGCTTGCAAGTGCAGAAATGTTAGACTCTTTCGCGAACTTAAATTCGTTTCCGTTTACTTATATATAATTGTTAGACTTACCGCTTACGCACAGGTTCATCTTTGTCTGACTCGTCGTTTTCCTCTTCGCTTCCAAATAAATCATCTAGACCAGCGTCATGTGAGGAGGCATTTTGTTCCGTATTCTCAGTATTTGTCCTAACTTCTGAGTGAGAGTGTGATTGCTGCGGTGATGGGGTATCATTAAGTTCTGACTGTTGATCATCGTCTGAACCGAAGAGGTCGTCCATTGCTATAGCTGAAAGTGGTGGAGTTGCTTGAGTTCGAAGTGAGGGTGCAGCACCTCGACTGAGTATAAACGTCACAACTAAGCCACCAGAAGGAAGATGCGAAGCTGAACCCATCAGCAGCTTAAAACATGTCTCTTATGAGCTATCATCCGTTCATTCTCATTCATACCTTTACAGTATCCTCTGAATGATATGGAAGGTAGACCTCATGATTTATCCAAAAACTGGCAAAAGTAGCTGTGTGATGCTACCAGTTCTATTATCTCATGACAGACACTTATCACATTTTAAGCTCGACATAACTCTATCGTATCCATTTTCCAACGTGAGCAACAGGTGCGGCTACAGAACCGAACCCAGCTCAGTAGAGTGTGCGCAGGCAGGCCACAGGCAAATCAATGAGTGACGCATCGACCCAAGGTAGAAATTATTAGAAAGGGGACTGCGGTACTTGAGGAAGTAAATTTTACTGAAGACAACTTTTACTTAGCGAAGAAATCATGAATTAAAAGAGCAATAGTAACAATTTCTTAAGGGAAATCCACGAACAGCGACATGAACCATTTTGCTCGTTAGTATATGAGTGAGGTACAGAGTTGTGCCATAAACTAAGGTCCGTCATCTCCTGATCTCAGCAATCATACCTGCTGTGCAAACACGAACACGCAATTCGTACATTCGAACGCAATAGATGATGACGAGCTTCATCATACTCTTGCCGAAGCAATTCACTTGACATCAGATTGAATCACAGGTTTAGCAAAAAACCATTTCGCGATGGTATATCGGTTTGAATACAGCTCTTGTGAGTTGTTTTCTTTTTTATTTTCTTTTTAAATATAAGGAAGTCCACAAGGGACCTTGCAAAAATTGCCGACGCACCCAAAGGGTACCCCGGACGTGGTATTGGTTATTAGTTTTCAACCAGCAAAACACACGACTCGGTAAGAACCTCACTGTCAATGTGATGCCCGTGCACAAAGATAAAGGGCAATTTTTGCCAAGGGCAAAGGAGCTTATATACTTGTAAAATGTGACTGCTTTAAAGATTTTTTGAAAATCCAGCCAATGACATTTTGCCAGAAGTCTCTACGGTAATTTGCTGTGCCTGAAAGTACCAGTTTGCTACGCGAGCTTGGCTGTCGAGACTTCCAAGTCGTACGAGGAAGCTCAAATCACGAACTATATATGACACTCTCTTTGAACATCAAGTTTGCACACTACACATTATACTGGAAAGGTATCAACCCACATTCAAATTGTCGCCCCTGGTGCCACGTCATTTTACACCCAGTTGATACTCAACCTGTAAAGTGTCGTGTCGACTTATTGCGCAATCGTTGTTACTTGTATCGTAACAAATCAGAAATAACCTTTGCATATTTTCTGATCTGCATGTCAACTACATTGTATTGCATACATTTGGTTGCTTTAGGTGAATATTTGAGAAAAGTTTGTGTTTCTTGAAGGAAAGCCATAGAAACTATTGGAATCCACTAGTGTCCCATTATTAATTGTACAGAACTGGGTTGGCATACAAACCAAAACCCCTCGAAATCCCCCGGCTTTCCCGGCCAAATTTGAACCGCGAGGAGCCAAAGGTTTCTTTTGCTGACAAATAGTACACTATATAACCCTTTCATTTGGATTGAAGCTTTTGACAACACATACAAAATGTCTTCCAATTACGAAATTTTCTACTTTGAACTCCATGGCTTGGCTCTGACTACAAGAGCTTTGCTCTCCATCGGCGGCTTTGAATGGAATAATAGATTCCCAAAGGTGAGTTTCATTTTAATCTGTAGTCAACAGTTACCAATGAAGTCTAACTGTATCGCATAGAACTGGAAGGAAGAGGAAAAGGCCACCACTCCCCTCGGAAAGTTGCCAGTACTAACAGAAACTAGAGCTGATGGTAGTAAGGTATGCTCGCCACATCTTACCTCACTGCCGTATGATAAAGTGTACTGATCACATCTTCCAGTTCGTCCTCGCTGAAAGCAACGCCATCAATCGCTATATCGCACGTAAGGCTGGCCTTTACGGCAGCAGCGAAGATGAAACTGCTCTCATTGATCAGTTCTATGAAAGCTGGACTGAAATCATTGCAAAGGGTCTTCCGGTTATGAGATTGAAGGGCAGTGAACCTGAAAAATACACCGAACAACTTGCAATCTACCATGAAACTGTTGTGGGTCCCATCCTCGCGAAGCATGAGGAAGCTTTGCAAAAGAATGGCACTGGCTACTATGTCGGTAGCAAGGTAAGAAATACAGACATTTCTCGTTTTGTTTGAAACCGATTTGAAATTTGACATTCTGAATTTTCTTCAAAGCTTTCTCTTGTTGATGTTCACGCTACTGCCATTGTCACCGGTCTTGGCAGCCTCGTTGGAGATGAAAGTTCATACCCCCATCTTTGGAAGTTGGCCCAAAACGTGCGTTCATTGGATGCTGTCAAGGCAGAAGTTGAACGCTTCCCCATCCGCCCATAAATAGTTTTGTTCTTCCTTCTGAAATAAAACATGTTTTTGATTTGATTTCTTATTTTTTGCATCAAACAAGTCAGCCTGTTTAAACAATTTTAACAGCGCAGTTTTGCGCCGACGATCGTAGTTTCAGCATTTGACATGCGAGAATGTTGCTTCACAAAATTTCGGACTGTTGCTGTTGCCATAAGCATTAACGGTTACTCGTTCCAAGTATAGCGTAACATTATGTATTGAGTTGTACTGGTCTATCGATCTTTAATTCATCAATCATAAGTTCTCCAGCTTTATTTCAGCTTTATTTCTCAATGGTAATGTGTGAAAATGAATTTCATCATGTGCGTAAAAAAAAAGAAAATGCTGCTAAAAAAGGTATATTTTGCTGGTTGCCTGGTTACAGACGATCTCCCAAAATGGAGTCCGCAGCAGTGGTTGCCACACCATCAAACCCAACATTTTCGGTAGTCAAAATTGATATAAAACTGTGCATTTCTCTGTGTCCCAAATTTTAACCACTGCTCTAAGCATGCCTGCAAAGTACGAATTCTATTATTTCAATGGCCATGGCCTAGGTATTATACCCAGACTGCTTCTCTCGCTTGGTGGATTTGACTGGAAGGATAAGTTTGTAGAAGTAAGTTTTTTTTCACTATCATATACTTTAACCCAGAGATGAAGGTTGACGTAGCTTCTAGAACTGGAAAGAAGAAAAAGGGAAAACACCATTCACCCATGTTCCTGTATTGACCGAGTACAATGAAGATGGTTCAAAGGTAGCATTTATTTTTCTACGATCTACATCGGACCTTCTTGTAACTCACAGGATATCAGTTTGTTCTTGCTGAGGCATATGCCATATATCGATACTTGGCCCGTAAAATGAACATTGTAGGTGAAACAGAACACGAAGTTGCTCTGGTTGAACAATACTGTTGCAGCTGGGAAGAATTGCATGACAAGTATTGGCCACTCGTGTCTGATTGGAAGAAGATTCTCACTCCTGAGCAGTTCGACAATCGCCTGAAGAACCTGTTGGAAACAGAAATAAAGCCCATCATGACCAAACACGAAGAAGCTCTTGCAAAGAATGGTACTGGATTTTATGTTGGTGATAAGGTATATTACCTCTGAAATATCACTATCTCCAGTAATCACTTGCTGATTTTTTTGGCAGATGACACTAGCTGATATTCATGCAACCATAAGCTTACCTTTATTGAATATCGACGGAAACTTGGTATCGAAGGAAACTCATCCAAACCTCTTTGCTCTGCAGGAGAAGCTGAGCGCGAATGAGATCTTCCAATCAGAAGCCAAGCGTTTTCCTTCAAACTCATAGTGGAATTTTGGTATGCTCAAAGCTTGCCCACCGTCACTCTCCTGTGTATGTCTGTGAATCGACTTTACTAAATATCCTTTAGTACTCATATTTACTCCAGTTTTGTCATAGTCTTCTTGCTCAATAAATGATAAGAATAACTTCATTACCTTCGGTGTCCTTGAAAGAGTAGTAGCTTTTCACTTCTCATTTTCACCAATCTCTGGTCTGTAAAAGCTGTTCCGCGCTTAATGAAGGATTGTCATCAAAGCTTACTACATAAGAAAGGAGCGTTCATGTCAGTATCAATTTTGATTGTTACTTCGCCATGTCTTATCTTTTTACCGTGCTCCTATGCTTCCCATGAAACCCCACCGGTGCATGACCCACCGGTGCATGACCCACCAAGTAAGTGGACGATCTGGCGGCTGTTGTATAGCATTCTGTGAGCACTATCATCCTTTTTTATAGGTACCCACTCATTTTCCCTATGTTCACAATTCGATGTTGTCAGTAGATTTGACCATGAGTATAGCATTACGGAATGTCAAACTACAAATCTACCTTCACTTCAAGTCAACATCAGCAAAATTTCCAAGGATAAGTCCGATATTAAGCTTAACTACTGCATATTGAGCTCAGTGGCTGAAGTTATAGTGGAAGTAATGTAGCGATGTCCGCAGAAGCCTGTTAACGCAGCTGATTCAGTAAGAAGCGGGGAAAGAAAAGAGTAAGAGACCACTGGCAAAGGGACAGTCACCGATGCTCTGGCTATACGTTAAGGTACGGGTTTGGCCAGATGCCTCTCTCACTACATGTGCTGTACCAAATTTTTTGAAAGGTGAAGCGTTGTAGATGCAAAGTAGAGAAATAGAAATTTTCCTCAAACTAGTTGCTTACGGTCATTTTCCGCTTACTTGTCCAAAATCGTTCGTCCGGCTACCCACTCTTTTTTCTGTCATGCCAAGCCCCTAAATTCAAGAAAACAAGAAAATAGAAAGAGGTTCCGCGTGGTATAAGTCACTTTTCCTGTTTAATGTCTGGCAGTTGAGTATTCGCTAGACCATTATCTGAAATGCGCATTGTTGGTATGATTATATAGAGTTTCAGCCATAATCTGTATTCTAATGCGCATTGATAGAGCTTTAAGCGGACAATGAGTCACAATCAGGTCAGATACCGTAAATATATACGTTGTTCCGATGAGATTTAGAAATCAGTTATATGTATGTTGTAACCATTTAGCGGGCTTCACAAGCAGCTACAGATATCATAATAGTTCAAGCTCCTGTTTATTGCGGTGTTGACACATAAAAAATTTACTTTGAAGATTGATCTGAAATTTCAATTCTTTTTTTTTTTTTTATCATACAGCCTTAAAAATGATTCTGAGTCCACTAGTTGGTAATACTCTCATTTTGTCGAGGAGAGGTGAATTTTCGCTTTATTCATAATTGAATTCTTGTCATTGCGGTTATAAACCTGTGCTTATGGCGTAAACTATTTATATATAAAATAATTTATTGAATACTCATGGTTAACATAGCAAGTTTTCATAGTTCTAAATTTTTTAGAGCAGAAAAGATGCTTTGCCTTGTCGATTATAGCTTTATGTTTATAAATACTCTGATGGTCTCCAAAAAAAAACACGGAGATATAGCTCAGCGGTAGAGCAGCCGACTGCAGATCGGCAGGTCCTTGGTTCAATCCCGAGTGTCTCCTTCCTTTTTTGCGTCGGCCAAAGCCAATTTTTTAATGTTTTATTTTTAAGTCTGAAATGTGTATTCTGAATCCATTCGTCTCTAGCATTATCCATACCTGTCGTTCGTCGGTAGAATTACAACATGTCAGCTCGACCGAATGCTGATTCAATGGGACTTATTAAACGTCGAAGTCACATTGAACAGTTTCTTTGATTTAGGTTTTAACCTTATGAAAAGTTCACTCGACTGCAGGATAATACGCAAAAGTCGTGCGGAATTCAAAACGTCAATTGGTTGCGATGTTAATAAAATTTCAACATGGACATAAAGACCACAGAATCCGGATGGTTAAGCAAGCTAACCGAAGTGGTACAAAAGCTATCAGACGTCTCGCAAGGCGCTTCGGCCAAGGTAAATGCCACTAAACCGGACTTATTTGAAGGGATTCCGAACAATTAGGGCGGTACTGCGAGTTCGTCAAGTCAGAAGACTCGCAAAGAGTCAAATTTGCGGGCATCTTTCTCAGAGTACGTACAGAAGGATGACTACATCGCCTGGAAGTAATGAAGGACCGGCTTCCTGGACAGGATTCAAGGAGTTTATGCTAAATCATGCTTAAAATAACTACGGATACCTGGCGGTCTTACAACAGACAAGAACGGTGGAAGAGTACGTGGATCCTTTCAGAATCTGGCCTTAGAGATTTCGAACATGCGTGAAATGAAACCGCAAGATTTGGCAACAACTTTTCGTATAGCGCTCGATTTTGAAAGACGTCGAAAAGTGGCCCAAGCAATTGTAGGCACCCGACCGATATCGACCATGCAGTGCCGCTAGAACAGGCAACAAGGCCGGCAGGATACTTTGCCATTCTTCTTCTGCGAAGGCAAAGGTCACAAGCAATTCGAATGCTCGTCCAAGCATCGTCGCTCGCCTGCGGGCCAGCAACTGGGGCTCAAAGACTGGCCGCGGAGGTAAACGGTCGCACTCCGCGCCATCAAACGAAAAGACGTCTTTTAACGTTCTGACAGTGGCGGATGATCTTCCTCAGGACAATATCCTGCCCAGTAAAGTGGACCCATTTCTATCACAGGATCGACTATATATCTAGAAACGATCCAATGAAGAATCGAAGTTTCCATTGTATGCTATAATCTTCAGACCCTGACAAATTATCGATCATCAAAACTGACGCATCCGATTTTAGATAGATAGTATTGCTTCAAAAAGGTTCGGATGGCAAATTGCAGCGTCTGGTAAGTCTTATATGGCATATTCATGGTCTCAAATTATGATTTGCTTATCCATATGTTTACTGATGGAGTTAAGTTTATATACTTTAAGCATACATGTTGATGGACGAAAGAGTGTTACCACTGGAATCAACAAGCAAGGCACTTGTGCAAGAAGATCCAAGGCCAGCATTGCCAACCCATGCTGGCTCCCAGTAGAATACACCTATCGAGAAATTGATAAGTTAGCATATATTGCTTTGCATTTATTCGAACCCACCCCCCAATAACGTAAAGGACATACCTTTGCCGTGGCCGTTAGGCAACCCTTCGAGCAGAGAAACGATATCTTTGACCCAAGTTGTTTGACCGGCAGCGCTTATAGGTATACTGGACTCGCTAAGAGTGACACCGCTGCAGGAGTTGGGGAAATCGGTCTCAGCGATAATGACATCTTTCCCATAGGTAGATATCATGTAATTCAAGGTAGCCTTCAAGTTCGCAAGTGTAGCACTGGTTCCGTAGAAAGGATAAAATGAAAAGCCCATAATATCAAAGTCAGTGGACAAGAAGGTTCCCTGTGCCATCAAGTTGCTATAGAACCAAGTCTGGGTAGCTTGATTCCAGCCATTGTCAGTGTGCACCACAATCAAGGGTTGAGTGGTAGAAGCATCTTTGACTCCCCATGCTGCAGAGTGGAGAATAGACGCAATGTTTGCCCAGTTTGAGGTACTTCCAGTTGGCCTGTTATCATGTTAACGAAAAGTGGTTATTGATTGTTGGTATAAACGCTAATGTTTACATCTATAATTCTTCGCTTACCAGAGCAAGCCATTAGTAATTTCATTACCGATAGCCACCATGTCAACAGGAGTACCTTGGGACACAAAGCTAGTGACAACGCTTTTAGTGTAGTTATACACTTGCCAGCTCAGATTGCTAACGTCAGTTGGCCATCCAGCAGGTATGGTTTGGTGGGCCGGATCAGCCTATAAAGCACAAGTTAATATGCAGTACATCAAGGAAAGAAAAAGTGAAAATTTGTAGGACTTGCCCAAGTATCTTTGTGTTCAAATAAATGATTCAATCTGATTAGACAACATTTTTCTTTGCCATTCATAAATTTTGGGGATTTGTGCACTTACCAGAATAATGGAAGTCAAGATAAAATTTGAGGCCTAAAGCCTTTGCTCGCTTGGCTAGAGCTAGATTATACGCCAAATTGTAATAGCCATCAGATGGGTTGACCCAGATTCTTGACCTAACATAATTTGCGCCGGCAGATTGAATGATTGCGTCGAATTTCTTTTGTGTACCGCTTACATAGTACTTCTGGCCCGCGGCTTCAAGCATGGGCAGAGAAGATATGTCATGTCCTAGATAAAGGGTAGCACTGGCCTTACTTATCAAACAGACCAAGATCTGAGTAACAGCAATCGCTTTTGGGAGTCCAAACATGAGTGAGATGTAAATTGCTGTTCAACGGCTTACCTTTGAGCTGCATTAAATATTTTTGACAATTCATTGACCGTTGATCACGATGCTAGCTAGATGGAGAGTGTGGAGAAATTTATTCATCCCGCGGTATTCAATGTGTGATATATTAAATAATGGAGAGTGATTTGGTAAGGATGGCGTGAGACTACGTTGCACGCGGCGGCCAGAGCTATGTATTTCCAAAGCCGATTTACAATTTCTATAATATAAAGACAAAGATAAATTTGGGAGAAATGGTTTGATCTCAAATGACCACATCTCATAGACTTTCAACGAGGTTGAGAGAGTGAAAGATCACTCACCATTTGGTAGTTGGCAAATTTAATTAGAGCAAGGTAACATCGCCGAAGAACCCCACACTCCACAATTGATCTTCGCCTGCTTATGCCAGCAAAGGTAACACCCACCTCTTCCGATCAAGCGGAGTATTTGTCAGGCGTCGGAAGATATATTATTTTCTACCCCTCATTTCACGCATCGAGGATTTTCTTCCTTTTCACTTTCCTCGGCATACACCCATATTACATAATACGGATCGGACTAAATCATTAACTCTACTTTATTACAATAACATGTAATGACCGTATATAAAGCGGCCAAAGAAGAACTCTAGAGCAGCAACACTAGCGTTCATATTTGCCTAAATGCTCATCAAAAGTGCTATAGCTTTGACTGTAGTGGCCTTGTGGTCCTCGGTCGCCTCGTCGCCTATTCAAATGGTCAAAAGAGGTAATATTATATGTCAATTTGCTTGTCTGAGCATGACGGCTACGACAGTCTCCTGATTTGATTACATTGCAGAGTCCAGCCCTATCACATGGGATGCTTACTCCATCAAGATTGATGGAGAGCGTATTTTCTGGAGAGCAGGAGAAATGGCTCCCTGGAGATTACCTAGTCCAGCTCTCTGGAAAGATGTGTTTGAAAAAAGTGAGTGTAACAATACTTCATGCACTCAGTACTCTAGGCGATTGATGCATGACTAAGGTACTAACAATTCCTAATAGTGAAATCTAATGGCTACAACGTCGCTCAGATGTACTTCCATTGGGGATATCACAGTTGGAACAATCAAACAGGTGAGTAAATGCATTCACAAAGCATACTAAGAACTATTCATCTTTGTTTACATTTTTCCATAGTTGATTTTAATGGGATCAGAGATATTGATGAGCTGATGAGAATGGCTAATGAAACTGGAATATACGTCTCGGCCCGACCCGGTCCATACATGTAAGTCTTTCACACGGAGGCTGAATTTGAAAAATGCATCAGTTTTTTTAATGATTATTTTTTTAAAATTATAGCAATGCCGAAACTACCAGTGGCGGTTTAGCTGAATGGACAAGAACTCTGAAAGGTGCTGCTAGAACTGATGCCGCTGATTACACCGCGGCTTGGAAGCCTTATATCGAAGGCGTAGCAAAGATCCTGGCCAAGTGGCAATATCCCAATGGTCCCGTTATTGCTGTCCAAATAGAAAACGAATTCGGTGATACCACCACGGCTGCTCGTAACTACATGGCTCTGTTAGAGAAAGCGTATACTGATAATGGTATATATGTACCTAACTTCCATAATGCTGCAAGCGATTATGCTAGTCCTTGGATTTCTGGCAAAGGAGCTACTGATATGTAAGAGGAGTGGAACATGACATTCTCCTTTTGTGAGCGGTAACTAACCAAAACTTGCTTATGCTAACTGATAAATATCACAGGATCGGATACGATGTAATTGAAATTATATATGATGAATCCTTGCATGATGAGTATTGACTTTGCTTACCTGATTTTCTCCAGTTTTATCCCATCGGATGGGGCCCTTGTCCTGCTGATCCAACTGTATGGACCCAGCCCTACGGCACACCATTTGCTGAAATTGTCAAGTATAGACAAGATGTTCCTCTCTGGATTCCAGAACTCGGTGCTGGTGCTTACGACACATGATAAGTATCTATCAAAGAAAAACCGGTTGTCATCATGAATGCAGTCAGACTAACTTTTGTTTGCTTTCTTACGGCTGGGTATGGTGAAAACAACTGTAGAGAAGCCGCCAACAACCTCTACCTGAGAGTGTACAACCGCTGGATGCTTGCCATGACAGTCTTTATGCAAGGCGACTATATGAGTAAGTAACTCACAACTTGTACTTGTATGCAGTATATTTGCAATAGCATGTCACTAACCATTTTTCCTCTGCATAGCTTATGGTGGAGTAAGTGTTAAATGTAGATGAGGTCTTGTGTTGCTCAGCTATCTTACTAATTTCCACTATAGACCAACTGGGGTAACCTGCGCTTCCCTGATGACTACACAAGTTATGACTATGGTGCTCCTATTGATGAGTCCCGTCAAATCGGATCCAAGATCTATGAAAAGAAGCTGCTTAATTACTTCTTGGACGTTGCTACGGAAATGGCAGGAACAGACCTTACCACCTGTTCTACATCCGAATCTGGTATCAAGTGCGATAAGTTGTATAACAAGGAAACAGAATCTGCGTTCCATATCCTTCGCAACACTAATATCAGCGGCTTTGATAACTATGATTTCAAGCTCAAACTCGGTAAGACCGAAAGGCATTGTTTGCCTCATGTAAGAAGAAGACATTTTATTAACATGTAATTACTAGCTGATGGTACTTCCGTACCTGTTGAGGACAACATTGCTATTCATGGCCGTGACTCTAAGATTCTCCCTGCCAACCTCAACTTCCTCAACCAACATATCATCTATTCTACATCAGAAATCCTTACATGGGGAACCATCGATGGCGTGGACTACCTTGTGTTGCACGGATTGAGCGGCGAATCAGCTGAAATTGCTTTGAGCTTAAAGGGCTCGCAAAAAGCAACCGTTCAAGTTGGAAGTGGATCAGTCAAATCCACCGTTTCCAGCAATTCCGTCAGACTGAACTTCAAGTACAAGGGTTAGTAAAATATCAAATCTCATTTTTCTTTCAACTCAGTAACTAACTATCTTGTCATAATAGGACTGCAGCAAGTCAAGATCTCCGGTACTCACCCTCTCGTTGTTTTGATGGCTGATTTGGACAATGCTTATAAATTCTGGAAGGTTGACACCAAGAACGGGCCAGCTTTCCTGTTCGGCAGCGTAAGTGGATGGAGATAGTGATTATATCCAACGCAGTGAATGGGAATGTTCTAACGTTGCTTGTCTTATTATAGTACTTGCTTCGTGGCACCTCTGGCAACTCTCAAGACGTTTTGTCCCTTCGCGCAGATACTGCTGAAACTGAAACAGTTGAGATTTTTGCTTCTTCCAAGTTCAAGTCTGTTGAATGGAACGGTGAGAAATTACATGTCTCTTCTACTTCTCGAGGATCTCGTTCCGGCAAGGTTAGCGGTCCCAAGAAGGCGCAGGTACCCAAGTTGCAAAAGTGGACCTTCGCTCGTGAATCTCCTGAAACTCTCACCACCTTTGATGACAGCCAGTGGAAAGTCGCTGATAAGAAAAGTACCAACAATCCTCTTCCACAACCTGCTGGACAACCGGTCTTGTATGCATCCGATTACGGTTACCATATTGGTCATATTTGGTATCGCGGCTCCTTCGTGGCAAATGGCGACGAAACATCTCTCAATATCACTGCCCAAGGTTTGCTTTCGTTTTCACTTTGACATACAATTGAGAAGATGTTATATTAAATCTTTATACTATAGGTGGTGACAACTCTGTTTACTCTACTTGGCTCAATGGTAACTATCTTGGAAGCTCCACCTCTTCTGCTGGCGGAAAACCTCAGCTTTTCAATATCACAAGCAAGCAATTGAACAAGGGCAAGAATGTTGTATCTGTTCTCGTTGATGGTATGGGATCGGATGAAGAAGGTGGTAGCGCTAGTGAATACTACAAGAACTATCGCGGATTGAGAGAGGCTCACGTTCTCAACAACAAGGGAAGCGAAACTGCCACCATCTCCTGGAAGATCCAAGGTAACCTTGGAGGTGAAGACATTGTCGACACCGATCGTGGTACCTTCAATGTCGGTGGTAAATATGGTGAACGCCATGGATGGCACTTGCCTGGTTTCTCCCTCTCAACTAGCAAGTTCCAAAATAACGTCAAGCTTCCCCATAAGTAAGAATTTGCATTTCAGCCTATTCTGACCACAGTGACATTTTCTAACGACATATTCTTATTAGCTTTGGCGATGCCGGTATTGCTTGGTACTTCACTGATTTTGAGCTCAAATTCCCTGCTAAGTCGGATAACCCGGTTGTTCTTGCTTTTGAGATGCCTAAGGGCCAATCTTACAGAGCTGAGTTCTATATTAATGGATGGAACTACGGAAAAGTTATTCCAAACTTGGGTCCCCAAGACGAGTTCCCTGTCCCACCTGGTATCCTCAACACCAACGGAGAGAACCGTCTGGCTATCGCAGTCCACGGCATGTTGGATAAGGACAATGTCTTTAGCGACGTCCAACTGAAGGTGTTGAACTCTTACACTTTCTCAGGAGAACAATGGGTCCAAACTAAGGCTCCTAGCTTCGACAAGAAGGTATATGGAACCAGCTCTGGTTGGTAAGCTCCCCAACAAGAAATAGAAAAAGGAGTAACTTACGTGTTCTTTACATTATTTTTGAATATCAGACTTTTTTTTTTTTTTTTTTCCCTCCTCCTTTCAATAATAAATCAGTACTATTACTATAAATCTTTTCCTTGACTTGATTACATCAAACGTGAGGAAATTTTAAAAGATGAACTTTATATCATTATATGTCCCTATAGCAAAGTATTTCAGGTACCATATTCGATATATTTTCCATTTGTTTCCAGTGCTACAGCGCATACAGGGTTGAATGATTTCTTTGTAATACATGAAAGATGAAAAATCGAAGATAATGCTGGACCGGTAGAGACGCTATGTACGCTTATGGGAAATAATTCCCATTGCTATAGGCAATTCAGATGAAGCTGAAGCAGTTATAAAGATATAATCACCAGCCCTTTCTGACTTATTATGAGCTGTAGATGTTGGCTAATTGATATAGCCACAGTCGATATACATAATCCATTTTTTTGGCAACTGGTTGGTTCCATATTATCATGTTGCCCCTCGTCCTTCAGTTAAAATTTTTATTATTTACCTTTGTAAGATGGACGTGATGTGGTAAAGAATTAATTGGATCAGTAAGCTGCGGTGCTTTTCTGCGTATTATTTCACAATATATCAAAGATGTGCACTACGGTGCGTACCTATAGAAATAAGCATTGACATAAAGACATGCGCCACTTGTATCAAACAGTCAATGCAGTGGGTTGTCTCTGGATGTCTCTTGTGATATATGATACTATACATTTAGCAGAGTGAGATAATAGAATGCCAATTGCGAATAATATATAAAACCAAGTTGGAGTTCAAATTTAGCTCAGAGTCCCTTTGTTTATTTTGCTACGGTAAGATTGGGAACTAATGCAAAAGAGCTCTTTTAACAGAGCTGGCCGTTACTAATCGAAACAGAATGAAATTCGGGTCAAAGTGGAAGAAGAAGAAGAAAAAAAAAAAGAAAACAAACAAAACGAGCGAAGATTTGCCAAAAAGACAAAAAAGAAAGTATAGGAGACACTCGGGATTGAACCAAGGACCTGCCGATCTGCAGTCGGCTGCTCTACCGCTGAGCTATATCTCCCGTTTTTTTTTTCTTGAAATTTTTAGTCTTTATAACAAACTATAAATAACTTTAAACTCGGTCGCGGATTCGTCGCTAGTTTACGTCAGACTAGCCGACAAAGACGACATTAACAATGATAGAAAGACAATAATAGAATTTATTTAAAGAGTTATTTGGCATGCTAAAGCCAAATTTATTAAAGTTGAGGCTTCAAATGCAATTTTATCGAAATATAAAATTTAAAAGCTCTGTTTCAAATCCTGATGTCCGATCGAAAGAGAGGATAGTCATGCTGATACAATTTCTATAGGACCATAAAGGAGTTTAGAACATTTGGCGTCCACAAGTCAAGTAACAACTGGTATCAAGCTGCTATACAACTTTAATGAGGCGAAAAGCACTATGTACAGCTACATTTGAAGAACTTTCCATAGGTCGAGCATATACTGAAGTCACTGTATGATGATATGAGATGATATAAGATGACGCATGTTAAAAAAAAGCCAACATTTATAATAATTGGCTCAACTTATACAATTGATACTACATGATGTACCACTTTCCCTGCAACATCATTGACAGGCTGTGAACCACTTTATTTTTTGCAAGGTATTTGGATAATCTTAGGTACCATGAACATCTGGTGTTGAAGACATGAACGATCAAAAATGAAAAGCCATCACATCACTTGAGAAAAGCTAAGATACGTTTAAAAATGGTGTAGATGTTGCGCATCCGCTGATTCGCCACGCCAGTGTTGACCATGTCATACACTTACCTGTCAATATCATCAACGTCCCTTAGTGAAGGAGCTTTACTCCAAGAAGCACTTCGTTGCAGTGCTCATATTTAGAAAATAAAAGGCATCTATCAGTGTCGCTAGCACCATCTCGTAATCGAGTGGATGGATTAGAATGTCGGTGGCCCTGATAGAGTCTCTCTGCTGTCATCTAAAAAATGTCCCTCTTTCGTACCATCAACACATCTCGGTTCGACAGTTAGAAAAGTAGTTGCAATTATAACTACTCCAAGTTTGAAACCAGTCAGCAGTAGGTCAGCGTTGTAAATTTGGCAATGTCTACCCGATGATGAAGGATGACAGTGTCTGCGCCATTGCGTCGTGTGGGCAAAAAGAGAGCGAGCGTTGCCATGGCAACAAGGGCATAATTTTTGGGTCGGAGAAACTACGCGTAACTGCACGCGGCGCGATGAAAAACGACAGACTAAGGGGCGTACACGCCGGTTTTTTTTTTTTTTCCCTCTCTCTATACGCTTTTTTGATTTACTTAATCTTTTGATCCATACCTCTCAGTGCAAAATGTCACAACACGTAGAAGAAGAATACAGCGATGATAGTGGACCCATGCCCTTGAGCCAGCTTGAGGTAGGTTCTTTGCGCAGCATACCTTCAACTGTTGTCTTGGACCGTCTTACTAACTCGAATGTCTAGAAATTCGGCTTGACGGCTACTGATATAAAAAAGCTCACGGAGGCTGGCTATCATACTGTCGAGTCTGTAGCATATACGCCAAAGAAGGCATTGCTTGCCATCAAGGGCATCTCGGAAACGAAAGCTGACAAATTCCTAACAGAAGGTAGAGCACGGTTGGGGGGAATGTAATGAGGAGCAAATTGTGATTCTAATCTCGAGGCCGATTCTTTTAGCTTCCAAACTTGTAAATATGGGATTTACGACTGCTATGGATATCCATCATCGTCGGCAGGAACTGATTAGCATCACAACCGGTTCAAGTGAACTCGACAAAATTCTTGGAGGTAAAGTTGCTGCGCGCTACGGGTTTTCTCGTCCATAGGGTATTTGGAACTGGCTATTAATACGTTTGAATCAATAGGTGGTATTGAGACAGGGTCCATTACAGAAATATTTGGCGAATTTAGAACAGGAAAGAGTCAGATTTGTCACACTCTTGCTGTTACTTGTCAGGTAAGGATTCTTTAGAATCATCTGTTTATTTTGTCTGTGACTAACGGTGATCTCAATGATGGCAGCTTCCGGTGGATATGGGAGGTGGTGAAGGAAAGTGCTTGTATATTGATACTGAAGGAACATTCCGACCGTCTCGTGTCCTTTCCGTCGCTCAAAGGTTCTCACTTAATGGCGAAGAGGCACTAGACAACATTGCTTATGCTCGCGCATACAATACCGATCATCAGACGGCGCTGCTTGTTCAAGCATCAGCCATGATGGCTGAATCTCGATTCTCGCTCCTTATCGTAGACAGTGCTATGGCGCTATACCGAACGGATTTTTCAGGTAGAGGGGAACTTGCAGCACGTCAAATGCATTTGGCACGATTCATGCGAAATCTTCAACGGCTGGCCGACGAATTTGGTATTGCTGTGGTCATTACCAACCAAGTCGTTGCGCAAGTTGACGGTGCAGCGTCTATGTTCAATCCCGACCCCAAGAAGCCTGCTGGAGGAAACATCATTGCACATGCATCATGCACGAGGTGAGATAGAGTATGCAGCTTGTAAGCTGATCCGTACTGGTTACTGACTGAGGTTGTTTAGGTTGTACTTGAGAAAGGGAAGAGGAGAAAATCGAATATGTAAAGTGTATGATTCACCATCCCTTCCTGAAAACGAAGGCACCTTTGCTATTCTTGAAGATGGAATTGGAAATGCCGTTGAATAATGATAGCGAGCGACTTTTGCTTGATTATTTTTATACATCTTTGGTTTTTTTTTTTTTCGCTTTTACATAATCAATTTTTTGCAAAGCACGTTTTAAAAGAGTACAATTTTATGGTATTGATCGCGCATTGTATAATGACCAATTTGAACAATAAACTCCAAAGCAAACAGGGCCTGAGCTGAACGCGGTTATGGACGCCCGGCACCAATTTGAACTCTTCGAAAACTCCAAGGCATCCCAGAGAGCTATGGTAGACCTGACTTTACTGATCATTGTGCTTCATACTGCGAGCAAATACAACACCCAAATGCTAAAATTAAAACAGAAAATGAATGGCAAGAAAGACAAATCATGGGGTGAAAAAGCTATATGAGAGGAGTTAAAACACAAAGAGAAAGAGGTGTGAATGATATATGTATGAAGACCTAGTTGTAGTGCAGGAACGAATTTTTTTCTTTTCTCTGTCTGTGGTTATCGATTCGTTGCGAGCAGTGTCGTTTCTCTACACACGGAGGGCTTGCACAGTCTTACCAAATCCTACACCAATCCACTCAGTGAGACTCTGATTCCAGCATAAAGAGTTGATCTCGGATTCGGCGGAATAGGCAAGAATGGGGTCGGAAATGTGTCGCTGCATTTGAGGATGGCCATTATGGTAGCTTTGGCGATGGTGACTAGATCGGTTGGTGGTGCTTGTGGTGGGAGAAGAATTGTTGGCTGCGAGGTTCAAGTCCCAGACAAGAACTTGACTATCATCGCCTATAGATGTCATGTCAGTACACCGCTTGCTGGGCCATTCCTACTACATGCAACAGCTTACCTCCGGTACAAATTTGGCCAGAATCGTGAGGAGCCCAACTGATGCAATTGACGCTGGCGTTATGACTCTTGACGAGTTCGGTGACTGGTGTACTAGGGAATCGGATATCAAGAATCTGCACCGACATGGAATCCATATGGAAAGTGGCCAATAAGTGGTGCTCCATACGATTGAACTCTAGTCGTAAAAGAGGAGCCGGGCCACCGCCAGCCGGGCCACCGACTACGTTATTCGTTGGCTGGGGGGTCTCATACAAGATAGTGGAATGCTCCAATGATCTAAACCGGCGTTAGAGATGTGGAAATTTGATTGCCAAGTTTCCTCTTCGTTTTCTTACCTTAAGTCAAACATGCGAACGCTGCCGTCAGCTCCAACACTAGCAAAAATGTCGGCGGTACCATGCATAAAGGCGACATCGTACACATCCTTGTCGTGAGCAATCAGTTGGGTTTTTGCTTGGTTCGTTTCGACATTCCAAACAGTGCAAGTAGTATCGATGCTAGAGGTGACGACCAAAGATGGATCGGTTACGTTCCAATCGAACGAGGTCAAAGGCGCAGAAAAGTCGGTTTGCTTGACCTGAAGGAGGGAAATCCTATATTCAGCAAAAGAAAAAAAAACCAGAATGACCAACCAAGTAACCTGAACCCTTACATTCATAAGCTCTGATTTTTTAACCAATTTCTGCGGGCACCCATTAGGAGCTTCTCCAGATCCTCTACCTCCAATTGTATTGCTTCCATAAGAAGGGCTATCAACTAGCTCCCAGAGACGCAAGATATCTCCTGTAGTAGCTAAAAGATCCGTTCTGTGCTTGCCCTTTGGCATTATGTATATGTTAGCTATACTCTGTTGTGATACCAACGTGTGTGTGTTACGGCGGCAAGAGGCTCACCTTGTATGGCTCCCACAAAACCTTTGTAATAGGATAGTACGAGTCAGTCTCGGCGAGCACCGCGAAATCTGAATGTTGATTGGCGTACATATCATCAACAAGATCCGATCTAGTAACAATTTGTAGCTGCGAGAGACAGGGTTAACCGACAAGGTTTTTTTGGGGGTCAAGTCGAAAACACGAGTTGGGCTGAGGAACTGTACCTTATTCTCATGTTCCTCTATGAAACTACCAAGAGCTAAACGAAATCCACCTTTTTCGGTAGGAGCCTTACTCCAGTCCATGGCGTACACAGGCCATGGGGCGTGGTAGGTATAGATTTCTTTGCCCTTATTGGAATGGCGACCATTCCGTGATTCCAGGTGGGAGTGGTCTTGAGCGGACATGGGTGGGTATTGTGCTGCTGGGGGGTTTGGATATGGCTGATGTTGGGAAGGTCTTGGAGAAGCAGATGGTAAAGTACTTTGCAGTGTGTCTGTTGAACCTGCAACGGACGAAATGTTCTGGTAGGGGTTATGGACGATCTGGGGATAACGCTGAGGCAAGGAAACAGATTTAAGAGGTGGTTGCTGTGGTGTTTGCTGGTAATTCTGCTGGGACATGGGCAGAAAGAATTCAGAAAAGGGAGCGAGGGAGGTTTTGCAGCAGAGTGAAGGCTGTTGCAACAAGGCTGTTTTTGTTAACCCGCTCTTCTCAGCTGGTCGCGCGGTCCGATCCCCTCGTTTCTTTCCCCTCCTGCACGATCCACATTAGAGATGCCTGACGACATTTAGCTGACGGAATTCAATTTGGAAAGGGGTAACGATTTTGATTGTTTGAATGAAAATTGCCTTTTCTGAATTAACAACGATGATGTTTGTATCCATGACGCTCGCATACAGGAGTTCATTACAAGTTTATAAAATACACAGTTATGCATCCCCTCATGTGTATACACATACGGATGAATATATAATGCGACAGAGACGATTTCATCATTTGTGTTCTTTTTATTTCTTCAAACCCATTTTTACTAATCTACCATTCTTATCTTTCTCTATCGTCGTATGTAAACAGCAATGAGGAATTCTCCTACTGCTTCAACGATGTCTATTTCCACATTGGATAGCCAAGCGCCTAGTAAACTAAAAAAGAGCAAAGCCAACGTTTCATCGAAACTCAGCAGTTCCATCCAGCGACTGTCACGAAACACCGCTTGTAGCATTGCCCGTATGAAAGGCAACAAGGCTGGAGAGGACGAAAATAAAGAGAACAGAAAAAAAAATGTCAAACATCGTCGTTCTATAGACGTGTCAACAAGAAAACGTCCAAAAGCGGAAACCAGTAGCGTCCTTGGACAGCATGATCAGCCACCGGACTTGGTTGGAGATTTTGTAAACCAAACTGATTTTCAAGGACAAAGTATTGAAACCAGTACAGAGTCGCGGCGTTCTGCCTGTATGGCTTGTAACCGTCATATATCCCGCAAATCGTCTACCTGTGGCCAAGCAGAAAACCTGCAGCTGCTTCCCAGTACGCCATCATCACCCATACCGACTTATCATGGATCTCCGAAGGCCAACGCCGAGGAGGACGAAACCACCCTGTCGTGGGATTCGCAATTTACCACTCTCACCAACATTCTTATTCGCCATTCCGAAACTTTGGAGCAAGTGTCTCTTGATCTTTTGAAGTCCGAAAACAGAGTGAGAGCTTTACTAGAGTCTGAGCACGAATTAGAGGATAAATATGCAGTGCAAGAAGAGATTTATGAAGAAGAACTGCTAGAGTACAACTCAACTTTGAAGAAACAGCAGGTCTTACTCAGTAGCTTAGATAATTTCATTAGGGACATCCGCGCTAAACAAGAACCAGCTGATGATGCGTTGACCCCTCCTCCTAAGGCAACTCAAAGCAACATAGCGGCAAGGTTGCGGTGGCAAATATATCAAATGATTGGCGGCAGTGCAGGAACCGGTCAGGTCACTCAAGACTGTAAAGATGGTATCGTTGTAACAGGTACTGGTGTGCTCATAGATCAGGTATGGAGTCTAGACTATTGTCCATATAATTAATACTGAACCGCCGCTGATGATCCCTTAACCCCCTTCTGTTACAGGAAACACCCACGTACCATGACTTTGCCTTGTACCTGAGCCCAGCCACAATGGAAACAAAATATCAGAGGCGACTGGAAAGCAACTGGGTGCCAGATATTGAGATTGGTCAGTGTCAATATGTCACAGGCGCACACTCTGCTCACCCTCAACTCTGTCATGTAAAATTTGGATGGTATCAGAGACGCCATCATTGCCGGAGGTAATTATAATTTTGATAGAGTCGAGAAATTCCCCCCAAAAAAATTCAATTGTGACTGATTAGGGGGGCTTCATTTCATCTTCTAGCTGTGGCAAAATTTTCTGTAGCCAACACAGTGCTAATCGCCTGCTATTATCTTGTGCCACGGACACTTCTTTGTTAGCTGAGTGGAGCAGAGTGTGCAACGGCTGTTTCCATAGATTGGCCATCCAACCTTCCATGTAATTCAAACATCTTTACCCAGCCAAATACTACGCCAATCCAAGCATCTGCCACTATTACCGTTGTATTCAATTCACATCAAGCGTGTATATATTTTTTATGAATATTGTTGTTATACAAGCTGTTTCTTCTTAAATACCCCACTGTCGTTACCAAACTATATACCCTTGCTATTTCTAAGGAATAAAACCCACAGGCCATAATTAGTACAGCCGTTCCATGCTTTCAGTTGAATCATAATCACTCCTATATGCGCTGGCGGTTGGACATTTTGAAAAAGAAAAGCGTGGAGAAACTCTACACACATTTATTGTTACTGCGAATGCGATTGTACTGATTTGGAATTGTGAAAGCGTATGTACAAATGTCTATAAAGTAAGGGAGGAAATAAAAAAAATGAGAGACTAATTTGTTCTACCAGCTTAATTGCCAGCGTCTTGTTCAAGTCTCACTAAGAAAAGGATGATTGATCAGTATGTGTGTCATTTACTTCACCACCCGCTAGCAAGTCAGCAAGGCCCGACCCCACGTGCTCGAAAGATTCACTTACAGTAAAAGTTAACGCTGACAGCAGCGATCATAAACACCGTCAGAACAGCAGGAGCGTACTTGTCGGAATAGTCGCCCAACTCCTTTCTTTGCAGGCGATTGGCGCGGTCATGATAGCCATAGAGAGCGTAAAGCATGACAGTCATAGCAAGAATAGTGAAGACACCGGCGGAAATCTGACCCACTTCATCGGAGAAGTTGAGAAGTCCAATAGCAAGGGCGCCAAGTAAAAGAGTGAACTTGAGCCAGGACAAAAAGGTACGCTCATTAGCAAAGTACACCTTGGGGTTGGGTCTCTGAGCTGTAGGAGCTCTCTTGACAGGTTGGCTATTATCACCAGGTTGTCCACCAACTTCTGTATAATCTGGTGTATTGGGAGTGCCAAACAAAGTATGCTTGCCCTTCTTGATGAACTTGAGAAGTCCAGCAGGGGACAGTTGTTTGGTGACACCACCTTGCTCAACGGGTATAGCATCTCTGTTGACACGCTGGATAAGGGGAGTGCGTTCAGTGGAGTCCTGACCAATGTTGATTTGTACGTGATCATTTTCCCTTTCGTCGCCAGAGGTCTTGGAGCCATCCGAGCCATAAGTCAAAGCTGAGACAGAGCTACCACCGGGTTCATCGGGACGAATCAAACCAAATGACTTGTTCGGAGGCTTGCGGATATCGACATCCATCTGAGGCAACCAGAATGGAAGCATCTTGGCACGATCCTCAATCAAGGTAGCGCAACCGTGAATGAATTTGGAGAATTTTGGGACGGCTTCGACCAGGTGAGAGTTGATGAGCTCAGTAACCCATTGAGGAGGTTCTTGACCAACGTGGGTCTGAAGCTTAACTTCAAGAATAGCGTAAGGGAAACGGCAGATGTCACTCTCGGGTAATTGCTTGAAAGGATAATCAATGCCAATATCCATTCTTCTCCAGTTATCACCGGATCTAGGAGTGCCATAGTTGTCTTCACGAATCAAAGAAAGTTCAGTGTCCAAACTGATACGAACACGGGCGTCTCCAGGAAGCTGGAAAGCAGTACGGTTGTAGAAGGAGCGCATGACAGGGTGGAGACGCTTAGTCAAGGTGGTATATTGAACCTCTTGCGCCAACTGTTCCAAATCTCTGATTTCCTTCTCTGACTTCTTGCCCTGTTCTCTTGCCTTTGCAAACAGTTCATCCGTGGTATATTGTCCTTTGAGATAAGCATTCAAATGCTTTTCCTTGATAGGGAAACGAGCCTTGACAGACTTCTCACCAGTCCAATCTTCACGATGAGTTTTGCGCTCAACAAAGATTGTCTGGCTGTCCATACCACCATACCAGCGCATACGGATGGCTTCGGCACCTTCAGATTTTTCCAAACGACCCATGTAAAGATCGAAATCATCATTGTCATAATAGATACTAGTGATGGCTGAATCGGCAACTTCAAATTCTTTGTTGGGGTTAAAGACCAGGACAGGAAGATGCTTCAAGATGATGAGTTTCAATTCGGTAATATTATCGGGGTGAACCCTATATTGAACAAAAAGAGAGAGATTCAGTAAAAGCTATTGTTAAGGAGATCGTGTTTCAGATCAAAACAGTAACTGATCAGTAGCAAAAGTTTTTCATACCAGTATTTTGTGGTGTTTCGAACAAAGGCAGCTTGCTTTCCTCCAGCAGAGGAATCACCTCTGTGAGCTTTACCACGATTACGGACTCTGTCATACAGAGTAGAGATACGTACGATCAAGGCATCGTAATTTTCCTTATAGAAAGGTTTTGCGTTCAAGCGGACCATGAACATCGGTTTTAGCGACCAGCCAGTCATTTTCTGTGGACTTTGAATTAATACGGCACGTGTGGATTTTGATTGGCTACCATGCATTTTTGAACAATAGGCGTCTAGAAGAACACCATCGGAATAGCTGTGTGGCAAAAAGCCAGTTCATTACATTTGGAAAAAAAACTTACGTCGTGCTTCTTGATGATTTTAAGAAACCCAGTGTAGTTGAGTCTCGTGAACTTTGCCAAATCATGAACATCTGCAATAATGTGTCCGAGTTCAATTTCCGAGGTGGTGAACTCGTCGTCTGATGGATCTTCCTTTGTGCATAAAGTATCGACTTCTTGCGACTCGGCTTCAATTCTTCTATTTATCTCGCCGATCTTAACCCTTTGGAAACTGTAAACCTTGTCAAGTTCTTTCTCGAGCTCTTCTACAAACTGGGACTCGTCGTCCTCGTTCCATTCAGACTTGAGGTGAACTTTCAAGAATGTCTTGAGATCGTCATAAGCTGCATTGCGGAAGGGTTAAAATGGGCGGACAAGGGCATATGAGAAAAACAAGGCTACATACCAACGTAGTGGAAAGTCCACTCTGGGTAAAGGGAAGTTTTGAGTTGATGCCCAAACTTCATTCAGGCTAAGTGTGGAACGAGGTTGGAAACAGGAGAGAGAGAGAGAGAAAGGTGTGCGCGTGGCAGCGCAGAAAGAAACATAGACGGTCTTTTTTTTGAGTCTGAACTTTTTTTTTTTTTTTCTGGGCTGGCTTTTCCTCGGCGTCGGATCATACAATGGTGGCCAATGCCTAGATGTCGGAGGATACACTTACAAAATAGGATGGCGACATCTGATAAGTCTTGACATCTAGAATCTAAGCAAACAAGCTGACAACGCAAAATAAGATAAAGCAACATGCCATTGAAAATACATTTAATAAGGCTAATTAATGGAAGTTTTAGTCACTATCTGTAGTACAACTGCTGCGCCTATATCTATCTCAATGTTATTGTCAGCAGTCCACGTTTATTCTGTGAAGCCATGGTTCAGCTTCTTTGAAACGTACGAGAATTAAAGTTAAAATTTTTTTATTCGTTCAGAGATGCCGATCGTTGTATGGAATGAAACAAATACTTTTTTTAAGTATCAGCCAGGAACTCGCTACCAAATCAAAAGGTTAACGTGAGGGACAGAAACAAAGCCATGTTCCTCACCAAGACAATGCATGTTTCTCCAATGAAGAAAGCACAAGAATCTTCAGCGAAATCGGCAACGAAGACTCTCAACCTTGCTTTCTTTAAATGAATATAAAAAATGTTTAAAGTAGCTCTGCGGAGAAGTTTGAAAACTATCGACCATCCGTATCTGTTGAACACAGAACGTCGCCCTGTCAAAAAATGTAAGAGGGAAGATGACATTATATCAGTCTTTTCAATGGTCAATCGTGGGATACTACACTTTTATCATAAGCTAACTTGCAAGTTGAAAACGATGGCGTGCTTACGAAGAAAGGATGTTTAAGTCCATTCTGGCCAGCCGACAAGAAAAGATTTAAAATTTTCCATCTTGCTTATCACTTGCCATACTCTGTACCATACCTGCCTGTTCCACGACCATAATAAATCATATAAGCTCAAAACATTTAATTGATGTTTCAAATGCATTTATATATTTGTCGATATAAAAAAAATGCTTCAATGGAGTGCGGAGGATAAATATATGGGTTGGTATCCTTTACCAGGTAAACTTGATGGATTTGGGATCAACACCTTCAAACATGGTACTATTATGGGAACCGACAATATCGACAAGGACAGCCTCACTATTGGTGGGAACTTTCTTGCGGTTTGCCTTGATGGTCACAGTGCTTCCAGATTGACTGACGGTACCTAGAGATGATTTTTGCACTGTTTGACCTTGAGGAGCGTTGAAGGTAAGAGTCCATGAATTGCTGATGGGACTGGTTCCTGAGGCACGGATGTTGAAAGAAGCTTGGAATTGGTTATTTTTAACATTATTAATGAAGTAAGAAACTTGAGCATTGGGCGACTGGGTCTTGGGAATGCCGTTGGTAGCATTTGCAGCCACGGCGACAAACTTCGACTGAGCACCGCAGCTTTGAGACTGGGCAACGCTGCCATAGTTGCAGTACACAGCGGAGCCGTCGGTACTAGAAGCACAAACCAAACTGTTAGGGCAAGTTTGAAGTACCCATTTTCCGTGGTCACAAATAGCCACTGAATTTCCAGCACAAGAGATAGCGCCGTCGGTGCAGGAGCCGCCGGAAACTGGACAAGACTTGGAGCTAGGAGAGGCAATGCTTGAAGAAGAAGTGCTAGTGAACTTGACTGAGGTAGAAGAGCTTGCAGACTTGCCAGTGGAAGAAGGAGTACTTGTTGTCTTGGCATTGTCGTTTGCTTTAGGAGCTTGACTACCGTGCAAGTAGCTTGAAACAGCGGTCGCGAAATTAGGGCTGACTTCCGTATTACCATAGGCCTGACTGGCATCCCACATCATAACACCACCAAAGGATGAATATTGAGACTTTAGACTGTCAATGGTACCAGTTAGAGTGTTATAGGGAACATAACCAGATGAGGCAGCTGAAGTGGAGCCAGGAACACCGAGGTAAATTTTGACGTTGGGGTTCTTGGACTGGGTCTTCGCCCAGTTATCCCAAGTACCAAAGTTGAAATTACCACCTTGGACAGAACAGTAATTGTTATAGAATTGAACCCAAACGAAGTCGAACCAAGCGTTGCTCAAGGCGTCGCCGAGGTAAGCATCAGGGAAAGGGCATTGTGGAGCTCCGGTGATATAGTAACTCTTTGACGAATCAGAAGCTGAAAGAAAAATTGACAATGAATAAAAAAAAAAAAGGGATTAAAATGTTGAGAGGTTTCTGTCTTAAGAACTTACCGAAATGGGTGCGCAGTTGGTTGATCATGGTAGTATAACCACTTGCAGAACCACCTTCAATATCTAAATCGAAGCCATCGATAACAGCATCACCGAATGGACGAGTCGTGCTACTACCTCCACCGAAAATATCCCAAAGCGTATCGGCAAACCCGGATGCTTGTGAATCTGACGTAAATCCATACGAACCAGCTGCTCCACCAAGGGCCAGAATAATCTTTTTACCCTTTGCTTGGCAAGTCTTAATATCTGGAATGGTTGAAAATGAATAGAGTGACGGTTTAAATTAGGATATCAAGCTCGTAGTTTTCGAATTTACAGTCCCTGGAAATAGGCAGAAAAATTTACCTTGACCGATCTGTGGACAGTTCAGAAGGGTAGTGCCATCAAAAGTAGTGCAATTATTGCTAGCATTACTGAAGTCGACCACGGGCTTATTTCCCGCTCCAAAGAAGGTTGTCAAGAAGGACAAAACAAGGATGTCTTCAACGGAGTCTTCACAGTATGTAGCCAAATTCTTTTGCCAGTTTGCCTGCGGACCTCCGGCGGCACCGTAAGAATTTTGACCCCAATAATTGACATAATTGATGCCATTAGCATTGAAGGCTTGTGAAAGAGAAGCAGAGGCGAGCATCAAAGTAGCACCAAAGGCGCTCTTGAGCATGAAAGAAGAGGAAACCATTTTGTTCGGGTGATTTCGAAGTTAAGGACCAGCCAATTGAACAATAGATGTGATAAAGAACGTGAAAGGATGTGCTGCTAAAGAGAAAAGACCTTGTAGAAGCAGGAGTTATTTCAGGTATGAAGAAAACAAATGTCATAATTGATAGCCCTTTTTATATCTTTTTCAGCCAACAACAGAATGATCAACTTTAACGAGTGGGTAGGTCAGGTACATTTAATTTTTTGGGGGACCTGAGAGGAACCAAAATTTCGTGTACCATTCAAATATCATAACGCACAAACGAGACTGCACTGGTTTAACCAATGATGCTCGCAAAAGAGATAGTGGTAATTCAATGATCTGATTTGATATGTTTACATCAAAATAATACATCACCATTCTCTGGACTCGAACAAGATATCGTGGATTTATACGTCAAGTTGTACTAGTGCTATGATTCGACTTTCACATATCGTACAACTCATTTTCCTGTTCGTGGTTACGTTATATCCAGTTCCTGCTGTGTATCCAAGCGTAATGTTGTGTCATCAGCAATGTACGTAGCACATATATTCTGCACGATCGATGCCTAATGTATCTATTTGTATTTGGAACTGTGCACTATTATTTAATATAATGTCATGGTCTGCCCGATGAAATCAAAAATAAATAAAATAGATGGATCGACACAGTGACGATCATGGGGCGTTACGAAGGCAAGGGAGAAAATAGGAAAAATGAGCTGGATGGACTATTTCCTGGGTTCATCCATTGCTTATCATTCTCGTAAAATTAAATGTGGTTGGACTGGGTGACACCAATTGGCAACAGCTCAGGGTTCTGAGTGCATGGAGCGGAATTTACCAACGGAACGCTGAAGAGCGCCACTTACTGGACCCTGCAAACACAAAGAGGTTGACAGGTTACTGTAAACGACAGCTCAATGGGCAAATTGTTCGATGATAACAAAGCTGACAGCTGCGCTTTGGTAACTTGATAATTGCCATCGTCTTTCATTCTCTTTTGTAATTGGTCACAAACCAGACCAACGATCGTCTCCTGAGATCAATACGTCACTTTGCGTATTTCCCACCCAACGCTGTTTTATTTAATACTTTCATCAAAGTAACACATAGAAAATGGCAATTTAATTACAGAGCAATACATTATATACTCTCATGCGCACAGCACGGAAAGGGTTTAGGTGGACCCTTGTTAGTAGCACATCGATGAAGAAAAAACTTTGGTGTCGCTTTTTAATTGGAGGGTGATGGAAAGGAATAATATTATAGGGAAGACTGTAAAATTACATGGAGGAGTTTTGATTACTCGTTACGAACAACGGGAAAGGCAAGCACCTCACGAATATGATTATTCTCAGTTAGCAATTGAACAACACGATCTACGCCCATTCCCCATCCTGCAGTTGGCGGAAGTCCGTACTCGAGGGCATCGCAAAACCGATGGTCGGCCATTTGAGCCTCACCATCGCCATCTATTCGGTCCTGTTGTTGTCTGAGAAATCGTTTTCGCTGTTCATCGGGATCGTTCAATTCCTCGTAGGCATTAATAAGCTCCCGAGTACCAACAAACAGTTCGAATCTGGCGGCAATGCTTCTACCGTGTTCGTCGACAGCATCTTTGGCAAGTGGACTCATGACAAGAGGGTGGCCCAGCAAAAAGGTTGGATGGATGCATTCAGGTTCAATGAGTCCCGATATGAGTTTATCAAGAATGCGGGAAACGGTATGCGGTTGCGGTACGTGAATATTTTGTTCACGGCATATACTCAGCAGATTGGTCACTGCGTCTGTAGAACAACACCTTTTTCATTAGAACTTGTCCGAAACAGGTAAAGTGCAAATCTTCTCACTCATGTGAGCTTCGAGCAATGTAAGTTAAGCTCTTACCTGCATCTTCCAAGTTTGGTAACGGTTGCTTTGTCTTTTGTTCCAGTTCTTCAAGTACATTGATTCTACGGAACGGCTTGCTAAAGTCTATAATTGTGCCGTCTCGCGTCTTAACTTGGTGGGTCCCACATACATCCTCTACCATGGCTAATGAAACAATCAATATTTTTTAATAACACAAAAGCGTGTGAAGTGGCGATAGACTTACTTCGGAGCATGGTTTCTGTATCGGTAAGCAAGCCTTCTAAATTTCCATATGCTTGATAATACTCGCAGGTTGTGAATTCAGGGTTATGATCAGCATCGATACCTTCGTTGCGAAACTGCTTTCCAATCTCATATACTCGGTCCAAGCCTCCAATCACCAATTGCTACAGAATATAGGATTAGCCATTGCCAAACTACTGGAAAATGGTTTAGAACCAAACAAACACACCTTGAGGTAAAGTTCTGGAGCAATTCGAAGTTGCATTTCCATGTCCAACGCATTGGCTACGGTGACAAACGGTTTAGCATTAGCTCCTCCTGCTAGAGTCGCAAGTACCGGAGTCTCGACTTCAAGAAATCCTCGTGCGTCTAAAAATTGTCGTATGAATTTGATAATCTAAATGATTCAGGAGACAAAAAAGTGAAAATAAAAGGTTACTAAGGAGACTACTGAAGAAAGATCACATGTGCCGACTTACTTGAGCGCGAGTTCGTAACGTCTGTATTGCGTCTGGGTTGGTCAAGAGGTCTACATGTCTATTTCGAAATCGCTTGCCCTGGTAATAAACAGTTACCAAACGCCAGCCGCAAATTGTTACCTTCCGTTAGTCATTGCACTTACTGCATCATTCAACTTTGTTTTGGGAATATCGTGCAAGCATGGGGAAAGTAGGTCCAATCTTTCTGTTGCATATATACTCAATTGGCCATGGTTTGTTTTGCCAGGTACACCACTAACAGCTATGTAGAGGAAATCGTTTCAGTACAAGGTATCCAACATAAAGAGAGAAAAACAACCGTATCCTTACCTATTATATCGCCGCGGCAGAGAGTCTTATTTATCTGTGCAAATGCTTCTGGGGATCCTTGGTACGTTGACCGGGATACAACCACTTGCATGACATGGCTATCACACGTCACATCGTAAAAAACAAGCTTATTACTGGACTCTCTCTTTGAAGTGATACGACCTAATTACATCCAAGGACAATAGGAATTGAGTATATGTTTGAGAACATGGGTAGGTATGCGGAGAGCTCACCAGTCAAGGTCACGGTCTGGTCAGCTTTTTGGGCCTTTTCAAGGGTTGTTTCCCATTTCTGCTTTATTGAGGATATACTCGCCATAGGAGCAGTGGCAGGAGGTGTAGCTAAGCGCGGGTATGGATTGAGGTTGTAAGACTGAAACTCCATCTGTCGAACATCCTTGACGGGCCGTGAATCGGCTTCGGCGAGACTTTGTGAGCGCTTTGCTTTGCATGGTGTGCTTGTTGCTATGTTGCGATAGTTGGTGGTTCTATTCGATACACGTTGCAGCATGCACACCCTTCGACAAGTCTGGCTCCATTTCTGCGACATAATGCTGTACGGTGAGGTGCGGTGCCTGAGCATGTCTGTTCAACTTCAAGAACTTTGTGACTGGCATTTTCCTTTGAGTGGCTGAGCTGCGTTGTAGCAAAAATCCCTAACACTCGCCCTTGTTCTTAACATTTTGAAATCTTACTACAACATGCCACGAGCAGCTTGGAAAGGTCCATTCTTTGTCGCATTCCCTGGCCTTCGTCAAGCCATTCAGAATGGCACTCCCATTGCAACACAGGGTATGCTTTAGTGAATACCACCGAATATTTCATAGACGAGTTACTAACATAACATAACATTCTATCAACAACAACAGCTCGCAGCTGCACCATTCTTCCTTCATTTGTTGGCCTCAAATTCCTTGTTCACAATGGAAAGGACTACATTCCAATCAACGTTACGGAAGAAATGATTGGACACAAGCTCGGTGAATTCGCTTCTACTCGAAAGAGATTCTCGTACCGATTCACCAAAGCCAAATAGACGGCAAACCATCCCTGTTATAGACTCATATCCTTCAACAACCTCCAATTGTATATTAATTTTTTGAATTACGAACCAAAAGAAAAAAAAAATGAATCGCTTTTTTTATTTTATGATAATCATTACTGGTCTGGCAATACGCGAACAGATTGGGCAGGCATATCTATTCAGTCTTGACTTCATCGTCTATTTCAATGATAATTTCGTCAGCAGCAACGGCATTGCCAGGTTGGACATTGATTTTCTTAATTTTGCCAGCACGAGCAGAGCGAAGGACATTTTGCATCTTCATAGCTTCGACAACGGCAAGTTCTTCACCTTCAGCAATCACATCACCGACCTTGACAGCAACACTGACCACGCTTCCAGGCATGGGTGAAAGAATGAACTTGGCCATGTCTTGCTTTGGCTTTTCAATCATGTATTTAGAAAGTTCGTGTTGGCGTTGGTTTTGAATGGTGACGTCAAACTGTACGAAGGGAGCCAATGGATTGGTGAGTAAAGCGGTTCAAAAAAAGAAGTAATGCATGTATTTCACTGCTGTACCTTGCTTCCTAAATGTTGGATCTTAAATCCAAGAGGTAAAACGTCGAGGTATTGAACAGTGAGTTTCTTTCCGGTATCTTTGAAAAGTGCATGTGCCAAAGGAGTCTCGAGAGGCCATGCAGCTGAGAGGACTTGAGTGCCATATGTAGGGCTGGAAACCTGAAGAGCAGAAGGGTTATGATGATGAGTTTACATAACATATAAACACTCAGTACTATACTTTGCAAAACACATACCTCAAATTCATCATCAGTGAGCTTGCGAATGGTAATAAGCGTGCTGTTGTCTTCAGTGTTTTGGCCACCAGCGACATTGACCCATACAGACCATTCCGTGGGAGGCTTAGATGAAGCACCGCCTTTACCCTCGGTAAATGCCCACTTACCAACTTCTCGCTTAGCCCACAGAACGGAACTAATGGAAGCAAGGTCTTTGACAGCATCTGCGTCTAGCTGAGTGCCTTTGAAACCTTCAGGGTATTCCTCGGCCAAAAACTTGGTAGAGATCTTGCCGGATTGGAATCGAGGATGGCTGACAATTTCGCGCAACAGTGGGATATTGTGAGTAACACCCTTGATGACATATTCATCCAAGGCCTTCTGCATGGTGGCGATGGCTTGGTCACGGGTCTGTCCATAAGTGACCAACTTGCAAATCATTGGATCGTAGTAAATGGAGATTTCGGAACCTTCAACGATACCAGAGTCGCAACGAACGTTACCAATATCATCTCTAGGCTCAATGTACTTCGTCAGACGACCAATAGAGGGTAAATACTTCTCGGGATCCTCAGCATAGACACGGGATTCAATAGCCCAGCCTTTGATGCCAACGTCTTCTTGTTTGATACTAAGTTCCTGGCCAGCAGCAGAACGAATCATTTGTTCGACCAAGTCAATGCCCGTGATATATTCGGTAATGGGATGTTCCACTTGCAAGCGAGTGTTCATTTCCAAGAAGTAAAAGTTTCGCTGAGAATCAGCAAGGAATTCCACAGTACCAGCAGAGCTATATCCGACGTGCTTGGAGAGAGCAACGGCTTGTTCTCCCATCTTGCGGCGAGTTTCAGGATCAATGTGAACACTGGGAGCCTCCTCAACCACCTTTTGATTTCTTCGCTGGATAGAGCATTCACGCTCGGGAAGATAGATGACGTTTCCATGCTTATCACCAAGGACCTGGATTTCAATATGACGCGGGTTGTCAATGTACTTTTCGATCAATAGACGGTCGTCACCAAAAGACGACAAGGATTCTTGCTTGGCCAGCTTGTAGCCTTCAACCAACTCAGTATCGTTCCTGGAAAATTTCAGAAAAAAATTGTGTGAGATACAGCGCGTCGTGCATTTCATTTAATCTCGTTCAACTTACCAAGCGATACGCATACCCTTACCACCACCACCAGCACTAGCCTTGATCATGACAGGGTAGGTGATATCATGAGCAATTGTTTTTGCGTGTTCAATGCTTTCAACAACTCCATTGTATCCGGGAATGGTATTGACACCACTAGCTTTGGCAATAATCTTGGATTCGATCTTGTCTCCCATGTCAGCCATGGCAGACTCAGAAGGACCGATGAAAACAACACCTTCAGCCTCGAGAGCTTTGACAAAATGAGCATTTTCACTCAAGAATCCATAACCGGGATGAACAGCCTGAGCACCAGTTTGACGGATGGCCGCAATGATATTTGGAATAGACAAGTAGGATTGTGAGGTGGGTGCAGGACCAACGTTGACAGCTTCATCGGCAAGTTGGACATGCAAAGCGTTGGCATCTGCATCGGAATGGATAGCTACAGTCTTGATACCCATCTTCTTTGCTGACCGAATAACTCGGCAGGCAATCTCTCCTCGATTTGCAATCAATATCTTGTCAAATGTCTACACAAGGCAAGCAAGCATGAGCAATCTCGAAACTTATCATGAACAATCCAAAACAAATTATAATAAGCCCACCTTCCCATAATCCTTGACTGTGTTCACGTATTCAGCTTGTGTATGCTTGGTAGAGGACACATATGAGCGCGTAGGATGGAAGTTACGAATGACAGGAACAGGTAGCACAGCAGCTGTACGGCGGACGATGACAGCGTGAGTACGTCTCGACGAGCCAATGACAGCTGATCTCAGAGCAGCCGACGACACAATACGAGGCAGCATGGGGATTAGAGAGAGATGTGGGTGGGGGAGTTTCTTTGCTTGAAGAAGCGAAGGGATAAATCCGTCAATTTGATTTACCAATCAATCATGTGAGCGACTTCGTGGGAAAACTTCTTATGTTCAAAACCAGGTCGCCTCTCCGTTTGGCGTTTCTAACAACCAGCATTCTTTCATCGAAATGTTTAAGCTGACAGCTCTGCATTCTGCTCGCCGTGCTTTGATTCGCTCGAACATACCAGTCCGTCATGTTCTGCCTGTACTGACACGAGCCTATGCCACTGGCGGGTCCAAGGAAAATGTAAGTCTTCGCCATGTCCATACCCCACCCTCCCCGCACTCCACTCCCCCGCACTTGTAATAACACTTTAAAAAACACATAGGCTGCCGTCAGTATGATTGAACGCAAGCGGGCTGATGCTCAACTCGGTGGTGGTCAGAAACGTATTGATGCTCAACACAAAAAGGTAAAGGCACTTGATGTCCCCCTGAACGCGTTCTTTGACCAGTATCTGACCCCATGTCTAGGGAAAACTTACAGCACGTGAACGTATTGATTTACTAGTGGATGCTGGATCGTTCCGGGAGTATGACACTTTTGTAGAACATCAGTGTGTTGATTTTGGAATGGAAAAAAATAAGGTAAGCAGATATCACCAAGTGGAGGGAGCACACGCTTGATTGGGGTTAAGTCGGAAGGACTAATCGTACGGGGCTTTTCGTCTATTCAGATCACAGGCGATGGTGTTGTTACTGGACATGGTACTATCAATGGACGTAAGGTGTTTGTCTTTTCCCAAGACTTCACTGCTTATGGTGGTAGTTTGTCAAAGATGCACGCTCAAAAAATTCAAAAGGTCATGGACAAAGCTATGCTTGTCGGAGCTCCGGTCATTGGTCTCAACGATTCCGGCGGTGCTAGAATCCAGGAAGGTGTGGATTCCTTGGCTGGATATGCTGATATTTTCCAGAAGAACGTATTGGCTTCCGGTGTCATTCCTCAGATCTCTCTGATTATGGGTCCATGTGCTGGTGGCGCTGTGTATTCACCTGCTCTCACAGACTTTACCTTCATGGTTCGTGATACCTCTTACCTCTTTGTTACTGGTCCCGATGTCGTCAAGGCTGTGACCAACGAAGAAGTCACCCAAGAAGAACTTGGAGGCGCTAGTGCTCATACTGTCAAGAGTGGTGTTGCTCATAATGCATTTGAGAATGACATTGAAGCTCTTCAGAGGTAAATACGATCTAAGCAATTTCTATCTCAGCTGGTGTCATATTCGTTGACTAACAAGCATTGTCCGATTTGGTATTGATGGACTATAGACTTCGTGATTTCTATGACTATTTGCCCCTCTCCAACCGTGAATCTGCCCCAATTCGCAAGGTTACTTCCGCCCCTCCACAAGACGATCCCAGCTTGGATAACATTGTGCCGGTTGATTCAACCAAGGCTTATGATATGAAGGATGTGATTTCAAGGGTAAGTAGTCATGAATGCCTTTATGGGATCAGAGAAATCAAAGTTAAAAAAAGTTACATTAGATTGGAGACGAAAACAGCTTCTTTGAATTGGCTCCTTCTTACGCCAAGAACATCATCATTGGTTTCTCACGCCTTAACGGCCAGACCATTGGTGTCGTTGCCAATCAGCCTCTCGTCTCATCTGGTGTTCTTGATATAAATGCATCTGTGAAGGCTGCTCGCTTTGTACGATTCTGCGATGCCTTTAACGTACCCTTGCTTACTCTGGTTGATGTTCCTGGCTTCTTACCTGGTACTGGCCAAGAACATGGTGGTATCATTCGACATGGTGCCAAGCTGTTATATGCCTACTGTGAAGCTACTGTTCCAAAGCTTACTGTCATTACTCGAAAGGCCTATGGTGGTGCCTACGATGTCATGGCCTCCAAGCATTTGCGCGGTGATGTGAAGTAAGTATTTCCAGAGCTGAGCATTTTATGTAAGAGACACTAAACAATTGACCGCTCTTTATAGCGTTGCATGGCCCACTGGTGAAATTGCTGTCATGGGCGCCAAGGGTGCCGTGGAAATTATCTTTAGAAATTCCGACAATAAGGTCGAAGCTGAGAAGGATTATGTTACCAAGTTTGCTAATCCGCTCCCAGCTGCTCAGCGTGGCTTCATCGATGATGTGATTCTTCCAAGGTAGGAGAAAGAAAAAGATGTTTAACATTGAGTGCAGAGTAAAGGCTGATATGGAATGTATTTGATAGAACTACTCGTCGTCGCCTTATTGAAGAGCTAGAGTTGCTCAAGGACAAGAAGCTTTCCAACCCTTGGAAGAAGCATGGCAATATTCCTTTGTAAAAAGAAAAGAAATAGGGAATAGAAGCCAGTTGATTTTTCCAGGTGTTTAATAATAAAGAAGAATTTTCAGTTTTCATAGAAACAAAAGTTGATTGGGCAAAACCACAGGTAGAAAGGGGATCAGCTGGAGGTAACTATTTCCTGAGCAAATTAACGTTTTTAAGAAAGCGGCGACGTCACCGATATCAAAAATTTGGCTCTGTTGGCTTCAAACAAATTTTCCAAAAAAAAAGGGTCAAGAATCCCGCTTTGTTTTTCTCCATTCCACCTACACAAATGTTGCGACTCGGCAGTTTGCACCTTTTAAGAGGTGCCAATGTGGCGGTCAAGCCCATGGTGCTTCGGTCGATTCAACCAGTCAATGCAAGACCCTCAATGCTGTCTAACCTGAACTGCGTTCGCAACTTTGCTAGCAAGAAGCCCAAGGCCATTAAGCCGGTCATGCAACACACTTCTTCTCCTCTCGGTGTTTCTGCTGACGGCGTTGCAGCTGACGGAGCATTGAAGCGAAAGGCAGCACCCTCCGCTTTCCCTTCACAGCAATTCAAAACTTATAAACCAACCACACCCGGTAAACGTTGGCTCAAACGAGTGCCTCGCGACCATTTATACAAAGGCAAGGCTGTCCGCAACTTGACCATCGCTAAGCGAAGTACTGGTGGTCGTAACAACCACGGTCGCATCACCATTCGTCATCGTGGTGGTGGTCACAAGCGTCGTGTTCGTATAATTGACTGGCACCGAGCGGAAACTGGTGTTCAAGAAGTCATGAGATTAGAGCACGATCCTGGCCGCAGCGCATGGATTGCGTTGTTGAGACACGAAGAAACTGGAAGTCTTAGCTACATTGTTGCTCCACATGGTGTCAAGGCTGGTGATAAGGTCGCCAGCTATCGTAACTCTGACGACGCCAAGGTTACCCCATCTTCTGATAGTGTTGATGCCATCACCCGAACCGTTTCAATTGAAAAGGGAAATTGTATGCCTGTCAAGATGATCCCTGTCGGTACGATTATTCACAACATTGGCTTGCGCCGCAACGGTCCAGCCATCATTGCCCGCTCTGCTGGTACATACGCACAACTGATTCAAACCGGCGAAACTGGTTACGCACAGGTACGATTGTCTAGTGGAGAAGTTCGTCGTGTGCCTGTTGATGTATGCGCTACGATTGGTTCGGTGTCCAACCCAGATCATCAGCACGAAATGCTTGGTAAGGCTGGACGATCAAGATGGCTTGGTATTCGCCCTACAGTTCGTGGTGTAGCTCAAAACGCAACAGACCATCCTCATGGTGGTGGTAGAGGAAAATCTAAGGGTAACAAGGATCCGCGATCACCTTGGGGTGTCCTTGCCAAGGGTGGTAAGACTCGCAAGTCACCCAATCCCTTCGTGGTCAAGCCGCGACCTAGAAGATAGAAAAACAAAACAAAAGAAGGGTCTGCCCGTAACTTTTTCCTCGAACACCATGGCTTTCTGGATAAACCGCTTCTTTGTATTTGACGATCCATTTTAGACGCATCCTTTTTTTCTCCCTTTTTTTTTTTCCCTCTCTTATACTGTAATCCTGTGTACAAATTCCCTGGCGAAATCAATAAAAAAAAAATAGAAGTGGGCTTTTCCATAAAGTTTTTCGTTACTATTGCATTCTTCCTTTGGGGGGTTCAAAGATGCATAGGGAAATGGTTATCTAGGAACCGTTCAATCTGACAATCTTGAGCATTTTTTCAATGGATTGAGTTGGCTGGACGAGGTTGATAAGGCGGTGGAGATGATGGCGTCAGGTATGGTCATAAATGACTCCGTTTGTCTGGAGAGCTGCACGATCGACCCAATGGAAAGGTCGATTGGTTTATAATGTCTCCTATTACTGTGAAGCACCCCTTTGGTTTTTTTTTTTTTTCGCCAAAAACTTGAAACTCATTGCTCCAGATATTTTCTCCCGATACGTTGTTTGTACTTTTAAAAACGCTTTGACATCCTACATTTCCCTTTTTTTCTTTTTTCTGCCCTCACACCTCTATGAAAGGATCTCTATTCCGCTCTCATGCGGCTATAGCTTGCACTAGCGTTCACGCTACATCACAACGTGCAAGCTATACACCGGTAAAAAAAGTGGTTTCCTGTATGATTTGAATGGGTTATAATATGAAGACGTAGACTAGACATTACATGGCTCAGGTGACATTGCTTTTGTTTGTAGATATCTCTAATGGTACTGTCCTTAAGTGCATCAAGAAAAAGCTTGCTGGACGAGCTGCACCAGTCAAAACAACTTTTGGTAAGGACGTGTCATGATAAAGCACTCTCCCGCTTGCGCCTCCTAACCTGGGTTTATCGCAGCAGGCGGCCGATCACATTGTCCATCAGAAGAAAGCGACTTATTTGAACCAATCACCAGCTGCATTGCTCCTCCACGACCGCATACTCCTCCTCTTGATTACAGCAGCAGTAGCTCAGACGAATCCAGCGCGTGCAGTATTGTTGAACGTTGGGTATCTGACACTTCAAGCATTTACACCGACGATGACGAAAAACCTTCCGCTCAACTCTCTCTGCCATATTACGAGCGATTGTTACCTCAACATAGAGTCCAACAGCTGGCTTGGAACGACACAGCAACCATTATCATTCCAACGTGGCCCAAATCAAAGTACGACCGATCTCCCCATCCACACACCACATATCTACATTTGACACCGCTTCATACAGAGCAAATACGAAAGGAATTGAACGAATATAAGAAGAATGAGATGTCAGTGCATAGCGACAGTAGAATGCACACTGCATGGCATTGAAAAAAAAAAAAGGACACAAAAAATTCGTATAATAACGCTTCATATTCGTACTGTTTTCATCTTTTCTTTTGAAAAGAGAATAGCAAAGTTTTGTTACATTGTCATAAAATTTCTTTGTTTGAAACATGAAGAACGTATAGCATCGCCTTTGCAATTGTCTCCTGCCACCGATAAGTGTTTAATAGAAACGCCTCAATTCCCCGCTACATTGTCTACTTTTGCTTTTCAAGGATATCAGTCAGCTGTACTAAAGCCTCATGTGTCTCTTGGGGGTTGATAATCCACAAAGTGCAGCTGAAAGGAAGCAAATTTCAATGTTTGTGGGGGGGGGATGATCATGATTAAGGTTTCCACATACCAGGACGCGCGTGTCGCATAGTCATTTCCCGTTGACAAGAACTGATCACCGACGTGAAGGGTTTCCTCTGGTTTGGCGTTGAGATAAGCCTGGAGCATCTGCACACCGATCAACTTATTGCCGCTAATAGGAAAAGGTGAGAAAACAGGGTTGCCCGCCCGGCCATTTTTTCTTTGTTCTTACATATCAACCCAGACATCGCTGCCGCCATTAAAACAACAAAACGGCAGAGGGGCCTGGAGTACAGAGGGCGAGCGTTGGTAACGCAACAAATGATGTTGCGTGGAGAGAACCACTTCATCCTTATACCAGGGGAATTTTACGGGAGTGAAAAGGAGATTTTGGCAAACAAATTAGTTGCTGTCATTAGGGTCTGGTCACAACAACCAACAATACGTTACCAAGATTTCTCTGAGTATGGTAGCTCCGGGCTGCGGCACGAGGCCTACCCGTAGAAAGTTAATATTTCATCTATCTGAATGGAAAAAGGAGCCAGCCACGGTAGAACTTACCAACTGCTTTCGTTTTCCGGATCACCATAGCTGGAAGGTTCATTTCTTGCACGCACTTTTGAATATTAGCTTGGGCAATGTCTAACACCGCATCAATTTCTGTGGTATTCTGCGACCAAGCTCGAACTTGTTCCGGCTGATACACTCTAAACATGGAAGAAGTGGTTTAGTCGGGTTATACCAACGAACTTGGGGAAATCTGCTCCTTACTCTTGAGGGACGAAATGAAGGTGGTAATCATCTCCGAGTTGAAACAAATAATTGCATTCACCACCTAAGGGTTGGGATCAGTTGATACGTGCGTGCTTCACTAGCCAGGGAGAATTTGGGTCGTACTAACCAAGCACATGGAATCGCCCCAACTGGGCGTTGGTCAGGCCACTGAGCTGGAATCCATGAAGCAATCCAGATAATCGGCTCTCGTATCGACTTTCTGCATTCTCTGTATACCCGGCTGCTGTCACCACCGCTACATTAATATCGAACGATAAAAGTTGGATGATTAATGTCACTAAAGTCGAATCCTGTTCAAAGTCTTTGCCATCGTCATATCTAGAAATTTTCCCCAATTCTTGGTTACTGCCATGTACATTCACCTGCAGGTACCGCGCTACTCACAGTGTCATATCCCCGTCGAACGTAATGAGACTCAATGTGGGTGCAATAGCGCATACTTGTGCAGTATTGAGGATACTATGAAACAGGGATGAGGGATTCCAAATTTTTTTTTCCTGCCAACAAGCGGTTAAAATTTACCGGCGAATGTCATTAAAACTAGGAGACACAAAGCGTCTGGCCGATATTGTATGCTGGGCATCGGCAAGTAAAAATGCTTTCCGGAGGGGCAGCGGTGTGCAGAATGTGGAGACAGTCGGCACGAGTCGGTGGAGTCGAGAATGTTCGGGTGCACCTAGCTTTTGCATTTCAATGTGGTCCTATAGGCCAGCCAGATCAGCAACAACACTAAAACGTAGCATTTGAAACAAAGTGTGTGCCTACATTGATCAATTTCTCAACGCCTGACATAACTTCTGCATATCGTTCTTTGGATCGAACAAGTGCTGACTTCTCGTCTGCACTGGACGATATATCAGCATCAGCGGCTTCATCATATAGAACAAACGAAGTTGAAAGTGTCAGTTTAATAAACTCAATCAAGCCATCCCGTTTATGTTGACGCAACTGATAGTTAATCTAGAATATGCAATGTATAGACAATATTAAAACGTGGGGTAAAAAAAGGCCCGACTGAATTGTAATGAAATGGATCGCTCACTCTGTAAGTTGAAGTCATGAACCAATGGTGAAAGTCAATGAAGTTGGTCCTTTTTTTTTTTATTCTGTGTGATTATCAAAACGTGTGCCTCTGGGAACAAATTGAACTTTTGACTTTCTTTTTTTTCTCCCGAAAAATATCGACATCCCCACCGAGCCATTCTTGAATGTATGTCGGAGACAGGAGAACCATCACAGCCAAAGCTTAAGCACTCATCATTGTTGGCCGTACTGGACAATGCCTTTGTTGTTCCAAATGAAGGCAGTATGGCAAGAGATCAGTGCGCCAATGAGCGAACTTATCTCAGTTGGTTGAAGTTGTCATGCACCATCATTGTACTAGGTAGGGAAAACCACGCACACACTGCTTGATGACCTATCCATTGATCCACATGTATCGTACCACAGGCTTCACCATCATCATAAACTTACGTTTACCAAATGGAGAGACTCAACCCAGTATTGATCCACGTTATACCCGGCCAATTGGCATCACATTTGTGGCTATAGGCCTGTTGTCTTTCATACTCGGTCTGGTCAAGTATTTCAGAAATGTCAGACTTTTGATTCTGCATCGAACGTTAGTGCAAGCTGGCTGGTTTAGTTTCTTATTAATGGCCATTGTCAGCCTATTTGCCTGTACCATTATGCTTATTGTCGTCAGCAGCGACGCACTCTAGATTATATCCTTTCAATACAGTTCTTACTTATGTCATTGTTAAAAAGGACGGGGTGGTGCTGACCCCATCATGTTACTTAGTGAAAGGTAAAATTTGTAAATCAAGCCGAATGACATTTGAGGAAATTCCGAATGTCACCTGAGGGGGAGGAGTCTTTTTTATTATTATTGCGAGCTTTGTGCTGGATTCTTGTCAGCTGCCAACCCATCCATTCCTCTTTCATTGTCTGCCATTCTATGAATGCATTGCTGTCAGTACTGCATTTCTGCGAGGTCCATGGTCCAAGCGTCTTGTTCTGCACTCAAACCATTCACCGGTCCAAGGCGGCTGTGCTGGATTTAGAGGCTCTGTCATTGAATCCCCAACTTTCATCATCGCCCGTGTCAACTCCCTCTGTTCCTGTTGAAAAAATCGCCACGTCAAGAACCAATTCACAGCAATCGCCTACTTTTTCCTCCTTGTCTTCGTCGGCTTCCAACTGTTCACAATCATCCTGCCCGGCTTGCACGGCCCAAATGCCTTTGATCAATATCAATGATGTCGATGTTCCTTACAAGTTGGAGGCAAGTGGTATGATTACAAAAGATGATGAGGATGATACCGTCTTCTATTTGGGCTGCCGTGCCCCTCAACAACAACATCTCTATGCCGCCGTCCGAAATGCTTGTGTGAGGAGGTATGATAAAGGGGCCGATCCTTTTCAAGGGGAATTCAACCATTTTATTACTGTTATTCTTTAACCATTGACCCGTCTTATTTTAGTTTGACTGTAGAATTTTGTCCAGGGCGAGAAGGACCCATCCTATTTGGCGATGACGAGAACGGTTATGTGATGAGTTACATTTTCAAATTGCGGGACTCACAGGCTCGTGGAAAAACTCGTCACTACGCCTTTGCTATGCTCATGACCGATCGAGTGTTTCTAGTCTCATGTTGGCCGTTCCTCGTAAAGTACGGATGTTTATTTATTTATTCTTATCTCCATCTCTCCCATTCTACATGCTGTGATACTGATGTCAAAATATGCAATAGGGTGTTTCGTTCTACCGCTCTGAATCTTCAAGAAAAAGCTGAGGCTGTATACCAAAGAGAACGGGAGTTTCGCGAAAGACATCCACCTTCCTTAAGTGCTGGAAGCAATCGCAGATCCTCCTTTGCTCCCACTTCACCTGGTGAGAACTTTGGCATGTTCTTGTTTTGTGCGTGATATTGTTGCTAATTTCCCTTTAGAGCAATTCCTCAGGCGTCGTGCTCATACCCCCATGAGATCGCTGGCTGATCTCTTAGGCATAGACGATATCTATGCGCAAATACATCGCCAATTTAGTTACATTCTCAAGTCTTCGGCCCGAAGACGACTTGAAAAAGTTACAAAAGGGCGAAGAGCTGGTCCTCTTTATATCCAAATGGTGAGTGAGTGGAAAAATGCTATTGACCATCACCATTATCTGTCTGACACGAAACGTAGTTGAAGGATCGTGAGAAGCAAACGAGTAAACAGTCGCAAGAGGCATCAACTGATGACGGTTCACGATGGAGAAAACAGGCTGACGTTATGTGCGGACCACTAGATCCTCCAATGTATTCATCGCAAGCCGTATGAGAAAATAATTCGCAGTGGTCACTTTTTTTGGTTGGTTGGGATGTTCAAATGCGGTGCTGGAGCTCCTGCTTTGATTGGCGTTTTCGGGACATGTGGTATTTTGTCGTTTTTGTGTGTGTGTTCTTCTTTGATGTACGCTTTCCAGTTATTTTAAAAATATAGAATCTATCCCCACTGCCCACGTCATACTCTTTTGATTTTTACTTGTAACCTGATTTTTTACATTTACAATAACAGCTATGTTAATCAAAAACGGTCTGCAACCATCATGTCCTTGCGTTTTTAATGCTAACCAACAGCAGGGGGAACCTACTGTAGAATCACTCAAAAAGGTGTACAAAAATAAAAGGCAGGTTTATTTCCAATCGCAAAAAAAAAGAAATTTCTCAGATGGATGTGCGTATAAACTGGGGAAAAAGGAAAACTACATTTTCTGTAAGAGGACTATCTGTATCCGAACGTTTTAATTATATAGATCATCATCACCAGCTTCTTCGCCAAATCCAGCGTTTCCACTGACACCATCCATAGCTTGTGCATCGGAGGAGGCGCCGGCTGAGTCAGGGAATTTGAAGTTGCTTCCAAATCCACGTTGCTGTTGCAAGTTCTGTGAGAATTGGTCGTATCTTCGGATATCGTTGTCACTGACAGATCTGCGTGCAAACGACATGGCCTCTTCAAAGTGTTTTCTAAAGGGGAAAATTGATTAATTTCATATCACACCTGAGCAGCAGTGCTTATTTAATAATACTACGGGTAGCTTACCTTGCAATTTCAGTAACGCCGTCGCTCTCATCGTCATTTTCCATACCGACATCTTCACCAGCTTCTTGTCGGCGCTTGCGCTCCTTCTCGCGCTCTATGTCCTTGCCGATATCTTCGCGAATGGCGAGTTTAGCAGCTCGCTGACAAATCTCAGCAAGATCAGCACCGGAGAAACCGTGGGTATTCTTGGACAAGAAGTTGAGATCAACATCGCTAGCAACAGGCGACTTTCGAAGGTTAGCAGTCAAGATGGAGAGACGAGAGACTTCGTCAGGAAGAGGGATATAGATCAATTGATCCAATCGACCAGGACGCAACAAGGCAGGGTCAATTTGATCAGGTCGGTTGGTAGCACCAATGACAAAGACGTTCTTTTTGGCGTTCATACCGTCCATTTCAGTAAGAATCTGGTTGAGAACACGATCTCCAGCACCACCAGCATCACCAGAAGAACCTCCTCTAGCCTTGGCGATGGAATCCAATTCGTCAAAGAACATGACACAAGGAGCGGCAGCACGAGCCTTGTCGAAAACATCACGAACGTTGGCTTCTGATTCACCGAACCACATGGTCAACAATTCAGGTCCCTTGATGGAGATGAAATTGGCCTGGCATTCGTTGGCAATGGCCTTGGCAAGCATAGTCTTACCAGTACCGGGAGGACCATAGAACAAAACACCCTTGGAAGGACTCATACCGAACTTGAGGAACTTTTCGGGATGTTCGACAGGGTATTGGACAGTTTCTTGAAGTTCGAGCTTGACCTTGTCGAGACCACCAATATCGTTCCAGGTGACAGTGGGGACTTCAACAACGGTTTCACGGAGAGCAGATGGGTTAGAAACACCAAGGGCATATCGGAAGTTCTCCATGGTGACGGCCAAGCTATCCAGAACTTCAGCATCAATGGATTCTTCTTCGAGATCAATCAAATCCATCTTTTCACGGATTTGTTGCATAGCAGCTTCAGAGCAAAGAGAAGCAACATCAGAACCAACATAACCGTGGGTCTCGCTGGCGATTTGTTCCAAGTCAACATCATCATCGAGCTTCATGTTCTTGGTGTGAATGCGGAGGATCTCAAGACGACCAGTGGGGTCAGGGATACCAATATCAATTTCACGATCGAAACGACCGAAACGACGAAGAGCGGGATCAATAGAGTTGGGTCGGTTGGTAGCTGCCATGACGACAATGTTGGATCGAGCTTTCATACCGTCCATGAGTGTGAGCAATTGAGAAACGACACGGCGTTCGACTTCACCATTGGTCTTTTCACGCTTTGGTGCAATGGCATCGATTTCATCAATAAAGATGATGGCGGGAGCGTTCTTTTCAGCCTCTTCAAAGGCTTTTCGGAGATTGCTTTCAGATTCACCAGCCATCTTGGACATGATTTCGGGACCGTTGATCAAGAAGAAGAATGCACCGGTCTCATTGGCAACAGCTCTGGCCATCAAGGTCTTACCAGTACCAGGGGGTCCGTACATAAGGATACCACGGGGAGGCTTGATACCGATGGACTTGAAAAGCTGAGGATGGCGAAGAGGAAGTTCAACCAATTCACGGATTTGAGCCATCTGCTTTCGGCAGCCACCAATATCATCATAACCAACATCAGCCAAATTTGATTCTTCATCTTCACGCTTGATGGGTTCACCTTCGCAATGGATCACGGTATCTTGAGCAACCTAAAAAATGAGAGCCAAAAACGTCAGTCAACCTGCCTGTCTAGATGAATTTTCGACATCAGACAACTTACAATACAGTAATCCTCTGGATCGGTTTCAACCACCTTGAATTCGACTGCTCGCATGCTACCGCGGACCAAGAAAAGGTCACCCTTGCGAACAGGTCTATATGCTTCAAGGAAGTATGGCTTGAGGTAGGTCTCAAAGAGGTTACCAGTCAAACCTTCAACTGTGTCATCGATAGGAAGAACGTGGATTCGTTTTCCGTACTTGATATCTGTGCATGGATGGATGCTGACAACATCACCAAGGCGAATACGCAAGTTATTGCGAACAACTATAGATATGATTAGATGACCCGTAAAAAAGTTTCGTAGGCAATCAACACAAGAAACTAACCCTTGTTGATTCTAACTTTGTTATCTTCCATGTCATCATTGCACAACACAATGAGTACGGTATCTTTTCTCTTCTTGCCCTTAACAAGTGCGGTGTCACCCCTGAAGAGTTGAAGTGCTTCCATGGTTGCCGTTGACAATACCATGACAGAGTTATCGTCATTGATATCGTCATCAACAATCAACTTGTTGCGAGCTGTCTTTCTACGAAGGATAGCGGTGGCGGGATCGTGTGCAGGATCAACGTTATCTTGTTCAATGCCAGCATTGGGCCTAAAAGATGACAGAATGCGTTAGACTTTGTAGTTGTGAGGGTTCATATGGAAGGGCGGGCAACGCAATATCTGCTGCTCGACAATGGCGCTCGTTGGTCATTTAATAATACAAAAGGCGACTGCGCGTCAGACTGGGCGAAACCAACGAGCAATCCCTGCCGTCCTTTCCTAAACTTTTGAAGTATTAGAGTACTTACTGTAGTTTTGGTTTTGGGTCAGAAGACATGTTTGTTAAAAGTGGTAAAAGAAGTGCCAAAGAGCTGAGGATAGCAGGGGCAATTACGCTGTGAACAGAAGGTACGTGTCGCCTTACCCTACGTCACGATCGGACTTTATATTAGGTACTGGAAGCTTCTGTGCTGGATGACTGAGACAAGCCAATTCATTGGACAAAATTGTATAGCGAATTATGCATATCTGAAGCATCGTCCGAGCTTTCAATTCTTTTGCACAAGCCAAAGCTCTTCTTTGTAATGTATTGTGTTTGCATGCCACGTACAGCTTGTGACGGGTTTGTGACAGCGATTAGCTGAGAAGAGCATGCTTGGCGACAGCGTCTGTATATTCAGAGTCAGATCAATTCAACCGGCCAAATGTAAACCTGTCTCGACACGACCATGTCTATTTCTAATTCTATTTATTTTCTGAATGTAAGAGCTGTTTCATAATCTTCCTTGGGAACCTCCCAGAATCCTGGCAATTCTTCAGGCATGCTCTCTGGATTCAATTCAGGGAAGTTCAACTTGATGGTCTGCATCAAAGCAGCAAAAAGAACTTGACAACCAAGAGCATCCAAGTGTAGGCCGTCATACAAAAACTCAGACAAGTCGCGATTATGTAACTTCTCGCTCGTTAGCTCTGCCATATCCTCAGCACTACCAGAATCATCGACCAGTTTCATGATCTCAGTCCATAGGTCAACGTAAGGCACATTGTGTTTTCTCGCTACATCCTTTGCAGCTTCAGCATACGCCTTAGCCAATTCATTGGATCGATCCAAGACACCACCGCCGTCTTCGCATCTCTTCTTCCACTGAACTTCGTTGACTGGTGGAGGGGTGATGACAATGATTCGAGTGTCGGCACTGTATTTCTGAATTCCTTCGACAATGGTTGTCAAGTTGTCGGCGTACACATCTATTGGAACGTGCTGTTCGGTCCAAGACTCGGAAGCGTCATTTGCACCGAAGAAAATTGTCATCAAGCGGATTTTCGCTCTCTGAGTTTCATCTGGCTTTTCGGGCAACAATTGTTTGAAGATTGGCATGGCCCATTTGGTGTTATAGCCTATAGGTTGAATAGGTGAACAAGTCATCATGGATCCCTTTCCCCTTGTGCCGTCAAACTCTACCTGAGAACCCTCGATTCAAAACATCTGCTCGTCGCTGATATGCCTACATATGTGCATTCACAATTAATGTTCCCAATCAAAGGCAAGTTTTCAACATTCTTTTGACTTACATCAGCAAGAGAAGCACCCCATCCAGTGTACTTTGTCTCAAAGCTACCCTATGTGTTAATTGGCATATTAGAAAAAGAGGAAGATATGGTTTTATTGTTAGTTTGTGTTTTAGGTACCTGAGTGATGGAGTCCTGAATGTATGCGTTAGAGCGTTTGTTTTACTTTCAAACAAGATGGAAATAAAGTCTTTCAACTCACGCCGAATAGGACAATCTGATCGTAAAGAATATTCATTTTGGAAAAAAAGGAGATAAGGCAGGAAGGCACAGCAATCGTCAGAATAAAAAAAATAAAAATTGGAAACTGAAAATGGAATTTACTGCTGCAGTACGAAATTGTTCCTATTCTCCTTCAGAACACAAGAGCAAACGGACCTCCAACCTGCCTTACTCAGACAAAGTCTAATTTCAAGCATCCGAATAGGTTCGCCACCGATCCGGGGACACCAATGTAAACTCCTCCACGGGCACAGACACACCGCTTTACTATGTCTATGTCTATTTTATTTTCTGAATATAAGAGTACTTTCATAGTCTTCTCTGGGCGCCTCCCAAAATTCTGCTAACTGCTCAGGCCAGGTGTCTGGATTCAATTCAGGAAAATTCGCCTTGATAGTGTTCATTAATGCATCGAATAGGACTTGACAACCTAGAGTTCCCAGATGCAGGCCGTCACTCATGAACTCAGACAGATCTCGCTTATGTGAGATTGTATCTGACGAGCCATCTTTCAAACCATCCTGCGCCAAATTCATAATCTCAGACCAAAGGTCAACGCAAGGCACGTTGTATGCTAGAGCCACCTCCTTTGCTGCTTCCGCATATGCTTTGGTCACGGTGTTGGAACGACGCAAATCAGGACCCCCTTGTTCACTGGCTTTATGCCACTGGTCTTCGTTGACGGGTGGTGTGGTGATCACGACGATTCGGGTATCAGCGCTGTATTGATCAATTCGCTTGATCATCATGGATAGATTGGTTGCGTATTCATCGATGGGAACATATTGAAAGGTGCCAGCTTTTGCTGAATCATTTGCACCAAAGAAAAGGATGACTAGTCGAATCTTAGCCCGCTGCGAAGGGTCTACCTTCTGTGGGATCATTTGGTTTAATATTGGAACCGCCCACTTTGAGTTATACCCTGACGTTTGTAGATTGTCATTGAAAATTTCCCAATTTTGTGCCCTTTGCTATGAACAAAATAGTGTACCTCCAAATCCACGATTCAAAACATCCGCTCTTTTTTGATAAGCCTGTATAATGCATAAGTATTTGATTCATCATCTATGCCCACAGTACATGCGTGTTCTTGTAACTTACATCAGCAAGGGAAGCACCCCATCCTTTATGTTTGGTCTCAAAGCTAAACTTGGGTGGATGTCAATGAAAATGGGAAGGGAAGGCAATATATGCCATACCGTCCAACTTACTTGAGTGATGGAGTCCTAGCAAGGTAGTTAGCTACAATGATGCTTATTGTCACAAAGGAATTAGGTGGCCCCAGCTTACACCAAATAGAACAATCTGATCATAAAGGATATCCATAACAGTAAGAGAGAGTTCGGTGACAGTATGGTAAGAGAAAGCCCAGGTCGTTTCCATAGGAAAGTTCATATTTCCCTAATTTCCTTTGAGTATGGCAATTCACAACTCTATCCGTGGTTCAGTATTACGTGAGAGTCACACATGAGCTTCAACCCCACTCACTTAGAGTTCATTCCTTTCATTCCGTTGTAAAAATTTTCAGTGTTACGTTACCAAACCTTACAGAATTTCCTATTACCACAATGTCAGGCCACTCCGTATGAGAATTTGCGGCCCTACTAGCCAATTTAGAATGCGTATTTCTCCATAAGTGCCTTTACTTGCACCAATGGAGTAATTCAGGGTGTAAATGTATATGTAAGCAACCTCGGATCACTATAACATGATTTGACACCTTGCTGATGTAGTATTGTACGAATTTATCAACAGACTAGCACAGTTTGGTACCTTAAACTTACAGGTAAGCATGGGCCATGACATGAGAGGTAGCCTGCAAAGGCATGTAACTCAAAGTCTCTCATATCGGTGCCCGAGGATGATTGTTCATCAGCACGTGTACATCTCCACATATCAATACCCCGTTTTTGGAACCGGCTAGTCATATAAAAGTTACCCCAGGTTTTTGTCTTTCCTAAAGCGTTGTCTATATCCCCCACCAACTCACTATGTCTGACGAGAAGATTGAGATGAAAGAAGAGGTCGCAAACCCAGAGGAAGTGGCTGCTATCGAGGCTGTTACTGACGAGGAATTGGAAAAGCTGTCTCGCGAAGCCATCACCTTTTGGAGTAAGGCAACATTTAGAATCGCCCTTATTTTGTTCGTTCAAGGATGTAATCAAGCTGGTTATGGTGTCGATTGGGGTGTCATTGGAGGCGTCAACTCCATCAAGCAGTTCCACGACTTCTTCGGCTTTGAGAACTCTGGCAGTACCATTGGTATCATCAATGCTCTTATGACGGTCGGCAACATTGCTGGCGCACCTTTCCTTTCCCTTGGTGATGTTATCGGTAGAAGAGGTATCAACGTTCTCGGCAATGCTATCGTCATCATGGCATCACTGATTCAAGCTTTCGCTCCAAACCTTGCAACATTAATGGCTGGCCGTTTCTTCATGGGTTTCGGATCTGCTATGATGAGCAACCCTCAATATATGGCAGAAGTTTCACCAACACACTGGCGTGGTAGAATTGTTGGTATCTTCGGCGCTTGCTTCCAAGTCGGCTCCATCTTGATGACATGTGTTTTGTTGGGTACCAACACTCTTCAAAGTGACTGGGCATGGAGACTTCCATTCCTCCTCCAAATGATTTTCCCACTTGTTGTCGTCGTTGGATCATATCTCATCACCCCTGAATCCCCAAGATATCTGATTTTGAAGGGAAGAACCGATGAGGCTCGTGCTATCGTTGCAAAGTACCATACTTCATCTGGCGATGTAAACGAACCTATTGTCGAAGTTGTTATTCAACAAATGATCCGCTCCGTCAAGAACGAACATGTTGGTGTCAAGACTCTTTGGGACTTCCGACCCTTCTTCCGTCCCAACGGTGGCCGCTATAGATTGCTCCTTCTCACCCTTTACTCTATCTTCCAACAGTGGAACGGTGGTGGTATTGTCAGTTATTACCTATCTCCCATTTTGGACACCCTTGGCATTACGTCTTCCGAACAGCAGCTTGAGATCAACTTGGGAATGGTTTTGGTGTACTTCGTATTCACCATGGTTGGCTCATTCGTTGTTGATTTGGTTAGAAGACGTACGCTCATCTTTGCCGGTCTTATCTCTTTCATCATTTTGCAAACCTGCTCTGCCATTACTTCTTGGAAATACGCTGAGACAGGATCTTATTCTCTCGCTTGCTTGGGTATCTTCTGGATCTTTGCTTTCCAAACATGCTCGAGTACTCTTATTGCTACCATGCACAACTTGTATCCTGTTGAACTTATTTCCTTGCCACTCAGAGCAAGAGGTATGGGTCTCTACGGTCTCATCCAAGGTATCGCTGGTGTTATTCAAACATACGGTATCTCAATCGGTATCAATTCTTTAAAATACAAGATTTATGTTGTGTTTATTGTGTACAATTGCATTCAGCTTGCTTTGTCATACTTCCTCTTCCCCGAGACCGGTGGTCTCTCTCTTGAGGAGATTGATGTCATCTTTGAAACACCTGGTGTGAGTCCTATGAAGATGGGTCAACAGATCGAGAAGGCCAAGAAAGAGCGCAAGGCTGGCATTCACGAGTAAATTACTTTAATTGGTTTTAATAATTCCCCGTAAATACATCATAAATAAATTATTACAGCCGCCGCGCTTGAAGGCAGTGGCCATTTTTCACCCTTTCACTCAGTTTTTTTTTCTGGCTGAACTCTTTTGAAAATATTATATAAGCAAACGTCTCAACATAAAATGCCGGAATCCTTTTGTGTTATCCACTTTTTTTGTACTGCGGCATCACCAATTAAATGAAGGAATTTGAAAATTGTCTCGACAAGGATTTTCACTTTGGCTACGCAACTGCCGCCGTTCAAATCGAAGGTGCCTGGAACGTTGACGACAAAGGTCTGTCGATTTGGGACAAATTCTCTCATTTACCCAATAAAATAAAGGACAACACCAATGTAGACGAGACAGCAGAGGCATACAAGTTCTACAAGGAGGATGTTCAGCTGCTGAAATCGTACGGCGCAAACGCATACAGATTCTCTATAGCTTGGTCTCGAATCATTCCTCTCGGTGGCCGTAACGACCCGGTCAATGCTAAAGGTATCGAGTTTTACTCCAACCTCATTGATGAGTTGCTCGCAAACGGAATCACCCCATTTGTCACACTCTTCCACTGGGACACTCCTCAAGCATTGGAGGATCGATACAACAGTTTTTTGAACAAGGAAGAGTTTGTAGCGGATTTCTGCAATTATGCAAAGGTTTGCTATGAAGCGTTTGGTGACAGAGTCAAGCATTGGATCACCTTCAACGAGCCGGAAGTTTATTCAGCATGCGCATACTTGGCAGGCATCTTTGCTCCAGGAAGATGCTCAGACAGATCTAAGAGTAGCGAAGGAAATTCGTCCACGGAGCCATTGATCGTTAGCCACAATATGCTGATTGCTCACGCCAACGCTGTGAAAATTTACAGAACGGAATTTCAACCCACCCAAAATGGAACCATAGGAATCACGCTTTCGGGCAACTGGGCGGAGCCTTGGAACCCTAATGACCCACGCGACGTCTCCGCGGCAGAAAGAATGCTTGTGTTTGATATTGCCCGCTATGCGGACCCGGTGTTCAAGAGTGGCGACTATCCTCCGGAAGTCCGCCACCAGATGGGAGATAGATTGCCGACCTTCACTCCAGAAGAATCAGCTCTTGTGTTGGGAAGCTCTGATTTCTATGGCATGAACACCTACACTGCCTTCTATATCAAACACAAAGACACACCAGCAGATGACACTGACACCAAGGGTAATGTCGTCTTTGAGGAAACCAACTGGGAAGGCAAACCTCGCGGCCCAAAGAGTGCTACAGACTGGCTGTGTACCACACCTTGGGCTTTCCGCAAACTTCTCAACTGGATCTATGCTAGGTACAAGTATCCTATTTACTTAACAGAACAGGGTACTACGGCTCCAGGAGAGACTGCACCTACTGAAGATGTACTCAATGATACCTTCAGAATCCATTATTACACAACTTATGTCGAATCTCTCGCTCGTGCTGTAAAGGAGGATGGTGTTGTAGTCAAGTCTTATTTGGCTTGGTCACTGCTTGACAACTGGGAATGGGCGAATGGTTTCACTGATAGATTCGGTGTTACCTTCGTAGATTTTTCATCGCCTGAGAAGACCCGGTATCCCAAAAAGTCAGCCTATGTTCTCAAGGAGTTATTCCAAAATTTGATTAAGAATGAATGAAAATAAAGAGTTCTATGCCTTTATTAAATCTATCTAATTACATATGTTGTGTCTATGGCAGTATCAAAGTAAATGACGTCTTCTTTCATAACGTGTGGCACTGCTGTTCCGTCCTCTCGGTATACTTCACATGACGATAGCTGGATAGCGCAAGGATGACCAGCTCTAGACTTGATTTTTACTGGCAAGTCAACCTTTCCGCCCGTCCATGAGAAACAAATTTCGAAGCCGCCACGAGCACAAACTCCATTGATATGGCCATCTTCCAGACTGGACACGTTGGGCAGTGCTGGTAAAAGCCGTATAACATTCTCATGAGACTGAACAAATAGTTCGATGATACCTGCAGCGCCTCCGAAATTACCATCAATCTGGAACGGGGGGTGGATGTCCAAAAGGTTTGGCATGGTGGAGTGTCCAAGCAACGAGTTAATATGGAACAAAGCTTCATCACCGTCCAGTAGTCTTGCCCACAGGTTGATCATCCATGCTCTACTCCATCCTGTATGGCCACCACCATGCTGTGTTCGAGTGTGTAGCGTAACCTTGGCAGCTTCAGCCAGCTGTGGTGTTGTGTTTGGCGAAATCAAATTACCAGGATACAGGCCCCAGAGGTGAGAGGTATGGCGATGACCAGGCTCAGCCTCTTCATACTCCTCTTGCCACTCCAACAGCTGACCTTGCGATCCTATTTGCATGGGCGGAAGCTTACTAAGTGTCGTTTGTGTTTCCGAAACTAGATTAGATTTGTCAAGGATGGTCGATATTTCCAAAAAGGCGGTGAAAAAGGCACGCAGAATTTGAATGTCAATAGTCGAGCCTTCACACAGGCGTCCTTGCGTACCGTTCTTCAATATAAAGGTGTTCTCAGGTGACAAAGACGGGCTCGTAACTGCATACTGTCCATCTCCACTCTCCACCAGAAAGTCCAAATAAAATTGCACAGATTCCTTGTATACTTCATACATTCTTTCCAATACGCTGCGGTCGCCATTGAAGAGATAATGCTCCCAAATGTGGAGGCAAAGCCATGGCCCACCTAATGTCCATAAAGTCGCGGGCATCCATTTATCCACAGGTGCACAGTCAGCCCAGATATCAGTGTTGGAGTGAACACACCAACCACGACAGCCATAGAGAGATTGGGCCACTTCCTTGCCTCTATCCGCTAACCTTTCCATAATGTCGAAAAGCGGGACTTCGCACGATGAGATGTTGCCTGAGTTGACTAGCCAATAGTTCATTTGAAGATTGATGTTGGTTGTGAATCTGGCGCCCCAAGCAGGTTGCATTAATGTTCCCCATATGCCTTGAAGATTAGCTGGAAGCGGTCTATTGGGTCCGTTTCTACTGCTAGACAGGAGCAGGTACCGACCGTATTGATAATACAGAGCAATTAGGCCAGAATCATCCAGACTGTGACGATCATGAGTTGGTTCAGAGAAAGCAGCAAGCCGCTTATCAGTCGACAAGCGAGATTGCTCGTTTGATTTGCCCAATGATAGGGACAATGTGTTGAAATTTGAAGTATAGTCTTCATTGTGACGTTTCCAAAGATTATCCACGCCAACTTTCATACAGGCTTCAAATGTATCAAGGCATGCCTGAGCCGGGTCTTGCTTTCTAAACGTCGAGTGAGCTGCACATAGTATCCAAGCCGTTTGAGCGTTTGTCACCACTATATGATTGTTGATAAATTCAACAATTGCGCTTTCATCAACAATGACCTTGATAGCGGTTGCTGCACGATTGCTTCCTACACCACCAGGGGTCAAATGCAGAATCAAACTATTCTCGCTTGAAATGGCAGTAACACCGTCGTGATATGAATTGTAATCCATGGGATCGCCATTCATTCGATCCAGAGAGGCCGTAAAGGACAGCTTTCCAGGAACGGAACTGGTCAGTTTAGTGGCTAACACCTCATCCGGAAAACTAGCAAAGGTGGATCTGGTGTATGTTGCATTGTCCAAGTCGTAGTGAACGTCAACAGAAGCGTTGGATAGGTCCAATTCCCGACGATAGTTGGTAACTTTTTCAAGGTCGTGCCCGAATTCTATTGTGCAGTTGGCCAATGGCTCGTAGTGTCGCTGCCCCAAGGGGCTGGAGAAGAAGGCGAGTTCAGCCAATTTCTCAGCTTCGACCTGATGCCCATTTCGAATAAGTTCTCGTAGCTTTGCTAGATGTTTGTGACCATCTTTGGAGCATCTATCAATCTGGCCGCCGTACCATACGGAATCCTCGTTCAATATCATAGTATCAACGTTGGTATCGCCAAATATCATCGCGCCGAGTCGCCCATTTCCAACCGGCAAAGCTTCCTCCCATTGCAGTGCTGGCTTGTCGTACCATAATTTCAATTCAGGGTGAGTAGCCATACTCGTGGCAGCTGAAGGAGTGAATTAAAACAAGGTGTAAGATAGACAGCGGCGCGCAAATAGAGTAGAGTTGTTAATTTTGGATGATTACTATCCGGGGGTTTTCCATCACATCGGATTTAAAAGGGGAATAAAAAAGGCGTGAGATATCGTTACAGCTTGGCAAGCCTGACTCTTCCGAGGATGAAATATAATCAACGTCAAGTGCAAAACTCCCAATTATCTCCACTTGTGTTCCCTTTAGGTTGCTTGTGTCCTTACCTTGTTTTTGTAATTTGCCGGATGGTGGATGAATCGCGAATGAGTTGCATTCGACGACGGAATTACAATCTATTTTTTTTTTTTATAAAGTTTTACGTTGCGTGATATACAGTTTTCGTATCCGAGGAAAGCCTATATTAATCGTAATCGATCAATGAAGGCAAACAACATTCTTCTTCATAGTTATATGAAGGGCTTTATATGACATGAACACTTTGTCTCTGTCAATAGAACTGGCGATTCTCTATGTGTAGTTTGCATAAATATTAGAGTGATAATGACATGTCAAATTTCGCAGGCACTAATCATGATGACAACTGCACTTTCCAAGAACGGCGATACAGCCATATAGATACTTTGTCTAAACAAACTTGACAATGTTGACACGATGGGTACAACGGAGAATCATACTCTTGTGCCAAGGAGATTGCATTTGTCCACTATGAAGTGAGGTTTTTGTACTGAATTTGAAATGCTACATTCTGAAGTATCAAGGGTCACAAGCTAGTCAAATTACAATTTAATCATATGTAATGGCGGTGTGAGCCTATTGAGGCACAATAAAAGTTGTAAGAGAGAAAAATTAGTATCTAGTGAAACAGATGCAAAGTTTTGAAAGGTATAGTTAGAGTAATTCTGAATTAGCAGTGTATTATATTCGGCCGAAGATGTTGACGTTCAACGCGCTTTAAAGCTGCTAGGTGTTGAGAAGGGCATGAGAGATCAGTGAAATTTAACCACACCAGTCTTTGTATCATTTGAACTATTGCCATAATTTAAAAAATGACTTTTAATGATTCAGCAAATCAAAACTCCGTGTAGATGTTGAGGACGATCTTTTTCCTCTCCTAGCCGATCAATATCATGCCAGTTCTACGCAAATCAAGCAAAGGAACGATACTGAACGTTTAAATTGATCACACCCATACAATAGAGGATGACGGCAGTTTTCGCTTCGTAAACTTCATTTTTGCGCTCAAGCAACCAGCTTGATATCTAACAACACTCAGAAGAACAGTAATATTACAAACGTTCTCAGATTGTGGGCCCTCCCAGCCACTTTCGCGTTGTGTATCCCTCACTGCTCTATATAACGTTGTCAGCATATCTTCTTAAGCAATGAGTCACTTTCTGCTCCAAAGTGTCATTATGAACAATCAGAACCGTTAGCAGCAACGGAACTTTGACCCAACTTTAAAAAGAAAAAATTTGGGATCAATAATTTCCAAAAGTCTAGGACCTTTGTTCGTTCGACTTCTTTCCTTTTTGAAAAACTAACAGAGATGCAACTCTTTGACATCAATGCCAAAAAGCAATTTGGTAAAAGTCTCAGAAATGACTTCATCATGGCTGATGATTACACTCCCATGAATCACGGGTCATACGGTACCTATCCTATTCAAGTTCAAAAGGCTCTTCGTGACTATCAAGACCTTGCCGAACGCTCTATAGATACATGGATAAAGCGAGACATGTACCCTGAGATCTATCGAGCCAAAGAAAAGCTTGGTCAGCTTATCAGTTGTGACGCAGACGAACTGGCTTTCGTCGTTAACACTAGCACCGGTATCAATGCCGTTGCTAGAAGTCTCCGTTTTGAAGAAGGTGACAAAGTTATATTGGTACGAAAATGACCCATCATATTGACCTAATACTATAATGGACGTTACATGTCACTAACATGACATGGCATTTCATTTTCATACAGTTATCTACTATTTATGACGCCATGGGCCGTACTCTACAGTACTTGAAGGATACAAGAAATGTCGAGTTGATAAAGTTAGATCCTGTATACCCTATAAGCGACGATGATTTAGTGGCTATGATCGAAGATGCTATCCTCAAAGAAGAGGCTAAAACTGGAGTCACTGGTGGAAAGATCAAGTTTGCGCTCATCGACGCCATCACGTCCGTGCCTGGAGCGATAGTGCCATACGAGCGTATCATCAAGCTGCTGCGAGACCACAACATCCTGTCGTTGATAGATGGTGCCCATGCCATTGGTACAAACATTTGGATTTGCCTACATTGTTTTTACCACGAGACCTAACTTTTTTCTCACCCTCTTGCGTACAAAGGTCAAATCGCATTGAACTTACGGGAGGCTGACCCCGATTTTTTTGTTACGAATTGCCACAAATGGTTGTTCACTGTCCGAGGTTCGGCAATTTTGTATGTGCCTAAGCGAAATCAACACCTAGTGCATCCAGCAACTATTAGTGCTGCCTACAAAGATCACTCTGATGTGAACGACACATCAAATACTTTCCAAGCAGAGTTTAGCTGGCATGGTACACAAGACTTTTCGCCCTATTTGACTGTTTTTGCTGGTGAGTTATCATTCCCTACGCCGACCTTATATTGACCGACGCTGACTCATTGCTTCTAGCCCTTGAGTACCGTGAATCACTAGGCGGAGAGGAAAAGATTCGTGAATATTGCTGGGGATTGGCCCGACGTGGCGGAGCTCTGGTAGCCAAGATACTGGGCACTGATGTCCTTGAGAACGAAGAGAAGTCACTGACAGCACAGATGGTCAATGTGAGACTCCCTATTGTTGCTCACGATGGCGATGGCTATTATCTGGATCGCTTCATTGATGAGGGTGTCTACAAACACAAATGCTTCGTCCCCCCTTTCAAACATCATGGCGTTTGGTACACTCGTTTATCGGCCCAGGTGTACCTTGATGAGAGCGATTTCGAAAAGACCGGATATGCTCTTAAAGAGATTTGCGCACAGCTCGAAAAGGAGAGACTTGAGGGCAAGAAATAAAGAGCTGTTATGAGCTGACATACCTATAGTTTTTTTATTCATTTTTAATATAAGATTATGACATTTCAAAAGAGGGAGATATGGTAATAAGGTACATTATAATTTAATGTTCAATAAAGTTTACGATGCACAATGGCGTGCATAGGAATGAAGCGGTGAGGGTGGCTAATAGTCGACCTACCAGTAGTCTATCAGCAAAGGGAGGAAAAATGGTGTTGTAAGCATGTTCCGCTTGTCCCGCAGTAAGTCTTCAAGCATAGAATGATGACTTCAGATCGCTCGAAGATCACAAGAAGGATACAGGTAGGTATGATTTTCTTTAGATAATAAACATCGGATGGTGGGCATATCATGACTGTACACAATCTCAACAAATATCAGTTTCAAAAAGACACCGTATGACTCTTCCTGACCGTCGGTGTAACAAAGTGACTACTGGTGGCAAGCCAACTCCTACTGAATCAAATAACTGGATTAGGGGACTATTTAAACCTCACCAGCTTTTTCACACTCTTCAACATATCTATCTTTCCACAAGGGACCCTACCGCTCTAGACCAATTCATAAAACCCCTGGATTATACATCTTTGAATCAATGGCTCCAAGCTCAAATCATCATGCCAAAAAGCAATTTGGTCATAGTCTTCGAGCTGACTTTCTGATTGCTGACGACTACACCCTCATGAACCATGGTTCATATGGTACATATCCTGCTGTAGTAAGAACAGCGCTTCGACAGTATCAAGATCGCGCTGAGAATTGTATCGACACCTGGTTCAGGCGAGATATGTATACCGAGGTCCAAAAAGCAAAGGAAAAGCTTGCTACCCTGATTCACTGCCACGCAGACGACCTAGCTTTCATCGCAAATGCAAGCACTGGTATTAACTCAGTGGCTCGTAGTCTTCCCTTTCAGTCTGGAGATAAAATATTGCAGGTACAGAGTCGTTCATCGTCACTAGCATGTTGAGGAGCGCTAACTCAGTCATCGTAATTTTTAGCTATCGACAATTTTTGCAGCTACAGGAGCCACAATGAGATTCGTGAGAGATACCAGAGGTGTGGAACTTATCATCTTGGATCCCACATATCCTATCAGTGATGACGATTTGGTGGCTATGATTGAGGAAGCTATTCTCAAAGAAGAGACCAAAGTTGGTGTGACTGGCGGCAAGATCAAGATGGCTGTATTGGACACTATTTCATCAACGCCTGGTGTACGAGTTCCGTTTGAGAGAATCATCAAGTTGCTGCGGAAACATAATATTCTGTCTTTGGTGGACGGAGCTCATGGAATTGGTAATACATTTCAGCGTTACCAAACATAAATTGTCCACCAAGCACATATGTTAATAGATATCCTCTCCTTCATATCACAATTTTCTCAATTTCCATCCATTAGGTCAAATCCCTTTGAATCTTCATGAAACGGATCCGGACTTCTTCATATCAAATTGTCATAAATGGTTGTACACCGTGCGAGGCTCGTCTATCTTATACGTGGCCAAGCGAAACCAGCGATATATCCACCCGGCTATTACTAGCGAATATTACAAGGACCATTCCGATCTAAGTGATATGTCTGAAACTTTCCACAAGGAATTTAGCTGGCAAGGCACGCAAGACTTTTCAGGCTTTTTGACTACTTTTGCTGGTAAGTTGGTTAGAGGTATCATGGCTATCTTTTATGTCCCAAAATTTTTAAACGCTCATTTTTCAACTAGCTTTGGAATACCGTGAATCACTTGGTGGAGAAGAGAAGATTCAAGAGTACTGCGGGAATTTGGCTCGACGTGGAGGAGAGCTGGTAGCCAAGATACTAGGCACGGAAGTGATGGAAAATGAAGAAAAAACGTTGACGGCTATGATGGTCAACGTCAGACTCCCTCTTGTTGCTCATGAAAACGATGGGTACTATATGGAGCGATTCCTTGAAGAAGGAGCGTTCAAACGCAAATGTTTTGCTCCTGGTTACAAGTACAAAGGCACGTGGTATACGCGTTTGAGCGCGCAGGTGTATATGGAAGAGAGCGATTTCGAAAAGGCTGCTCACGTTCTCAAAGACATTTGCGAGCAGCTTGAACAAGAACGGCTGGAGGGGCAGAAGAAATAAAATAAACTGTAAACGATAATAAATTGACATGTCGATATTTTTTAAAGCTAAGCTAAGAAACAAGGCCATTGAAAAGTTTGGGGAGAATTTCTCTGAGCTCGCAGCCGCCCCTTAAATCGTTCTTTAACACAACACATCAGACTACTCTAAAGAATCTTTAATCATGGACGCCATTGACAATTCACTCGATGATGTTATAATGAAGGATAGACAGGATAAGAAGCAACAGAAACAACAGAAGCAAACGAGGGATGGCAAGCGATCACAAGGAATCAACAAGCGATCTGGACCCATAAGAAATACATCGTCTGGCCGAGGCGGCGCTCATCGCAAATCGCCCACTGTATGTCCTATTTTCCCTGATTCATTGGCGAAAGCAGCATGATCATAGCACTTCAGCATCTCACTGAATTTCATTACCTTTGCCCCCTCCTCCTTCATCATCAGCAAGGTCGCAGAGATACCAATTCCCCATGGAAACATGACTTGTACGAACAAGGCAACAGCAATGGTCGTAACGTTCAGAGAAGCAATAGCTCTACTGCAGCAAGCATTATTTCTCGCCTTGGCAGTGCTCCTGGTTCCAATACCATCAAAGTCGAAAACCTTCACTATGAAGTAACAGAAGCCGACGTCAATGTATGTGTAGTGGTTAGACATATGACGTGAAATGACGATACGGGCTCATATATTGATGAATCTCGATCCTTCAGGAACTTTTCAAATTGGTTGGTCCATGCAGCGCCAAGCTCTTATTTGATCGCTCGGGTAGATCCAATGGAGTGGCCAACGTCAAGTTCGACAACGCCGCCCACTCGAAAGCCGCATTTGAAAAGTATAACAACGTTGAATTGGATGGTAAGAGCATTAATTGGAATAACGAGAATGTTTGCAAGTGGTGGGTTTCTAAGACCTTGTCTTAAAATACCAGGTCAACCTATGAAAATTACCATTGTGGAACAGCAACAACGCGCACAAGGGATTTTGAGCCGTATTGGTCAACGAAAATAAAGCGATCTGTGGTGGCTTTTGCGAAGAAGTATTCTCGATTATGAACACAAGCACCAAGAGAAGCTCTAAGCAAGTGATTATTCTTTGTAAAATAAAAATAGCGTTTTCAACGATAACTGCGCTCCAGACTTGCATTTCCACACTGTTTCGTATAAAACCCAATATCTGCCAAAATGATTACGCGACTTACTACGCAAAGGATTTCTAAGAAAAAAACAATGCGCTATTTATTGTTTCCTTCGTTCGACTGCTGCGAAGCTTTGCACGGTTGACTTACGCAGCATAATGATAACGCTGGGGAAGAATGAATGAATTAAAACGGTCGGTACGATCTTTCCCCGCTTTTGCAGTTGCCTTTTGTTGATAGCTCGGCGGTGAAAAATCGCCAGTACGTTGGTACTCGTCAGCATTTTCGATAGGGAACATGTGACGGCTGTTTAGCACTTTTTTGTGTCTCGAATTTCGAAACCAATTACCCCAGTAAACATCTATCAAGGGTTCGACGGCAATAGCAGAGAAGTGTTCTGAACATCGTAGCGATTATAAATCGTTAGAAAGGCTTTTACTTCGGGAAAAAATGGACGAATATGCGAAATTGGTAATATTCTCATTTAGGGAAGTGTGAAAGTACACAGCCCATGCTTTTGGTTGGACTTGAAAAAGCTGCAAAATTGGTTTTCCCGGCATGAGACAGGGCTTCCTTCGTATCTTTTTTACCCGCCTTACAAATAGCTTGAAATCTACTCTACATTCCTCGTTAACTGGCTTTCTAATGTTCGGTATGATGAAGCAGTATGGCAAATGCCTCCTGCTATTACTGCTTATTCCAATGGTGCAAGCTCAATCAGTGTCCAATCCCTTCTTCTTGCACACATTATGGCAGTACACTGGATCCGATATCTCTGTTGGTACCGCCAACCTAAGTACCTCTGAAGTAGCGTCCTCTCAACTCTTCCAGACCATTGATCCGTATGATGATCAATCGGTTAGTCAAATCAATGACAGAGTCCTTCTGAAATTCGGTACAGCATGCAACGCCACCACCAATTTCACCACCGTTCAAACCCTCAATAGTAACGTCATTGGCACTGTCAGTAATGTCTCGATCATTGCCTTGATCGAGAGAAGTGCCGACTGTTATTGGGCCGAGAAAATAGCCACAGCCCAATCTATTTCTTCAACCAACCATCTCCTGCTGAAAGCTATACTCATTTACGATAACATAACTTATATGAACACCAACCCAGTCGTCAGTGCCGCTGAAGGCACTACAAGTACGCCAAGTTATCCTGCATCTCTGCCGAATGATCAAAACATCACTTTTATGAAGGATAACAACATCGATCTCACCAGCTATAATGGGCTTCCCACTTATTTTATATCCAATGCCTACGGCTCCAATTTATCATCCCTTGCTGACTCTGCCAATGCTCAGTCTTCAGGTAACAACAAGATGGTATGGCTCGTTCGTCCCGTACTAGCTACTGTTTGCTGGTCAAATTGTCCAGATGGCTTCACGTCCATGATCTCCTCGGCAAAAGGTTATCTCAGTTATGTCATTGCTTTGGCTGCTCTATTTTTAGTAGGCAAGTATCGAAAATTGGTGTTGGTGGATGTTCTCTTTCTTACTAGTGACTAACATGACATACGTTTATTAGCTGCTGTTTTGCTTCGCTGGTATCGCATGCGCAGGTATAATGCACAATTGAGCAGAGGTGACATCGAACGAGGCATCCCAATGCATAATCGTCCTGTCAACAAGGTCCATCCTCTTCCCGTTGATATTCTCAATACCTATCCTATTGAGAAGTATTCCCCATCCCTCGTCAAAAACGGAAGTTGTGCCATTTGTCTGGACGACTTTGTTGTCGACAAGAATGAAATTCGAGTACTTCCATGTGGGCACGGTTTTTGTACCGGTTGTATAGGTAAGATAATTTTTTTCTTTTTTGCGATCCTTAGGAGTTTCAGTAGAAAAACAACAAACAAACCGGTATTGACTCACCTACCTTTCTATAGATCCTTGGTTAACCGACAAATCTCCTCTATGTCCTATTTGCAAGCACGACTGTCTTCCTCCTGATCTTCGCAAGAATGCAGACTTGGTTGAACAGAACAACGCTGTACAACTAGGCGCTGCCTCCCCTTTCAATACACCCTCGGCAGCAGCAGCAGCTGCTTTAGCGTCGACTTCAACCCCGGCTGCTTCTGTTCACTCACCTAATGTCCAAGACCATACAGAAGAGCCGGCCACTGAAACCATTAACCATGAACAACACACTGATTTGGAAGGTACTAGCGTTGATCACCAAAACGTGGATGTAGCCCACCTGACGCCGCCACCACATACACCACAAGACACCGATGGCACCGATACAGAACGGCACGGCACCCAGTAGTCGATTTCATATTTCTTAAAGCTTTCCGATTTTGAAAGAGCCTATCCGCTCGACAAGATTTGTAATTTAAAGACTGTAATTGTAATTCTTTTTTTACGTTTTTGAAAAATCATATTTGTATGCCTTCACCTTTCTCAGCTCATGTATTTTTAAAAAGATGTATAATTTAAACCAAATTAAAGCAAAGCCAGGCAACTCTTTGACAAAAACAGAATCTTTTTCTGGATCCTTTTTTTTCTTTTTTTCAAAACCTTGGAAGGATTTAATTTACGTGGGGTGGGCATTTCAGTTACATACAATGTATGCGTTGACAAAGGCTGTCGTGTATCCGGTCAACGGATTGGGGGAGCAAGTAAAATGGAAGGTAGGCGAAAAAGAACAATGAAAAGAGAAGAGTGGGGGCATGAATGGGTTGGGCATGGGTAAAAACAAAGAAAAAGGGGGGTAAAGTACAACATGATGAGAGGTATTGATCAAAGGTTAAAGCATTTAACTCCAAAACCTTGACAGGAAAGAGTTGGATCTTTGTTTGCGCGTAGAAGTTTGAGTGACATCTATTTCCCATTCACTTCCTTCGAAGGCGGCATAATCGTTGCTACGTCGGCTCAAGCTATCCATTGACTTCTTGGCAAGACTTGAAATTCCATCCAAGCTGGGCCGGAAATCGACACTTTTCCGACTTGACAGCATTGCATGGTCCGTGGACCTGCGACCAACGATATCAATCGATTTTCTTCCTCCGAACCCACCCCACCAAGCTTTCTTGACCTCTCTTTCTTGAAATCGTCGGAGAGCTTCTGCTTCAGGGCCGTCGTCAAGGACAAGAGATGGGCGAGGAACGATATCGTCTTCAATACCAGAGCTATTGGCACTATTGGCAGCCATGGCATTGATCAAGGCGGCGTTTCGTAGTTTGCTAATGTCTGAGTTGGAGCGGCTGAGAGAGGGTCGACTAACAGGTGGTCTGAAGTGATCTAGGGATGCTCGCTGCTCGAATAGGCTATCACCATTAGCATCGACTTGAGGTCGCAGTTGTCGAGCAAAATGGTCGTCACTAACACTACCATAGGCTCTTCGCTCCAGCGATTCCACATAGGTTTCAGGCTCAAAGCTGTAGGATACAAACGAATCCTTTTCACACATGGTTTGATCATCAGGGTTATCTTCCCAGGAGCTGGGTGGGGTATCAAATTGTGAACTTCCACTGGACTCCTCGCCGGATTTCGCCGGCGACAAGTGGCCGGAGCCCATGTTTGGAGCACGTGGTGGTTCAGCGGAGGAATCAAAGTAGTCATCGTCCATTCGGGAAAGATGCACGCTATGGCGTACAGGGGTATGGTCCAGTGATGTACGAACTGACGAGTCACTTGCTTTTCCATCCAATTCAGTCGGTAAACTTGGTCTGCGCAGTCTATTCAATTTCGACTTGGATTGCACTATCTTGTGGTGGTGAGAATCCAGATGCAGGTTCTGAAGCTCGGTACTGACTTGGAAAACACGGAATGTTTCCAGAATGTTTACAATTTCCGTATGGTTTTTTGCAGTTGCTACACTTAATGGCGTTGACCCATACTTGTCTTTGATGTCAACTAATGCACCATTGCGTAACAGTAGTTCAACAACTTTGGTACAGCCGTTTGCGGCTGCAACATGTAGAGCAGTTGATCCTGTTGCTCCAGCTACAGCTAGAGATTTATCAGTGCTATGTTTCTTGGACCAGCTGCAATAAAAGCATGGCAAAGGAATGAGTGATAGGATGGGCTATTTTTGAAATAACATAACAAACATTTACCGCTGCAGGTTTACATCAGCGCCACGGTCAATCAGATACTGAACCACGGCAATGTTACTGTCACTGATACAGGCCATTTGTAAGGGCATGTATCCATTTACAACAGAGTCGATACCGGCACCATGGTCAAGAGCAAATTTAACAAGACCTATGAGTTCGTGAGGAGGAGGGGTAAGCTTATCATTGACAACACTTGTGAATATAAATATATAGCTGCGTAAAAGAAGGGGGACTAAAATAGAACGGGTGAGGCTTGCAAACCAAGGCAAACCACGGTTCATTGAAAGAGCGCGTCCCCCTTCCTTTGAAAAAGTGAAGCTTGCATAAAATAAGATAAAAAAGAGCGCCTAGGAAAAATAACCATACCAATATTGCCAGTGGCAGCTGCTGAGTGAAGGTGTAGCAAATTATTGCTATTGGAAGGTCTACGAGAATCTATGATGGGTGGATTGTTGGCGGCGGTGGGAGATGTAACGGGAGGCTGCTTGACGGAAGAATCCTTCAATCTGGTCATTCCACCTGCTGTAAGCGATGAACAGGTGACTAGGTGCGGAGATGTGGGGGTATATTCACTTCAAAATTCAACAAGATATAACAGGATGCATAGACTGAGGCTAGGATTATAGCTTTTGAAGATGAGATAGAAGAAGGGTTGGCCTGACTGGACAGTTACTGGAATTTTTAGAATACTGGCGCACTTAAAAAATCCAATATCTGTATTGCATTCAAAGCCCGAAATGCGCCAAAGTACAATGCAAGTCTTCCTTACCAGCATTATGCTAAGCTAATAACGATAACTACCGCAAATTATATCATAGAAGCAAATTCGTGTACAAGAGCAAAGAAAAATCTGCGGCTTTGTACCTTCTTGGCTCAAGCCATGCAAGGTATGGCACATATTCCCTAGCGGTAGCGACCTTTCGTTTAAGTAAGACCATGACCTGCTATGGATGAAAAAAAAGAGATTGATTGGCACTTCTTAGTAATCCATCGCCGTCGTTTATATTGTGTTTGCCAAGGCCATAGATTTGGTACTTACCGAAAGATCTCCAGAGTCTTCTCTTTGCAGGCCGGGCAGTTCTTACTAGTTATATTCGCCTACCATTAAAAGGCAAGGACCCTAATTACGCAAGGCTTAGCGCACCCCTATCACTCTCGATCGAAAGAAATTGAATTCAGCATTCCAACTGTTGAAGAAAATATTTGAGTCACAGTTTTATGAGATCACCTGAGGCTTTGGTCCTTTTTATCGGATATCTCGAAGACACATGTGGCGACGATGTCGATCGAAAGAAAGAACTTAGCTTCTGCTTTAACTCCTTGATGCTGAGGACCTGTTGCCTTGATCTCACAAAAATTGGCGGTAGTTTGTTTCTTTGCGTTGCTTTGTCTGAGTATTGATGGTGTGTGCCGCAAGGCCAAAAGTCCTTCTGGTGTCAAGTTCTCGTCCCAGCAGTACAACAGTTCTAGGTGATGTGGATTAATTATAACGCTCTGTCCAGTGATTGGGAAACAACTAAGTGATTGAAAGATCCATATTATTTGACTCTTTCTCTGTCCTACGGGTTAGTTGGTGTCGAGGGCCACCAGCCTGCCTGTCTTCATTTATTTTTTAGCACTGCGACCCAACACCACCTGTGTAATGTACCACGAAATTTGAGTATTGTCCTGCACGCCTTTGGTTTTCATCGCCTTTAAGTTAAGTCCGCCACCTTATTCCAGGACTCCATCTTCGCCTCCACCTCCCTCTCATCCGTCAAGAGCAACATGCACATGAAAAATCGATCTGTCGATCCGAGTATGTGATGCGGTTCATGCGTTTCTCGGCGGAAAACACGGAAATGAATCGATTTGTTCTGACTCACAAATCTTCACTAAGCTGAAATAAACAACTAGATGCTTTCCCGGGTTTGATCCCAATCGTGATATATACCATTTCTGAAATTGATATTCGGCCAGGGATGAATTGAATCTTGGGTAATATCCAGTGAATAAGATATAGAATGGCAAGCAACTTCTTATGACATGAGATCTGTTACTCTATAACTTGCGGGGGTGGCTCTTGGTTGTTCATGTCAAATAGAAATAATCAGTAACTTCATCACAGAGCGTCTGTCGTCCACTACCAGATTTTACTAGGCGGGCTTTTTGGATTCATTCATGTCCAGCCCATATTAGGCAGAAGCCCTTCGACTTAAAAATAAAAAAATAATAGTTTAATTTGTTATTATTTAGCTACTCTAAGCAACGCTTTAGCCAGAAAGGGTACAATCTGTGACATATGTAATAACGAGAGACTTCAAACGAGATCACGTCGATAAAAACATGGGGAAAGTATGTGTAAGTCGGATTTTATAAAAAATAATCGGCAGAGGCTACATTTCACATGAGCAGTAGTTATAAATCGTTTCCATGTAGTAGATGTGATGAAACATCTATAAGGCTTTATTTAAAACTACAAAAGTTTGCTAATCAAGCTGGAGGCCATGCCACCACCACCGCCGCCACCACCGCCAAGCATTCCCATAATAGATCCAAGGCCACCGCTACCGCTGTCGCCACCACCCATCTGCTTGCTGATGTAGAACTTCATGGCCATTTGAGCAGCAGATGAAACGATAGCGTTCTTGTCACCACCACCACCTTGAGCGTTGAATAGTTTGGTAGCTTCACCCATAGCAAGACCAATAAGCTCGCTGCTGCCACCGCCACCGCCACCTCCGGAGAACATCTTCATAGCTTGCATAGCAGCAGCTGAACCGAGGTCGCTTGAGGAGTGCTCGGAGCTGGGTTGACCCTGGGGAGACTCGTTATAAATTTGTTGATGAGCGTTAGCGGCTTGCTGGATTTCTTCTTGGCCAGCAGGGCGGTTATGTGGAGCATCATCATTATCACCACCACCAGTGAACTGGGAGAGAATGGACGAGAACATTCCCTTGTCTAAGGGGGTGTATGTTTACTAGTGGTCAGTTTCATGATATTCAACTTGGTCAGCGGTCAACAGAGCACGGTTTCTTACCTTCACCATCGGAATGTCGGGAAGCGTATTCAGCAGCTTCATCTGGGTTCGGTCTTGCCTGCTGGTAGTTACCATGTTGTTGTTGTTGTTGGCCACTGTAACCATAGTTCTCTCTTCCTTGTCCTGCCGGAGTTCAAACTCTCAGTACTAGCCTTATATGCTGCAGAAGACCGACGGTTCTTTCATGCAAATGTATCTTACCTTGCTGGCCACCTTGTTGGTATTCTTGCTGGCCACCTTGTTGGTATTCTTGTTGGCCACCTTGTTGGTATCCGTGCTGTTGACCACCTTGCTGGTAGCCCTGTTGACCACCTTGTTGGTAGCCTTGTTGACCGCCCTGTTGGTAACCCTGTTGACCACCATACTGTTCGTTTTCTGTTAGGAAGAATATGAATATTGAGTCGCTTTACTTTGAGAACATCTAGGGGCACGTGTACTCTACCTTGCTGGCGACCATATTGACCACCACCACCTACGAAGAGAACGTGTTATTATATGGCAGCAAGAGCAGTTTGATCTATGTAGCTATTTTTACCTTGGTAGCTTTGAGATTCGCCTTGATTGCGTTCTTGGTTATAGTATTCTGACATCTCGTAAGTAAACCTTGTAAAGAAGACGAGCGTTTCGTCACAGCGGTCGTGGGTTTTTAAAGAACCGGTGTTTGTATATCCTTCACTATAAAGTCATCTCGGTAACTGAATAAGGCAAGATCGGGGCTGCTCCATCATGCACTCTTTGGCGTTTTTGTCCGCCACTTGTTGACAGCGAAAGAAGCAGTCCATTTCCAATCACGTGATATTCGGAGTTCCCTCGTTTACCATCAAATTTCTAATTTTTTTGTCTATGGTAGAACACCTACAAGACAGATCACATGCCAAAATTCACTCCTAGAGTTGAGGCTAAGAACCCAGTGCTCCACGATGTTACGACAAAAAAGCACATAACGTTTGATTTATCTGATTCAGAAACGGAGAAACCTGTTGCTAAACGTGCGAAGCTCGACAAACCTAAAGCTGCAAAGAAACCTAAGGAAGTGAAGAAGAAGATGATCCAAATTGACCAAAAGATCACGGTAGAAGAAATCAAAGTCGACCATGGTGTAAAAGTGATTAATGCATCAGTAGAGGCTAAAAAGAAGGCATCAGCAAAGGCGACAACAGCCGCAGAAACTAGTGAGTGGTGTCGGCGACGGATACGACTGATGTTTCTTCAGTGTAAACTAATACTATGAATTTCATCAGCTGTCGATGGTGTACTACAAGATCAAATTCTTCTAAAAGTCCAGAAGCGACGACAAAAGCTGAAGGAAAAAAAGAAGGCGAAGAAAAATGGAGTAGCGGTATGTGTACCTGGTTTGAGAGACGTTTGACGGATTTGTGGATCTGTGCTGATAATCTGTCAAATTAGACGCCAACTCTGGAAGTGGTGCCAGAGGAGCTCACGAAGCGGTTAGGGATGGAGGATATTCGAGAGTATATTCTCTACTGCCTGGCTGAAGCGCCAGTACCTTCCTGGTTGAAAATTGCAAACCGCGCTGCTGTTCAAAAGCTAGTTCTGGTATACGCACAAGGCTTAGATCTCACTTACTTTGGATACCCTGAAAGTCGAGCAAACATAAAACCAATCGCAGCACTTAATGAAATGGAAGAACAAGCTTTGGCAAAGAAAACCCTAAAGTTTTTCACCTCACAATTTTCACACTGTGTCGTATCCAAGAGTTCGGGAACAAAGGGGAAGGTTCACAATCCAATGACGAATCTTCTACAATGCCCTGTGTCTCACAGCCAAAAGGAAAAGAGAGATAAGCAGAGAGCTTCAAGTAAGTCATCTAATTCAAATTCCAATGTGGCATCACTATATCTCGTGGTCTTAATGTTCTTGCCTTGTCATAGATCGTGAAGCCTTTAACACAGCCGATCATTACATCCTCAAGCTAGAAGACATGATTGCTGCAGAGTACCCAATTCCCACCAGTCTTGACTCAACTTCCGTGCTACCAGAGGGATGGCATGAAACTCGACCAGGAAAGGAGCCAACACCGAAGAAATTGATTGCAGTTGATTGTGAAATGGTAAGTTATACTGTACCATGTATGAACTCGCTCAAAGTGATATGCACAAGTCTGAACATTCTAAATTAGTGCGAAACTGCATCTGGTATGGCGCTTACTCGCGTTTCACTCATTGACGAAGGTAAGTGGAAGTGAAGATGGAGGTATGTGCTGCCGAACAAAAAAGGTTTAACATGTCTGTTCGCCATTAGATTCAAATGTCATTTTGGATGAACTTGTCGTTCCCGATGAACCGATCACCAACTATCTGACTGAATACTCTGGTATCACACCAGATATGATGGCAGGAGTTACCACTTCACTGAGAAGAGCACAAAAACATGTTCGCAAATTTGTCGACCACAACGTTATCTTGGTCGGACACGGCTTACACAACGATTTGAATGCATTGAAGCTTACACATCCATACTGTATTGACACCTCCATTATATACCACCATTCACGAGGACCGCCATTCCGACCCGGTTTGAAATGGTTAGCCACCAGATATTTGAAGCGAGATATCCAGAATACTGACCCTAACCATGGTGGAAGAATTGGTCACGATCCGCGTGAAGATGCAACAGCGACACTAGATCTCGTTAAGCTTAAAATTCAACGTGGTGAAGCATTCGGTTTGCTACATGATGATACAGAATTGATCTTTAATCGAATGAAGCGATTCCGACCCCCTCGTTTTGGCGCAATTGTGGAAAGCTGTGAAAAATTGAACAAACTACTTTCGGCGGCTCTTGGAAAGGATTATTTCCATTGTATCTCGGATGAAGAGGCTGTTCAGAAGACAATTGAAACACTGGCTGATCACGATTTTGTACTGTCTAAATGGAGCGATTTGGAAGGAATTCGGAAGAAGGACACTGATAACAGTTACAATAACGGCATTCCATCGGTCGTGACAGCAACAAGCGGGGAGACCGTCAGCAGCGAATTGACAAAGGCTATGGATCATCTCAGCAAATTTGATGAGCAATTCAAGAGTCTTTACGATCAGTTACCTGATAACACTGCCATTATCGTCATGGGAGGTTTAGGTGATGTCCGTGCTGTCCAAAGGTAAGTACATCGAGATATCTCGGCGTTTCTTTATAACGATGGTGTATCTCAAAATGTGTTACTCACGATCCCTTTTTCTTAGACTGCAAGAAAAGCAAGACTCATACCAAGCCATGTTCAAAAAATACAAACTCTCAGATATACCAGAAAGCGACCAGTTCACAGAGAAAGATCAAAAGCGTCTCGAACAGGAAGCGGCAAAAGCACAAATGGGAAGCACGTTTTTCTGCATCAAAGGCTCGCAAGAGTAAATTCATTTTCTTTTCACATTCTAGCATGTACTCATAGACAAAATATAGACCATTACGCTCGCATAAATGCATATTCTTCATTAATTTTTTTTTCAATGGCAATGGTGTACAGATTGAGATTTGGTCAACATACGTTGAGCATAATGGTTTTTGAGCGCTCACATAAGAACAGTAGTTTTAATTAGAGTTTGATATTGAGGAGAACGTCATTACTAACTTGATTAGAATGGCATGATGCTACAAGGTCAACTTAAAGCATCAAAGCGGCAACGACAGCGCTGGCAACAGTGACAACGACAGCGCTAGTGGTGAAACCGCTGGCACCGGAGGTAGAGCCAGTGGCAGAGGCAGAGGCGGATCCAGAGGCAGAGGCAGAGGGGTGGGTTTCATTGTAAGACTGGTTAGTCATGAGACCAGGGATGGTCTCGTTGAAGTAAGAAACGGAGGAGCCGTTAGCAATGGCAACGTTAGTGTATCCGATTTGAGAAGCAACGAAAGAGTAAACGTTGGCAAGGGTCTTGTTAGCATCACCACGTCCGAGGTTGCCGAGGTCCCAGTTCTGCTCAACAGTGGAGAGAGAAGAGTAGTGGGTATAGAAAGTACCATCGGTGGTGTTCTTGGAAGCAGCAGGGATAGCACCCATGAGGAGAGTCCAGACACGGTTAGCCTTGGGGTAGGTATCGTTTTCGTCGAAAGTGATAAGAATCAAGGTTTCATCAACGAAAGTCTTGTTGCTCAAGGTGGTGTTGAAGAAGTTAGTGAGCCACTTTCCAGCAAACTCAGCGGTGGTATCGTGGGCATCGTTGGTCATGTTGGGACTAATAAAAAAATATTTCTTAATAACATGCATATGCTGTAGGCCATGACCTGATGCAATACGTACGTGTAGAAATTCCATTGAGGAACAGTACCAGCGGCAATGTCAATAGCGAGTTGAGTAGCAGGGACAACGTTGGCAGCACGGGTGGCGTTAAGACCGATAGAGTCGTAGATAATGGCAGGGTTGTGCTTACGGACATAAGAACCGTTGTGAGCCTTGAAACCAGTGTAGCCAACTGAAGGCAGATCTTCCTGATAAGCTTTCCATTGCAAGCCCTACGAGTAAACAAATATTAAGTAACAAATTTTTTTAACACTTTTGGGAGATTTAGTTAACTTACCTTGTTTTCCAAAAGGTCGAAGATGGTGGAAACATTGGCAGGAATATTGTAGAAGTCATCATTGTCGATACCGAAGTTGCTACCACCAGTGGCAGCAACATAGTTGGGCTCAGAGGGGTGAGTGATGGCTATTGGGGAGATAGTAAATTAGGATCCGACGCAGTTTCTGCATTTTTATGTTTCACTTCAATGTCAAAAAAAAGGGAAAAAAAAAGATTACCGTAAGTGTTGTTAAGAAGGATACCCTGGGTAGCAAGAGCCTGGTAGTCAGGCAAAGTAGAAGCAGTTTCGTAATCCTGTATGGATAGAATTATTTAGTACGTGGCGTCGTCCATAAATGCGTTACATTGGCGTGCGATCCCCTTCAGGGCAAGGAAAGACTACTTACAGTGTTCTCCAACCAGATTTGCATAATGCGCTGGAAGACCTTTCCTTGAGTAGAGGATCCAGTGGAGGATCCAGAGGCAGTGGCAGCAGAGCTAGTGGAAGTAGCAGTAGCCATGGTGGTGCTGTCATCGGAGGAGGAATCAGTGGTGGAAGCAGTGGTCATTGAGCTGCTGCTAGTAGTAGTAGCATTGGCATCCTGGGCAAACACGGAGGCTGCTGCAGCAAGAGCAGTGAGGCAGATTACAGACAGGGAACGCATTCTTAAACAACGAGAGTGGGGTTTGGGTGGAGGGAAATATCTCTGACAGAAAAATAAAATAGTTACTGCTCTACCAATTTATATTCTTAGGGAATTATTTCCAATTGTGGTCTTGGTACACAGAGCCTCCGCAGCTTGTACCGCACGTGCATTAACCGAGATTTCAGGATGTTGAAGAGTTAGCTCCTGATTGGCCTAACCCCGATGTCCTTTCTATGCCGTCTTTTTTATGGGAGCACCAACCCCGATATGCATAAAAGCATCTAATAGTTTAGCTTGATCAGGGCACATGCCAGAACATTGTGCTTCGCTCCCAGGCCTACCTCAAATTCGATTATCTCAGGGAAGTTTAATCAGGCAACGATTTTTTGCTCTTTTGTTTGGTTTGTTATCAGATGAAAGAAGACAGCTTGCCAGCATCGCGTTTCCAGCGAAATAAGCGCTGTATTATCTGGTCCACTGTCATATCCTTATGTGCCTTGGCGCTGATATTAGGGCTCGCAATTGGTCTTACCAGGAAGTCTCAATCGTCTCCATCGGAAAACGATGCACTGCAAAATTTTCCAGAACAATTCATCCTAAGTGGCAATAATTTCACCATTACCAGCCAACCCACTACAAGATACTACGAGTTCAATATCACTCAACGAAATGGTTCGCCCGACGGTTTTGAAAGAACTATGCTTGTCGTCAATAGTAAGTCTCTGTTCCACTATTCCAACACCATTTTCACCTTATCTTTTTACCTTTGAACTTTACCCGTTGCAAAAAAAAAAAAAAAAACCTCATCCATCCCTTTTTCTCATAACTATAGATCAATTTCCTGGGCCCCTTATTGAATGCAACATTGGCGATAGAATTGTTGTAAAGGTTAATAATCAACTTCCTGATGGGCAAGGTACCTCTATCCATTGGCACGGCATGTTTCAAACCAATACCACCTGGATGGATGGCACTGTCGGTGTTACACAATGTCCGATTCCCCCGGGAGAGAGTTTTACATATAATTATACTATAACCGAACAACGGGGAACATACTGGTGGCACTCACATGCAAAAGGGCAATACACCGACGGTATTGTCGGACCACTAATTGTTCATGATCCCAATGAAGGGTTCATGAATGACTACGATGAAGACATCGTTGTTATGATATCAGGTGAATGTCAAATTTTTTTTTTTTCATCAAAGCCTTGCTATGAGTGTTTCCTCCAAACTCATTTGCTCCACTACGCTCTCAGATTGGTATCACGAATTATCACCTATTAGTCTTGCCCAATATGCCAACGCCGATAACACCGAAGGTGCGGAGCCTGTACCAGAAAACGGCCTTATCAATGGATTAAATCTCTTTGACTGCAATGGATCAACAAATAGCTCTATACCATGCACTGGAGGAACACAAGCCAACTTCACCTTCGTTCCAGGGAAGCGGTACAGAATAAGGTTAATAAATACAGGGTAAGTTTTCTATTACAGCTTCGAAATCCAATAGGTGCAACAATCACTAACCATTGTAATTGTTATAGTGCCTTCGCAGAGTTCGATTTTTCAATCGATGGTCACAAATTGACTGTCGTTGAGGCTGACGGTGTAGCCATGAAACCAGTTGCCATTGATCGTGTACCGATTCAAGTAGCTCAGCGCTACTCTTTGATTGTCGAAGCCAATCAGACAGTTGGCAATTATTGGATGAGAGCCATCATAAATCAAAATTGTCTTGCTTATACCAACGATGCTCTCAACCCTGTTGTCTTGGCTGCTGTTCACTATGAAGGCGCCAATGGTACGATACCGAACTCTCCAGATCCAGGCTACTCTGATCCTGTTGATTGTGTTGACTTGGATCCTTCAGACCTCAAGCCAGTAGATGGTATGGATGCTCCTCCATACGACGTCAGTTATTATATCGAAGCGTCCTTCCAAGCAATTAGAGAGGATCGCATCAGATACGGATACATGAACACAACTTCGTGGTCTCCTCTCCAAAACACCTCAACATTGCAGCAAGCAAATGCTGGTGTTACAACTTTTGACACCAACACTCAATTTGTGCTAACACCGCCAGATAACGCCACCGTCGTTCAATTGATTATACAGAGTAAGAAAGCTAACAGTAACATGATAGCAGAAAAAGCAGAAACTAATTGGCATTATGGTTTCAGACTTTGATGACGGGTCTCATCCTTTCCATCTTCACGGTCATACCTTCTGGTTGTTAGGAACCGGCGCTGGATACTATGCCTCAAACACAAATCTTAATACTACAAATCCAGTTCGCCGTGATACTGGCAGTGAGTAGCACCTATTAATTCCGTTTCTATTCGATAAGCAGCTGTCTAATGTGGTTCTTTGCTTATTCCAGCTGTACCGGCCTTTGGTTATGCTATCATAAGGTTTATTCCTCATCCTGGCATGTGGCTATTCCATTGCCATCTGGTATGGCATCATTTAATGGGTCTTGCTATGCAGATACAGTACCAACCGAGTGTTATAAGGGTGAGTTAAATTTATAATGAGCTTCGCCACATGGTTAAAGTACTGATGTAACAATTACAATAGTCGTTCGATGTCCCTCAAGACTGGAAAAATCTTTGTCCCTCATAGATGACTTTTGGCACCGCGCTGTATCAGTAATAGTTTATCCTCTGAATGTAATCATTTCTAGTATTTATGATGGCTCCTCCTATCCACAACGCATATGTATTTAAATTTTAGAGTAGCATTATGCTTATCCATTGACAAAGTTATTATAAAGTCAATAATATTTCTTTTACTGTATTGTATGTTTCTATCAAGCTTTTACTTCGACAAAAACCATGATGATAACGTTTTTCAGAAGCCTAGATTAATGCCCGATTACAGCATGAAGATAATCTAGGAGTTAGAAAAATGTAGATCAAAGTAATCCCATTTTGCAATGGTCAATAAGATATGCATACGGTTACGATAACAATGTGGCATCCTTACAAGCATGATACGATCAAGTGATCTTTGAATCACGGCACAAGACCGCATTCAGGCATATTGATCACACAATCAATACTGTCATGCCAAGAGAAACTGGCCCATTCAACCTGCCTTGACGATGATTGATAGCGACTGCAGTACATCTGCTGATGTGGAAAAGGTAATCGCCAAGTTACTTCATATCAAAGGATATAAGATAATAAATTTCCACAAAGGCAGATCAAGTTCTGAAAGCAGCAACAAAATGTCAAAGTCTTACAAATAAGCCAAAAGCGAACCGAAAGACATTTTCATTAATTTGTCATTGAAATATTTCCTTTCTGTTCTCCTCATTGACATTCAACGATATGTTGCAAATACGGTTGACAATTACCCTTCCCTTCTTCAGAAATCCTATCAAAAGTAATACTGCGTAATTTATACATGGCAATGATGAAAGCACTCATGTTTTTTAATACCGAGCTAGCCCGAGAGCATTACTCACGAAAGCAGGGATGGTCACCAGAAAATTCATGGTCACTCATCAATTGAAATTAATTGATGCTAGTATATTCCTTGTTAGAAGCAGGTTGTCTACAGTATCCTCTTTCCTTTAATGAGTCAACCAATATTTCGATCTAGAGCAAGAGCTAGCTGGAATCAATTGCGTGCAAGCTTTAATAAAACGCCATCCTCATCCTACATCAGATTCGACTCTGGTGTGGAGGAAACTGTCATCTACAAAGTGGAAAAAATACAATGGGAGCACAAAAATATTCCTTTGTTACAAAACACCATACGAAAATTGATCGTGGAGAATGAAGACTATCAAGACGAAGAGTTCGAGTCCGCTTTACAATTGATCAGAAGTGTAAGTAAACGATCCCTTTGAAAAACTTGTATAATAGCATGGTAATGGATTTCAATTTAGAGCGGCTCTGGGACTCAAAAAACTTGCAAAAATGGTATCGACGATCTTTTTGATAATTCTCGTACGCTGAAAACCTCTCAGCAAATTTCTGTGAGTGATCGGCATTTTGTTTTCGCATCAAAAAATGAAAGCGAACTGAGCAATTATCCTCTACCGTGTTATATACATTTGTAGAAAAAAGATGACCATAATATGGTGGAGTTTATTATGGCCTTCTATCTTGCGTTGCATGTAAACCGTCAATCCGAGAAGACTGGGAATACAACGAGACAAAGCCGATATATATGCCATAGTCAGGAAGACAACTACTTCATATTCCAATTTGTATCCAAGAGCTATCAGTCTCGGTTGTCCAATGCGGATCCTACCAGTAGAGCTCTAATGACTAAGTTTGAAGATAGTCTGCCGCTCATAGTACGTGTAAAAATGCCGCACCATCAGCCGCAATTTCAATATCCACTGACCTCCTTCTTTGTGTCTGATGTTATTAGTACAACAGAAACAATATTACTATCAGCAACATTCGAACACTGCTTGGCATAGAAGATGCATTGACACAGCTGAATCAGTACATGGATTCCCAGTTTCAGTTTTTAAAGGAATGCTGCGATATCCTACAATCCAGTCTTCTAGACGAGTTTATGGAAAAGCAGCATTTGGTGTCTAAATTGAACGATACCGAAAAATACCTCAGAAATTGTGAATTCGAGACTCGTCAGGCCATGGATAAAATGTTAGATCATTTGAAGGTAATGAGCATTGATGTGCATAGTACGGTATCATGTTAGCGTTTGATTTTTGATGAACTCACAAACATTTTCAAATCGTAGATCGCAGCTGCAGCATCTTTACCACCAATTGTTAACTTTGTTTGCTCCAAATGCCATGCTTCAATGGCAAGTCCAGATCAGATATCATACTGTCTTCATACCTTTTGTGCATCTTGCGCTGAGAATATGCGACAGACTATGGCACTTGCATGTCCAGTCTGTTATCAACCGTTAACTGACAATGGCCAGTTAGATAAAGAAGCAATGAAGAAATTCATCGACTTGTATTCCTCAAGACACGAAAAGCCATCTGTTAACAATGCGAAGATAAATGATTTCAAGACGAAGTGTAAGAGATGGACACGGAAAAGTTTACAGCTTCTATCAGTGCCACGGATGAAAAACCAAGGTGCGCCAGACGCCACCGATAGAGCTGTAACAGGGACGGTCTCTGGAACTTCATACGAAGTGGGAATAGCAACGACGTCTTCTAAGTTACTCGACAGTATTTGTATTATATAACATTACCAGGTTCCTCATACAGTTGTCTTGTATCAGTCATCCCTCCGTTCATTAAAATATTCCCAAATTTGATGGTCACAATTTTTTGACCCCTCTTCGTTGGCAATTGGAAAGCCGTTTTCTTTTGTCTCGTCATTCCTAATGCTTCGTAGCGGAAAGCTACTTTTATATAGAAGGACAACTGGATTCCACCATTGTCGAGCATTTTCTGCAAGAGCACGACCCTCAGCACAACCAGAAGTCCCACCTCATGACCCCACTCCGAATCCCGAGGAATCGGCAACAAAACCTGCCGAAGTAGCTCTCGATTCGACTGCGGACAAGCAATTGACAAGCACGAAAGGAAGAAAGAGCTCAAGAAAGTCTAAGAGACAGTTTACTCCTGCGATTCCAGGTGTGCATACTATATTGTTTGAATTTCAGGTCACATTTTGTTGTACTTGGCTAACCACCATTTCGTTTCAGAGCAATTTTTCATCACGAACTATCAAAGCAACCTACGCAATGCTCACGATATAAAGAAAATACCATACAAGATTCCAGATTGCATTATAGACGACGTTCGATACTCCATACGAGCTGGTTTTGCGTCACATTCGGCTCATCAGTCAGCGCTAGCGGATGACAACATCGTCATTGGTGTTCCATATGCCGGTGCAACCTATCTTCAAGACAGCCTCGTGCATGCAATTGCTAAAGAGCTAGAGTCGGATGTAATCAAGCTGGATCAACATGATATATCTCTGTTGACACACGGTTTAATCGATCCCCGGGCCTCCTGTAAGTTATTCTTGTATTTCATCTGTCTCTTACAATGACAAATGCTGACTGTCTTTTATCTTCAACAGCTGATGACATTGAACCGGTATTAGTTGAAGCTGAATCGAATGTGGTCAATGAAACGGCCCGAAAAAGTTCTAGTAATGTAGAGTTCGAAGATGAAAGATCTGACGACTTTATTGTTGTGGATGATGTCTTGGACTATGTCAAATCGGTGATGAATCAGAAGGAAGGCGGACAGAATCGCCTTTCAAAATCTTTTGGATCATACGGAAAGAGTCAAAGCGAAGGTCACGCTAGGCTAAAGGCGGTATTTGGTGCTCTGGTAACTGCTGGAGAGCGAGAGCTATCTGCCAACAATGCGACGACCAAGACGGACAAAATACCAAAGATTATATACTTGAGAGATTATTCCCACATTATTGAATCTCCAACGGGCGAGCTTGTCGTGACGGCACTGCTACAAACAATCCAAGATATACGTAGCCATGGTCAGCCAATTGTTGTCGTTGCCGGTGTATCACCGTCGTTATCCAATCTTTCGAGCAGAAAGGGTCCAGGCCAAATAATCGAAAAAAAGTCCACCATAGCATCTCTTGACATGGATGATGTTGACGATCTCCTTGGCAATAAGATTAAGTTTCCGTATTTCCAACTGGTCAGCATCCCTCCCTCAGCTGATTCACCACAAAGTATGAAAGCATGGAAGCATCAAATGGAGCAGGATTTGGCTTTGCGATTAGAAGAATTGAATGCACGAAATATTCTAATGGCTTGTGTACAGAGGAAGATAATCTCACCAGCTCAAGCGTTCGTTTCAACTCCAGTAGTGACTAAGATACTAAACAAGATGGACGGTGCACGATCTGAATATTGGCCAATGCATTTCATCAATCGACTTGTTTCCACTGCTACTGGTATATCAATGTCTCCATCGAATCAGCACGGACATCCCAATACCTTCAATATGTCTCACTTGATACAAGCCGAGAAGATCTTAAAGCGAGGTTCTGAGCTACGATCTCAAGCAATTGCTAATCTGAAGCAAGAGTTCGAACACAGTCGAAAGCAATTGCTCTCCGTGAAGGATGGCGACGAATTGGACATGAAAGCTCTCAAAGATGTTTGTAATGACTATGAGCGCAAACTTCTCACCAAAATAGTTGATCCAGGTAAATTAATCAAAGAGTACATGCAGGCGTCCTATCAATGTATAACCATTGAGCTTTCATTACAGCGCGCGTAAAGACAACGTTTGATGATATATGCGCTCCAGCGGCGACCATTGACACACTACAAACATCTATAAGCCTTCCATTACTCCGACCAGATATCTTTTCTTATGGTATTCTCGGGCGTAACTTTACATCAGGAATGCTTCTCTTTGGTCCACCAGGCACGGGAAAGGTAACAAGCATTTTTGGTAGGGGAAATAAAATGATGTTTGTGTTTTACTGACAAGGATTCTCGACCGGCGTTTAGACCTTACTAGCCAAGGCTGTTGCTAAAGAAAGCGGTAGTCGTATGATTGAGATCCAGGCCAGCGACATGTAGGTTCCTTCTCCAACTTTTTTTTTTAAACTTTACTATGCCAAGTATGACCTAACCCAGTTTGAAATGACTAAGTTACGAAATGTACGTTGGTGAAGGTGAAAAGAACGTTAAGGTATAGTACCAACATTTTGAATTTAGTGATTTGAATCTCGATATTGATAACTCAATGTGGAATATAGGCTGTATTTTCACTTGCCAGAAAACTAGCACCTTGTGTTATCTTCATAGACGAAGTTGACAGTTTGCTGAACGCCCGTAGATCGGACCTTGCTTCCAATACTCACCGCGAAATTGTCAACCAGTTTATGGTAGAATGGGATGGCTTATCTAGTAACAATCACGGAGTCATTCTTATGGCGGCCACCAATAGACCGTATGATTTGGATGATGCAGTCCTCCGACGGATGCCACGAAGAATATTAGGTTTGTGCCAAAATTGACGATTTGCCTTTATGGTCCGTGAGATCACACGTCATTGACCTTTTCTTTTTTACAGTCGATCTACCCAACCAAGAGGAAAGGGCGAAGATACTCACACTCCATCTTCAGGGAGAAAAGGTGGATCAAGGAGTGTCCATTGAAAAGCTTGCAAAGGCGACCCCATATTACTCGGGTTCAGACATAAAGAACCTTTGTATTGCAGCCGCCCTCAACGCTGTTAAGGAGGACACTGGCAAAGACTTCTCAAATATAAAGGTGGTTGGTAATGCTGTCCCTGCAGCGAATGCGCCTATTCGGGTCCTCAAAGAACACCATTTTGACCAAGCGCGTTCGCAAATCGCACCCAGTGCCTCTGAAGACATGCACTCCTTGATTCAAATCCATAAATGGGATGGACTGTACGGAGATGGCAAGCACCGCAAGCGACACAAAGGCATTGGCTTCAACGATATCGAACCAACAAAGATTAGCGTTAAAGCATAGAGATATACTGTAGATATTAACAACACACACATTACCCGCATAAAAATTTTCGTGTAAACTATAATTCTGCTATGAAAATTCAAGACCTGCCTGACACGCCTATCATAGGGTGATCCGTCTCGTATCATATGTCCTTCATGTGCTGGCCGTGAGCGACTTTGTTTGAAGTTTGATATTGCCGTTTCTTTTATGTAAGTGTAAAAGGTTCAGCATATCAATTATATTTTAGTGTGAGCAGCTAGAGGTTGGGGAATCAGACGAATTTATCCAGGTCCTTAGGCAGAATGTTACTCTGCCCTCAAAAGACCAGTGGCCATATCCACACATGAATCGCTTCATCATATCTCTTATAATTAGCATTCCAATTATCACCGTATATTTCGAATGGTTTTTATAGTTGGTCGGCGGGATCACATTTTTTGGCTCAACGTTTGGAAGGCAGATGCATTTGTCCAACCGAACAAAAAGCCCCTCACAAATCTCATGTGATATTTCCTCGCCTGGCAGTAGTCTCCAGCATTCTCTTCTCTTCTCCCTTTGCTTCATTCTAAGCAATTTCTTTTGCTTTCCTGCCCACATGTCTGCCACGGCAGAAGCGAAACAACCTTCTCGTCGTCCAATCACTGTAGTTACTCGAAAGAACCTAACCGCCCATCCCCGACAAACCCAGCCGTACGACTCCATTCCGTCTGCCGAGTCATCGCCGTTACTATCCCCTCCACCGCCGTACCAGCAATTTGAGCAAGGAAGTGAATGCAATGTACGTTTATGCTGAATATTTGATACTTGCAGATTACATTCGCTCACATGTAGTCTTTCAGATAAATACTCGAGGCGACGACGAAATCCGATCGAGAGATCGTAACAGGTATACAGTCGACCTTGTGGTAGTAGTCCATGTATTGATGAATAATTACCCCATGATACTGACGATGGCAATTGATTTATTTTTGCAGCAGCCTACTATTGGCCTCTTCCCGTTTCCATAACGACGTTACACATGTAAGAAGTCTTCTTAAAACATTCGCCCTTGTTTGCCTTGGCAAATATATTTTCGAAGAAAGGATTGATTTTTTAAACAAACTTTTTGGGGCGTTTCTTCCAGATTTGCAACGACGGATTACCAAATTGTTCATCATGTTCAATAACGTCGCTCACTCCTGGAATCCTTCCTTCTCCTTTTCCATCAGCATCAACACCTATTCAAACTATGCGACACGATAGGGTTGATCAGGCTAACAACCACCGTCCACGGCGACACTCTTCTGTAAATCACCAAGACCCAATATTGATCTCAAAGCATGAGAGTGATGATGACTCTGAGGCACTCGATCGGATATCGGATATTCTTTCACATCTTATTAAGGAGGCTAGTGACGCTGTGAATGGGATCGATCGAGAGCGAAGTAAAATAACAGCACCGAAGACAAATGCGGCAAACAAACACACAACGGGTGCTCAAGTAAAGCAACCCGAAACCATAGATACCCAAAAATACACTGTGTCAAATCAAAAATCGAAATTACAACCACACACACACCATCCCGACCAACCATACTTTCCACATCGAAGGAGATCCATTAAATCTATGCCGCCACACAGTCATTATGAACCTTACATAGAAATGAAAGAAGAGAAATCAAGCAACAATGCCGCCAAGCGTCGTTCCACTGGCTCCATAGGAAAGTCTCGCTGGTCACGCGGTCCAGCAAATAAAGAAGCGATTCAAACAAACCTTGTCGCAGCTCAAAGAGGTAGCCCGTTATCCAGCTCTTTCAAAAGTGCGCCGAGTAGATCTAGCCACTCTGTACCAAATTCTCCAAAAATCATGAGATTGAGCCGAAGAAACAGGTTGTTGAATGACCCTTTAATGGAATCGTACAAGCGCATAGACGACAGCTTGGCCATGGTAGATTCATTGTCACGCGATCTAGCAGCAGATGTAGATACAACAGATGAACCTTCGGCACCAAAGGACATCAATCGTTCAGTTGCTAGCCAAAACAGTACTGCATTGGCAAGGCATAATCCAAATGAAAGTTTATCTCTAGTAATCTTTTTATTGGTTCAAGGCATTCATTCTGTGCTTGCTTTCCTTTCTGGGATGCTCTCTCTCAAGACGAGTGGGTTGCACTTGGAGACGTTGGAGTCTGACACATTTTATAATGCCTTATCTTGGGCATTCACATACACTATGGGAAATGTCTTGGTCGACCAATGCATTGAAAAAGTACCGGCGCGCCCTTCATATAGGGTCACTATTCCTGGGGAATACCATTCGAGATCGCCTTCTCCACCTCTACTTAATCAAATGTCTAGTACTCTACTTGCAAAGAACAAGCAAAAAGCATTCGATAGGAATCAAGGCACCAACAATTCAGCGGCAGGCACTAGTCATCTTCGTTTGAAGGACGTCGTTCCTTGTGTGTCTCAGTCTTCGTCCATTTTGGAAAAGGGCGGTAATAGCAAAAGCTTACAGAGCCAAAAGGGTTGGAAGGACTCCGAAAATACGATAGAGAGGCTTGTTGTCCAAAGTCCAACAAGACGTTTTCATCATCCCATCTTGTTCAACCAGGAGTACGATGACAACGACGACGACGACGACGAAGAAGAAATATTGCAGGTTGTGGCAGTGAAGCGGATACGAAAAACTGGGTCCATCAGAAATAATGGCTTACGCATCCTGGAACGAAGAAACTCAACTTAATGCAACACATCATTATATATTTGATTACATGGTCAATTCTTGCGAACTATCCTGTCATCTAGTTTAAATAAGCTATATTCATGATGATTTCTCTATCTCAGCTTTGAATATACTCGAGTAGCAAGGCATTTGCAACCAGTGCATGCATGGGCATTCGAACCTATTAAATATACACGAAACATTTTTCGCTATCACCCTTTTTCTTTATATGTGTACTGGACCAATGTTTATAGAAGGAGCCAACTTTCTGTCAATTATATCAAAGTAATTTGAATAAACTGCATCATCTTTCTAGACTGGTTGTCTTTATAGGTATGTGTCTTCATTCGACATATCATGGCATTCATATTGTTCATTTGTGAACGAAGTTTATTGCATTTTGGAGGTAAACATATAATAATTGGCCATTCAAACGACGGTACCAACAAAGGCGTTGAAGTTGTAAATCGTGCATGAATTTTTAACCTGTTGCGAACCAGTTCCTGATAGCGCAGTGGCTCCATTTCTGATCAGCTTGAATTGCTGACTACCTACACCCATAGGAACAGACCAAATGCTAACACCTGATGGAGCAGAAAACTGCACCGGTGAATTACCTCCAGATGTTATTGTCAATGTTGCTGGTGACTTCAATAATGTTACAGCGTAAACCTTATCTTCCACATAGTCTCTTCCTGTCGGAGGACCAGTGGGATCACTGCTACATATTGTATCCTTGGGCATCAATCTGTAGTAGTATACTATTTCATCTTTGGTAACGACTGGTGCGCTAGCTCCATTTTTGTAAGCTGTAATGTATGCTTGTGATATGTCCCGCCAACCGTCATGAGGCATATTCTCTACCCATGATTTTGCACCGTCGGTAGCAGGACCGGCATACACGCTTGGGTTTTCAGGATGGAGTGGGCCGATATAATGTGACTCACCGAAATCTACAATTTTCATTGATTGACAAAAAGTGAAACATCAATACCCTCGAAAAGACTGGTGTTTTTTTGCAAAGTTGATGGCCTACCATTCCATGTGATGATTTCTACGAAATCTGGCTTCAGTTTCAATATTTCCTCCCATCGTTGATACCAAAGGACATCACTCAAAAAGAGCCAATTCTTGCTGTATGAAACATCCGAACCGAAGTGCGTAAAGAACCAGGGACTAACTCTGAAGGATTGTAAAAATAACATGGTTAAAAATAAAGTCAGCATGGAAGGTTGAGAGATAAGTCAAAATCTGGGTCAATAAAAAATACTAACGGTGCCATATATGCTTTTCCAGCAAGTGCCGATATGTATGCATTATCCGAGTCTGTTGTCATATTGGCATCAATTGGTTGGTTGTTGGAGTTTGGCCACGCTATCCAGCTAAATCCGCCAGAGACTTGAGTATTTCCTTGGAGCTGACTAGCTTGCCAGTTTGGTACCAAATAAATAGATACTCCACTTGTCGCTTGAATGGAATTCCAGTCAACGACACCGTATCCAACAAACGTGGATACAAATGGTTTTCCGTCAACTTTGAACTGGGCACTTTGGCCACTGTATTGTTTTAGAATGGACGATATTCTGTTGGGGTCAGTGATACTTGTCATGTCGAATGAAATGAACAATTTGAAATTCTTTGAGGCTGAGCGTAAAGGTAAATATACTGTACAGTGAGAATGACAAGAGAATTATTTTCCAACCTGCTGCATTATATGCCAATGTAAGTTGGGATTCGGTATAAGAGTCTGCACCGATATTAAGAGCAAAACCATCGATCCCACTTGCTGAAGCCAAAGCAATGTCATTTGCCCAGTCGCTGGCTTGATAGGAACTCACAATTCCTACCATAAAATGAGCGAATACCATCTTTGCAGAAGTACTAGCAGCTACTGTTACATTTTTGGACGTCGATTGGGATGCCTTGGCAGTAGTCGTTGGGCTCCTATGAGACTTTTTGACGGCAGCACCAACATTGGCATGGCATGATAGAAGGAGGGCCAATAGGAAAATCAAACTTGCAGTGAACTTCATAGCTATTCCTTGTGGTTTCGTGAATGAAATAATAGAATGCAGGCGACTGATTTATATGTTTGCGCAATATGATATTTTCATGTGTGGGAATTGACGGGTTCGCTACGTAAATAAGAAGAAATGCATACCGCTGTGAGCTGTAATTTGTACAACATTACATTGATTTCAGGGACCTGTTGTACAAAAAGTTTTATAGCATTGATATCAGAACCTATCTTCAAAATAACTGTGAAAGCTGGCAGAGCATGTAAGTCGACCATAGAATGATACTTGTTCAGTTTGATACTGTTAGTTGAATCAGTATTATATTTTGAAATGGTTAATGACAACGATGACAAAACGGGAACACCTTGCATAATGTGTCTTTTTATGTGAATTTACCGTCTCCCGGTTTACACTCACACTAACTTGCTTAAGTCATAGTTTCGAAAAATATGAACAAATCTTACAACGGTACAATCAGGTGCGCACAACCTATGCGCCTTCCATTCTGCATAAGCTGTGTCATGATTTGCAAACTAGGCAGATGATTCCATATGACGCTTGTACCTCCGGCGTAATGTGTTTGTTTGCAAGGTTATTGTGTATTGCAGTCCATTTTATTATGAGGGTAGGTAGTTAAGACAGACTGAACGCATTGAGACATCCACAATGTGCAACAATTCTGTTGTTTAAGTTTGCACTTTAGCTAGAATGTATAATTTTTTTTAAGACTTGATACTTCGCATCACAAGAAAGCTATCCATATCCGATATGGAGAACATTACAGGGTTTCTCTGGAGTATACAGCAGCCATTCGCGCGCTGAGGTGATTCAGGTTGGGGATATTTTTATTGTCAAATTCACGATCATGGAGAAAAATTTGATGTTAGTAAGAAAAAACGTTCATGGAAAGTATACTTAATCTATAGAAAAGTGCGAGTGGTGCTAGATAGCGATTGTTAAATCTGGGATATATCCTGTTTCTTTAAAGTGCTCAAATTTCAATTGGCGCAAAGAGGGTCAACAAAAAAGTGATATTACCAGTCACGCAAAACGCGCGCTCTTCCACTTGGTCTACCCAAAAGCATGAGCTATAGAAGAGGTTATGAAGGTAAGCGGGTTATCACTTATTACATACTTGCGTATTCCTAATAATCTGATTTTTCCAAGGTCGTCGAGAAGGTGGAGGTCGATGGCAAAGTAAGAATTTAAGCCAAAGTGTCAACTAACCTATGCATAACAATACTGATCAGACATTTTGAAGACGACCGACCGCGAAACAATCGTTCTGGGCCCTATGATCGACAAAGACAGAGGGATCGCCCACCGGTTGATGAACCTGAAGATATTGAAATGCGACTAAAAAGTCTTATTATCAAGATTGGGGACAAGGTATGTACTTATATTAGGCGGATCTAGCATACAGGAATGACACCTAACTTATTTTACTCTCGATTAGGCTTCATCAGATCTCAAGATCAATTTGACCAAAATGGCTGGAATTCTTAGCACCGACTACCAGAAGTTTCCAGAGACTGTTGCTTCCACATTCAAATCATGGTATGTAGTTTCGGCATAGTGTTTTTCGAATTGACAGAAAGCAAGCTAAGCAATGGATCGATACAGCATCACAGAATTACCTATGAAGACAGCTGTTTACGGAACTCTCCTTGGGCTGCTCAATGTAAAAAACCATGAAGTGACTTCCAGGCTTTTCGATGATATAGTCGCTGCGGCAAAAGAAAGTCTGGCCAAGTCTGAATGGCAAAAAGTAAAGTACTATGTGCGTTACTTTGGTGAACTCGTGAATGCAAATGTCATATTACCTGCCGCCTACCTTGACCTTCTCAATGATCTTTTGGCTGCTGTTGACGAATCCAACCTTATCATTGTAAGTGTCTTTGAATAGGTAGAAGTTGGAAATGTTATCGTGTATTCTAATGTATTCTATCTTTTCTGAAGTCGTACGCGGACTGTATGGTTTACATCGTGCTTGCAGCACTTCCATGGGTAAGTAAGGATTGTTTGTCGTTTTGCAGATCCGTTAGACTGACAATGCTTTGATAGTGCGGTAAAGGTCTCCATGAACGCAAACCCGGTGAATTACAAAGACTTTTGGCGCGAGTGGAGAAATACCTTCAGAAAAGAGGTGACACTCATACCATAGACCTACTGAAGACATATCGTGGGGAGAATCTTCCATACTCTGTTTCCGATGTAAGTACATTGATATTAGTGAAAATGCTTCCAAAAACAAAATATTTAATCTCGTTTTTGCAATAGCCTTTGGCACATTTGTGGTCTATCATCCAAAATCTTCAAAACGACAAATGGGAGGTACGTTATCATTCGTCAAGTAAATTGAACTTATATGTCAATCGTAAAAATTTAATCGCATTCCATAGATTACTATGATGCTCCAGCCTTACCAACTTTTTGACGAGGAATTGAACCAGGCATTACAGGTAAGTGCATGGCATGTCGACAAACAGGAATGACCTTTATTGATTAATCAAACAACGGTGCTCTGGTTAGCACGAGCTGCCAACATTTGAGCTTCCCCAACCATCCCAAGACGCATTATATATAGCACCGAATGCACCGTTTAGAATCTTTTATACTGAAGCAGTAAGTATGCTCACCTATTATTTGAATATGTCTTCCTCACATGGTATTAACACACACCAAAAGCCTTCGGATAAATTCCCTGCGGCTGATTCGGCATCATATTTCGTATTGCAAGAAATTGTGCATGACACTGTGCTGTTGTTTGAGTCCAACCGAAAAGAGTGTGCTAAGTACCTTCTCGGCCTCCACAATAACTTTGAAAGTGGTCTTTTTGCAACCCAGATCACCGAGGGCAGTGATAAAAGCAATGAGGAACAGAAGGACACCATAATGGAACAGGCTGATGGTTGGGTGCTTTCAGAAATCGTCCTTGAGGTAAGCGATGTTTGCTATGGCTGTTGGCATGAGCAGCACTAACCCATTTCATGATAGCACGTTTTTGGAACCATGCTTCGATTACCTTCGCCTCCTGTCAAGCAAGTCTACTTTGCAGCTCTGATTATTGAGCTTTGCAAAGGTGAAAATTCAAGCGCCAGTCAATCGCTCAAGAAAGCTGTTCACATTTTGTTTGAGCGCTTGGCGGACATGGACGCTGGTTTGATCTCTCGACTTTACAACTGGTTTCCACATCATTTGAGTAACGTCGGATTTGAATGGGAATGGGACGCATGGTAAGTGAATACTCCATATATATGATTTCTGTTACAAATCATCATGGTTGACTTTATCCTTTCTCAAAATTCAAGGGAAGGTGCGTTATCTTTGGATCCCCTCCACCCTCAACTCTGCTTCATTAGAGAAACACTAGAAAAAGAAGTTCGATTGAGTTACTATGACAGAGTAAAAACGACACTGCCAGATGAAATCGCCAACTTGATGGCATCCGAACCTCCCGCTCCATCTCAAGAGCTTTTGAGTCCTAGTCATCCTCATCATGATGCTGTCAAACAGCTTCTTGGCAAACTCAAGATGAAGCAAGATGCAGACGCGTTGAATGATACATTGGTTGCAATAAGAAAACAAGAAATAGAAAATGGCGTTACTCAAGAGCAAGCGGATGAAACGGCGAGGGAAATCTTTACACAGGCTGTGCTACTGTTAGGTTCCAAGAGTTTCTCACATGTTCTAAATGTTATTGAGAGGTATGTGCTGATGTTCAGCTGGCAAATATATCTGGAGATTGTACCATTGATTAGCGCGGTTGTAGGTGTCTTGATGTTTTGCGAGGATTAAACCAGAACCCTGCGGAAAGACTCCATTCCGTACGCATCATAGCTCGCTTCTGGAAAAGCAACACTCAGCTTCTAGGCATTCTTTTGGATAAGTTTATGAACTACCGCATCATAGATCCGACTTCCATTATATCTTGGATTTTTGAAAGTGAACAACTAGAACAAGTTGGAAGGTAAAATTCATAATCAACAAATGCACGGCAATGATTTATGCAATTTTCTCATGCTATCCTTCAAGGTCATATCTTTGGGAAATTCTACATGTTACGCTCAACAAAGTGATAAACCGTGCGCAACATGTTCAAACCAAGCTCGATGGTTTCCGCGATGTTTATAACAAAAACGAAGTAATTAGAAGCGAGAACCCATCTGCAGAATGTACGTTAACTAACTCATCATGATTGTTTCGATTATTTCCATCTCACTAATCATATCAACAGCCGAAGCTGAAGGCCAACAAGAGCAAGTTGCCATACAAACCGTTGAAAAATCACTTGAAACCGTGATTCGGGAACAGAAAGAGGTGTTCATGGTCGTTTTGCAAAAGTTTACGCAAACTCTTCAGGACATGTACGGCAGATTTGAAGCTGGGGGTCTGGATCCCAACACTGATTTTACGTTCCGTTGGGTCAATGGCTGGTACAAAGACGTACTGCGTATGGTAAGTTGTAATCGTCAGCAGATGGATTTTTGGCGTTCTGGCTGTTCATAAGCTTTCTTCCCACTTCTAGTATCACAAGGAGATTTCAACATTTTCAACGACACTGGAAAGCCTGGTTTTTGTTGACCATCTGGATAGTAGGATAAAAGAACCATTTCACCAGCTAAAACAGCTGAGGCATAGAGCTTGATCACCCACTAAGACGACGTGAGAAATCATGCTTGATTGAGTGAGCTGTCACTAGGTTGCAATTCAAATGTGTGTAATGTCTGTAATAAAATTAACAAACCCATGAAGTGTGTTAGAGATGCTGATATATGTGAATTTGAGCATGTGCGGCAGTTGTTGCTCATGTTGAAAGATTGTCAGCTTTCCTACTTAGACAAATCGATATCGAAAAAGCAAGCGATAACAAAAGTGACATTAGTTTGCTAGTTTGCATCTTTAAAGACTATCAAATGGAAGACTGTTCATTTTAAACTTCGAGAAATCGATACATTGGATCAAGTACATGCCTAGTACCAATATTGCGTTAATCTCGAATAAACCACGACAATGCACTATTATAGAGGAAGGAGGGCTCCGAAATTGAGTGTGTTGCTAATATTTAATTGAGGACTACTGCGCTATATTCGGTCAAAGAAAATACGTAAAAACACTTGGACGAGCATTCGGGTTACTGCTCTTCTTTATGCTTCTGAAGGAACGTATCGAAGTCCCAGAGATCAGGATGAACTTCCTTCAGTTTCGGAATATCAGCTTTGTATCCAGATTTTTCGAACCAGTTAAACCTTTCGATGGACTTTAAGGAATCTTTTATTGCGAAAGGGTTACGAGCGTCAGCGAGTAACGCGTCGCAATAACATATACTAAAGTACTCTGCGCGCGAGCG